CTTGCGCAAGGGCGCGCTGATGCCGCGATACGGACAGCAAGGGGGGGGAGGCCGCCAGCGGCGCAAACCAGATGGCGGCGGAGGAAGCAGCAACGCGGCAACCAGCACCAGAGCCCGTTGACATGCAAGGTCCGTGGGGATGCGATGGCGGGGTGCTATTCACTGGAGTTGTATGGTTTGACCGGCGGCGCAGTGCGGTAATGAAGAGTTTTCAGGTAGGTTGCAGGATAGAGCAACTCCCGTCTTAGAATATTCTTTTTGGCGACCGGTGCGGGCGAGCTGACGCGACGACGGGGAGTCGACGCTTGGAGACCAATAGCCTAAGCTTCGCGCTTCAACGTCCGCTCGCCCTTGTCGAAAGCTCTCAAGAATGGCTCCATTCTCGTTATCCTCTCTCGTTTCCGTCGCCTCGTCTCTCCATGCTCCTCCACTCTCGTTCTTGCCCCTGTTGCGCGTTCTCCCGTGCCCGGCGTCGCGCCACGCAGAGCTGCGAATGATGAAGGAGCGGTTCGCGAAGCTGTTACTGGGCGAGGATATGTCGGGCGGCTCCAAGGGCGTGTGCCCCGCACTCGCCATGTCCAACGCCATCACCAACCTCTCAGGTATGCGCGCTCCTCCTGCGCGCATGTATCTTTCACTCGCGTAAAAGTCTTGCTGAGTTTTGACCGCAGAAAGCCAGCGTTTCTTTTCAAACGAGTGTCTTTCTTTCTTCTCTCTCCCGTTTTCCCGCACTGGTTATGAGCATGCCGCTATCTATGCTCGCGCCTTTCTCATGTCATGTCATGTCATGCCATGTCGTTCTGCCATCATGCCATGACTAGTGGCGCTTCATCGCGCATACCCCGTTCAGTCACGCCCGCATAACCATCCCTCCTCCTCGCCCATCCCACTCAACCCCCTCCCCCGTTGTTGATGCATTTCGGAAGAAGCTCACCATCCCTGCCCCTCTCCCTTTCCCCCCAAACCACCCCCACTCTCCCCGCCCCCTCCCCCCACTCCTCCTCGCCTCCCGCCCGCTCCCGCCCTTGCCCCCTGCCCGCTGCCCGCCGCGCAGTGTCGCTGTTCGGCGAGGGCATGCGGCCGCGGCCGCTATCGGCGGACTGCAAGCGGCGGTGGCGCATGGAGATGGGCATCATGCTGTCCGTGTGCCAGCACATCGTCGAACTCGTGCCGCAGTCGCAACCCATGCCCGACGGCTCCACGCAGGAGGTCCCCCCCTCTCCCGCGCTCTCCCACTCACCCACTCGCTCGCTCAATCACCCACGCACGCACGCACGCACTCACTCATTCACTCACCCGCTCACGCACCCACTCACGCACCCGCTCACTCGCCCTCTCGCTCGTTGCACCCTCACAAGGCATTTCCCCCGTCGGTAGGTTCCACTCTGCCAGTGGTTTTCCCGCTGCCGTCGTCTCGTTCCTACGCGTTCCGTACGGTCAGCGCAGTCCCCGGGCGCGGCCCCAACGCGCATGCCCCCCCCCTGGGCATGGCGGCGCCGGCACGCTGGGGGCGAAGAGGCGCGTATGGGGAGGGACCTGGGTTGGATTATCCGGGGCGAGGCGGGAAGGGACGGCGGGGCGGGGGAACACGGGTGTTGGGGGAGGCGCGGGAAGGAGATACGTGACGGGGGAGTGCTAGTTTAGCAGCAAGCGATGGCGATGTGCTTCGTGTGGTGTGGCTGGCAGTCCAGCCCAGCGTGATGCATCACGCATCACTCGCCTATCGCTCTCCCCATCGCCCCTTTCCCACCCCCCCCCCCCGGTTTCGCCTCACCGCCCACGCCCCACCACCAATTCCCCCCCCTCCAATACCCCCCTTCCCTCTCCCCCACCCCCACCCCTCCACCCCCCCGCCCCACTCCCCCGCGGCTGGCGCTGGTACGGCGCAGGTGATGGTGACGAAGCAGCGGGACGACCTGCGGCAGCAGCTGCCTGCTCTGCGCAAGCTGGACGACATGCTGCTGGTGCGCGGGGGGGGGGGGGAAGAGGGCTGTGCACGGGGGGAAACGCGGGAAGGAGGTGGGGGGAGGGGGAGCGGGGCAAGGGGGCATGGGGATGATTGATGGCGAAGCGGAGAGTCACGGGTGGGTTGGGGTGGGTACCTGTAGGTGGAAGGTGTGGTATGGTGGGTGGCTGGAGGTTGACTGCGAGCATAAGTGGGAGGTTTAATCTACCATCATCTTGAATGGTATAACAGGGTTTCTTCACGCTGTCGGCCTTTTCGCTCCCATAACGCAACCCCTTCCCTCGCCCCTTCTCCTTCCCTCTTCCTCTCCCCCTCCCTCCTCCTCTCCCTCTGTTCCCTCCTCTCCTGTCTCTTCCTCTCCCTTCACTCTCCCACCGCTCCTCTCCACATCCCCCTCTCCCACCTCTTCCCTCTCTATCCTCCCCATCCCCCGAGCAGGAGATGTTGGACGAGTGCAACAGCACGGAGTATTGGTACACGCAGGAACGACTTTTGAGTCGACTCTAAAGCCACCGCTCACCTCTCTCTCTCTCCTCCCCATCCCCCATGCAGGAGATGTTGGACGAGTGCAACAGCACGGAGTACTGGTACACACAGGAGCGCCCCGACCCTGTCGCCAACGGCGCAGTGGACGCACACAAGGCCGCAGGCTCCTCGTCCCGTCGCAACCCGCGCCACCGCGACGGGTGCACGTGCGCGGATTGCCAGGCGGACGCTGAAGACGACGACGGGTACGGGGGCGGAGGAAAAAAAGGGTCGAAAGCCCGAGGGGGGGCGGCGGCGGCGGCGCGCAGCAGCGGTGGGGGTGGCGGCGGGGGAGGGGTGATGCGGGAGTCGAAGACCGGCAAGTGGTGGCGGCCGGTGCCGCGGGTGCCGGTGTGTGGGTTGAGTGAGGCGCTGCGCAAGCACCTGGAGCACCAGATGGAGAAGGCGGCTCAGATTGTCAAGCTCGCCATGGCCATCAACACACAGGCGCTAGAGGATATGGCTGTGCCCGCTGCTTACACCGACAACCTGCCCAAGGTACCGCTGGGTGGGAATGGGGGCTGCTGCTACTTTTTAGTCGCCTCAAAGGCCATCAACACACAGGCACTTGAAGACATGGCTGTGCCTGCTGCTTACACCGACAACCTGCCCAAGGTAGGCTATTGTGTGCATGCATGTGTGGCTATTGTGCTTTCTCTGTTGCTGCTGTTCTTTGATCTGCCGTCCCTCTCTCGCCCCCTCTCTCGCTTCATCATCCTGCCCAGTCGCCCTTGCCCTGGGCATGCCGTCCCCTCCATCTCTCCCCTCCAACCGTTTCCTCCCCTCGCCTGTCACCCCACCACTCCCTTACACAATCCCCTCCCGGGCCCCAAACCCTCCCTGCACCACTCCCAACCCTGTCCCCCACATCCCACTCTCCTTCTCTCCCCCATCTCCACACACCCCCTTCAGTCGGGGCGGGCGGCACTGGGAGATCAGATATATTCGGTGATAATGAGCAGCAGCTTCAGTGTGGATCGTGTGTTGGACACAGTGGACCTCACCAACGAGCACGCGGCGCTCAAGCTCGCCTGCCGCCTTTTGAGTCGACTCAAAAAGCCCACCACTCCACCCACTCGCTCATGCAATCCTCCTCCCCCGTCCGTCCCTACCCCTGCCCCTGCCCCACCCCCTTCCCCTACCCCCGCGTCTCACAGTCGGGGCGGGCGGCACTGGGCGATCAGATATACTCGGTGATAATGAGCAGCAGCTTCAGTGTGGACCGGGTGTTGGACACAGTGGACCTCACAACGAGCATGCTGCACTCAAGCTCGCCTGCCGCCTCGACGGCCGCTGTGTACACTGGCGCAAGATGGCCCCGCCTCCCCCCACCAGGTGCGGTCTGCGTCTGCGTGTACGCGTGCGTGCGTGCATGTGCTCAGTGCGCCTCTCCCCCCTACTGCACCCCCTCTGCTCTACTGCCACCACCACTTCCTGCTTTGCCCTATTCAGCTACATGTGGCAGTGTTCCCTATCACGAGTTTTCTCGCTCCCCCTGGTTGTGTTTCTTCCAGCTCTCTCCGCTTGCTTCCACCGCCCCTTCTCCCCCCACATCCCTGCCAACAACCTCGTTCCCACCCTCCCGTTTTCCCTCCCCACTCATACCTACTCGCGCTCCTCGTCCCATTATCCCATCAGGTCCCCCCAGCTGACGCATTCAATGAGCGGGCACTACTCGAGCTCTGGTCCGCTGGGGAGAGATGTGTCAAGTTTGAGGAGAACGCCAACCGAGCAGAGGCGTGTCTGCGCAGCCATCAGGACGCTGCCCCTCACTGCCCCAAACCACTCTCGACACCTCCAAAATCCTCTACAACACGGTCGGTACATCAGCGCCATGCCTGCTGCTGTGTGGCACTGCACCATTGCGGTTACCCTGCACTGCAGTGACAATAACGTGCCTGTTTCTTAGTGCCACATCCTTGTTTTTAGAGTTCACTCTTTACTCCACTTCCACTTACCCCTCTTCCCTCTCCCCCACCTCTCCGTACCCGTCCCTCCCCTCACCCCCACCACCCGTACCCCTCCCTCATGCTCCCCGCTTCACCTTTCCCCTCCTCCCTCCCCTACCCTCTCCTTCCGCAGGACGTGGGGAATGCAGTATTGGAGAGCTATTCCCGTGTGTTAGAGGGAGTAGTGGCATCGAGTGTGCGCACGCGCATCTCGGACGTTGCTACACGCGGACCTACCTCGCCCACAACCCCGACGAGCACACACAGGACAGCCCCCTGCCCACACGCGTGGGTGGACGAGCACCCGCCGCAGCAATGATGGGAGCGGCACCTGGACTTCAGCCTGCAACATCCCCGACAGCGCGTTTGACGCCGGCCTCAGATTTACGACGAGACAGGGGTCGGTTTATTTCGATTGGAGCACGCCGAATCTCACTCCTGTGGGCCGGCTCCTCACCATGTGCACGGGCACGGGCATGGGCATGGACATGGGCATGGGCATGGGGGGAGGGGGAGTGGGGTATGGTGGGAGTGGGCATGGCGGGGCGGGAGGGAGCGGGTCCGGCGTGCGGACGTTGGATTCGGCAGCAGAGGCCTGCCAGTGCGGCTGGGAAGCATGACCCGCGCATGCAGGCAGAGGCACAGCGGGCCATAGAAGCCGCCGGGGGGGGAGGGCCACGGGGGTGTTGCGGCCACACAGCCCCATGCACGCACAAGGATGGAGGGGGGAGAGGCTTAGGAGAGGCGGGCATGGGGGTGGGGTGGTGGCGGCATGGCTGCCTCCTCCGTTCATGCGGTCTGTCACGTCTCCCACCCACCGTGCGTCTTCCTCTCTTGAATCCTCTGCGCCAGGGGGAGGAGGGGGGAACGCAGGTCGGGGCATGCAGAACATGCAGGGTCACAATAGCTTCAGTGGCCGCCCATCTCCTCCTACCGGCCAGTACCCATACTCCCCCCCTGAGCACCGCTTTGCACACTGGACAAGGGCAAGGGCATGGGCAAGCGCAAGGGCAAAGCACACGGACAGGGGCAAGGGCAAGAGCAAGAGCACCAGGGACGGTGGGGCGAGTGCAGTGCCGTACAACCATGCAGCTGCAGCGGCGGCGGCTCCGGCAGCAGTAGCAGCTCGCAATCTGAACCGTTCAAACTCATGGAAGGGTTTCCTGCCATCGCGCAGGGGATCTACCCACCATGCCGCCGCCGCTGCTGCTGCCGCTGCTGCAGCAGCAGCAGGTGGTGGCACGGGCATTGTAGGGGGTCACTCAGGAGGCGGAGGAGAAGGAGGAGGAGGGGGGGGGAGTCCGCAGATGGCTGGGGGAGGTGGGCGTATGGTGGTGAAGGAGGGTAGCCGAAACACAGGATATGGTGTGTACAGCATGGGAGGAGGAGGGGACATTGTAGGAGGCATGGTTGGGTCTCGTAGTGGCCCCTTGCCTCCTCATGCTCCCAGGGGCCTGGGGCACAAGCAGAACAGCGGTGACTGGAGCATGTCGTGAGGCTCGGGGATTTTCTGCGTGGAAAACCAATGCACCGTGTAGATGTGAGGTATGGATTGCCTCAGTTCTAATTCTACTTGGTAACGCTAGGTCTATTTATTTAGGGTTCATTCTGTACCAGGTTCAAGGATGTGGGTTATTTTGGTCTGCTGTATGGGGATGAGTTACAGGGACTCAGGACTAGTGTTCTGGTGGCAAGATTGGTCATGTGGTTCATGCCAATCATGACTGCTGTTAGTGGACATAGAAGCACACGCAGGTGATCATTTTGCAGCTGTTTTTTGGAGCTCCTGCATGTATTTATGGCTGAGGCTAAAATTGGTCATTTGAAAATAATGCTTTCACAGATTTGTTAGATAGTCAGTCCCCCTAATAATAAATCAATGGAAATTTGTCCATCATTTCGGCTCTTAGAACTTTCGCGACCCATTTCGGCACTTCCACGACGTTCGTGCCCTCTCATTGGCGGGTTCCTCGAAGGTAAATCGTCGCGACGCAAAGCTTCTGTCACCTCACCGCGCTGGAAAAGTCTTTCGCAACGTGGTTACCAGACACAGACATCACTCTTCGCACATGGACGACTCACTCTCGAGGATGGGATATTCGAGGAGGAAAAGGCGAGAGAGTACGACATTAGGGCGTGGAACATTTTAACGACCACGCCAAATGGTCGGATGTGTGGTTGTTTCTGGCGATTGCGAAGAATTTAGGGAAACCGCATTTTCTGGCACGCATAATAGTCACCCTGACTTGACCTGAAATCAGTGGTATCTCCCGTAAGTATTTTGGGGCCTCACCCACACTATCCATAAATTACCCCTGAATGTGCTCGACTCCTTTCCGCTCCCCCAAACATCCCACACCGCTTTCGAATGCTTACGTTTCTGCATCCCCCAAACATCCCACACCGCTTTCGAATGCTTACGTTTCTGCATCCCCCAAACATCCCACACCGCTTTCGAATGCATCCCCCAAACTCGAATTTAAACGTTTCTGCTTATTGGGGGTGGTTTTTAGTGGGTGCCCTACGTCCCTGGCGAACAGAATCACATAGAAATCTCGCAACATTCGCATCTCTGTTACACCCTTCGCAATCGCCAGACCCAACCATATGGGCGACCATTTGACATGGTCGTTAAAATGTTCCACGCCCTTAGGAAGGTCTAAACCCGAGTGATCCCACCAGCTTCATTGAAACGACTGCCCGCAGCTTCGAATCTCATTTCCTGGTTCCGCCTGTGCCGCAGCTTTCGGAGCTTATCAGTGTAGTTCTCGCCATGTATCACACGCAGTGGTCGCGGAGGGTGTCGTCCCGTCGCGGAGCCGGTGCTCCGGTTTACGTCTACATCATGGCGTTACAAGCGCTCCAGCAATTCTTCCAGCAGCCGTATTCTCCGCCGGTCACCCTAGGGCTCATCGCGTTGATGGCGGGAATCCATTTTCGACCCGCAGGGTTTCTGGAGGATAGTCTTCCGTACGTGTCGGAGATTTGCATGAATCCAGCTCTCGTCGTCCAGGTAAGCCGACATGATTATCTTGCCTTCTAGCGCAAGCCTCTAAATTCGTCTCCGCGCGATCGTCTGAATTCATCTCGCGCAACGGGACTGGAGTTCCTGTCTTTCCCGTCGTGCCCCTGCCTTCGCACCCACTTGCCCTGCTTCTCTCCCGGAAATTAACATTTTCGCGTCCTCTCCCGTTACCCATCCCTGGCGGCTCCCAGGAGCGCAACTGGCGGCGGCTGTTACTGAGCGTGCTGTTCCACGCGGACGACGCGCATCTGATCTTCAACATGGTCTCGCTCCTCTGGAAGGGCGTGCACCTCGAGCGCCGCCTCGGCTCGCCGCGCTTCGCGGCCCTCGTGGCTGCCTTCGCGCTCCTCTCTCAGTCCCTGCACGTCGCTGCTGCGCGCCTGCTGTCTGACGTGCTCGCGGTGCACACGCCGTTCTACAGGGAATGCTCCGTGGGGTTCTCAGGGGTACTCTTTGCTCTTAAAACCGTCATGAACGCGGATTCGCCCGCTTACTCGTCTGTGTATGGGTTTGTGCTGCCCACTAAGTACGCAGCATGGGCAGAGCTGCTGCTGATTCAGCTGCTGGTTCCGGAAGCTTCTTTCCTAGGGCACCTGTGTGGGATCCTCTCTGGGCTGATCTACCTCCATGGCCCTTCCCTCCTGCCGCGCTCTGCTCGTCCCTCCGCCTTGCTGTCCATGCTCGCTGCTCCGCTGCTCACGCTCTTCCCGTTTCTGCGCAGCTCAAGAGGGCGCACTTGGGGGTCTGGGCAGTCGGGGCAGGCTGACAGGGGGGGAGCAGCTGGAGCGGCGGGCCGGGGACGGAGCGCAGGAGGAACAGGAGGAAGAGGTGGAGGAGGAGGTGGGAGGGAAGCGGCATCAGCAGGTGAGGGGGAAGGGGCGTCAGCAGGTGGAGGGGGCGTATGGAGGTGCCGTGCATGCACGTATGTCAATCCGTGGCAGGCTGTGCGGTGTGCCATGTGTGAGGGAGCACGGCCAGCAGGAGGGAGAGATGTGGGGGGAGGAATGATAGGTGGGTATGGAAGGGACACTGCACCTTCTTTTCCAGATGGGGGGGAAGAGGAGAGTGGAATAGATGAGCAGCAGCAAGCACAGACATCACAAAGGTTGCAAGGGCATGCCACTTCTGCAGAACAGCTGAGAGCTTTGAGACTACAAAGGTTTGCTAGGTGATGATTGTTGGCCTGAATGGCTATGATGTGTGAATTTTTATAATTGAACGACAACTGCTTGTTCACATTAATTGTTGGAATGTCATTACAAATGGTCAAAGCCACCAATATAATATAGCTGATGACTCGAATCAAATTAGGAAGGGAAATTGAGTTCCTAAACTAACCTAAACTAAACTACCACTGTCACTGCAGCAGCCCCCCTCAGCAGGATAGCCAGACTGCAATCATTGATCAATCCCCTCGTTGCAAAACCATCAGGTGACTTGGTACGCTGGAACAAAATTGGCTCCCTGTTGAAGGGACAAAATTGATGCAATGAAAGGAGCTTGCGTGAGCTCCCAACCCAACTCGGCTCCTTCCAGCTGCAATTCTCTGCTCCCAGCAAAGACGTCCCCGTCTGCAAAACTGCCGGCAGCAGAGCAAGTGTGTGTGTGCACGAATGTTTGCACCTGGGCGAGTATGGCTGGATCATTCCTGGGTAAATGACAGGTCCCCAAGCCCCGCGTTCGCAACAGCCCTCCACAATTGGCAGCAGGGCTGCTCTGATGTCGACCATGCAATCACCTGTGCTCCACATCCTCCTTTTGTCAACACCACTCCTGCAACAACTCCTCCAGTTGCCCTCAAAACCAGCGACAACCATCACTTTATGGCTCTCGTTTATCTGCCAGGACAGGCGAGCCTCCTCAACTCACAACACCTGCGCCACTTGCTTGGCCTCTAGCACCATCTCTACTGCATTCTCCTCCCCTCCCATCCGGCCCTCTGGCAGCAGCATCTGCGAGGCAACAGCTTCGTCCACGTCAGCAGTGAGGGCCATGAGCAGAGCCATGGTGGCCGCCACTCCCAGCGCTGACACCAGCGGCAGCGGGGACCCATCATCGCCCTCCTTCTCCGGCTCCTCCATCTTTCCGAACAGTTGCATCGTCAAACTGCCGACTGTTCATAAGCAGAGAGGGCGAGGGAGCGGGGGGGAGGGAGAGACAGGGCAAGCGGAGAGGAGAGGACAAGGGTGAGACAACGCGCTTTTGTGCGGTAGTGGTCACAGGCGGCGTCAAAGAGAAGGCGAGTCAAAGGTGAGAACGTGAAGTCAATTGTGGCAAAATCAACCAGAGGAAGGTTCAAGAAGCGCAGCTTACCTAGAATCAAGGCCGCGCCGACCCAGCCAACCGGACCCCACCGCTCATTCAGCAGCACCCACGCGAACGCGGCACCCCAGAGCGGCTCGAGAGTGTAAACCATGGCGGCCTCGGCAGCGGTGACGTCTCTGAGCGCGACGACCTCGACCCAGAGGCAGAAGGCGGTGGAGAGCACGCCCGTGTACGCCATCTGCCACCACGGCCACGCCTGAATGGCGCTCCAGTCGCACGCCAGCACCGTGTTAAGCCCGGGAATAGGCACGCCGCTGAAGTTGAGGAGCAGCATCCACGCGATAGAGAGCACGGCGGTGACGGAGAGCTGCAGGGAGATGAGCGGGATGGCGTCCGTGGGCTCCACGTGGCGCGTGTGGTGCTCGGAGCGCAGCATGTGGATGCCGAACAGCAGCGCGCTCGCGATGGTCCAGATCTCGCCCAGCTGGGATTGGCGGAGGGGACGCGGAAAGGGAGGAGCGGAATTCGACGCTTGGACGTGTGAATTGGGCGGGAGATGAAATAGAACCTTGAAATCTTAGGCAACTGGAGTGACGCACAAGGCAAGAGAAACGAGTCGACTTACGAGAGACGAGTCCGATGCGCCTGTTTCCAGCAGAGCTACGCCAGCGACGGCTGCAGCGGCGGAGACCCATGTGATGTAGGGGATCTTGGCGCCGAACACAAGGCCCGCAATCAGCGGCACCTCGATGACCTGGATGCGGTCAATTTGAGGGCACAAGGGGGACGAGCATAATTGAAAATAGGGACAGACGGATATAACCCTGAGGACGCGCGGCGACTTGAACAGCCATGTACAGACGCAAGGGAATTGTACTGAACAGAGGAACCAGCAGCCAGTTTCCCCAAATCTATTTGTAATTCGCAGAATTCAAGGGCCCAGCTGTGCGCACCGTGAACGTCCCGATGAAGGCGGCTCGCCCCGCCTCCGTGGTCTGCAGCCCGACGGCTTGCGCGACGTATCCCGCGCTGGCCCACACGCCCAGCTCCAGACCCGCGCGCCGCACGGCGGGCCTGTCGAGCGCTTTGCGGAGGAACGGCGCGAACGCCAACGCGGCGATGGCAAAGCGGCCGATGGAGAAGCTAAACGCGTCCAGTGCTAGTTGCCCCTCCTTGATCACTGAGAGGTTGGACCCTGTAAGGGAGGGACGCAATGGGAAAGGACGATAACAGGAAATTAAGCATCATGGCGTTCCTCCTGATTAGCGGGATAAAGAATACTGTGAACTACCACCATATGCATCGCTAATTCCGGCCTACAGAAGCTCACCATATAGGAAGGTGAGCAAATTAAGCAGCGCGAGGCCGCGAACTCGAGGCGAGATCTTGGATTTGATCCAATTCGATGCTGCCGCCGGGGCTCCAAGGACGGTGTCTTGAACATCCTCGAGAAAGGTGTTCCTTTCCTCGACGTAAGGCTCTGGCGTAAGCAGGCCGATCGCGTTGCACCGCAATTGCTCCTTGTTACTGGAGTCGGGTCGCACGGAACACGTGGGAGCAGAGCGACGCCGACAACTACTCTCTGGCTTGCGAAGTTGAGAAGCGGCGAGGGGGGTCACGTGGAGCTTTGGAAGGAAGGAGGTAGTTAGGGAAGCACGGACTTGTCCAACTGAGCGTAATTGTGGTTGCCCAATTGGCAAAGACGTGTTACACGCTCTTAGCGTCTGTGTCGCAGCCATCTGTGAGTTATGCAGAGGCAGCGTAAGTTTGAGATGAGACAATTCCGAAAATTAGGAGCGCAATATGGACTGTCGGCGAAATAATAGTCACGTGGTGGGCTGCTAAAGCGATAGAGGCTCTTTCGGAACACAAGTGCGCAGAACCGTAAGGCGGTTGAGGTAGAGAGTGACGAGTGAGTGGCAGTGGTACACAAACCACAACAGCAGAGCACAAACATTTATGGACCTGCCTTGGTAACTGGTCGAAGTTCTCTCTGCCTGGTTCATTCTGCTGGTCCGCCAATTTCGCCATCCTCCCCACCCCTCCGCCAGCAAGGCCCTCCTTTCCGCCCATTCTGGACCATTCCCGCTCACGCGCTGATCCTTTAGGGCAAGAATGCCCGCGCGCAGCACATTCAGGGAAGGGGGTGCATGCCACGACGGCAGTTCATGGCGCACGTTGGGCGCACGGTGAGTGGAGTTCCTCCCAGCGGAGAGATCTGGTGTGCTGTGATTGGGAGAGAGGGGGCCTTGGGAATCCACGTGATGTGACCTGACCTGACCAGTTCGCAATTTTCGTCACTGTAGACCGCCGGAGTTGTCTCGCGGGGAGCTCCGCTCGAGCAGCTAGGTAGAATGGAGGAATGCTCCCAGAGTCTTGGGGAAGATCCCCAAGAGGGCTGCGGCGGAGCACACGGAGTCCGGAGTGTTATCCGCAGATGCGTGACAGGATGAGAGTGCGAGGTCAGCAACGGCCGTCACGAATCGCGTTCGGTAGAGAATGGGAATGGCGGCTCGATCTTGTTCACACAAATGAGGGCATCTGGGTTAGCCAGCTGCGCAAAAGATCCTCACTTGCGAGAGGTGGAACAAAGTCTGCGCTGCCCTTGCGGCCCAGTGCCTTGCTCTGCTTTCGGCTGGGACGCTGTGTTGGCAGCTCACGTGGTAGTCCAGTGCTGCTGAGGATGCCCCACGCGGCGACCGAATGACGTGGCTGTATTTTCTCCTACCTCTGAGAGATGTCCCGGCAGTCCAAGAAAGGCTTTTCATTGGCCAACTGATCTATCCAAGAACTAGGGCGAGCAATGCACCTGGAGATTACTCAAGGAATGGTCTGTTATGAGTGTACCTGGTACATGAAGTTATGAGCGTCCTTATACTAGCTTAAGTAAGGTGTGTTGTAATGCATTGTATCGCCTTAATCTAGTCATTTGGAGAACTTTATGCATTCATTCTACATCCGATATTAATAAGCCATCTACATCTATGAGATATTGCTAATTATGTTGGAAAATAACTATGCAATCATTCAGTCTATTGATATTCTTTACTATGTAGCCATATCAGGTTCAGTTCACTTCGTATTCAACATATATCTCAGGATTATGATGTTAATAATATATCATATGAATAGAGACCATTGTATATAAGCCAGCCAATGGGAAATACACCTATCTTGTGAGAGACTCGTCCTATGTACAGTTGTCGCCACGTTACAAGGCTAATAGCGAAGGTCTTTGGGCCTGACGGGGAGCCTTCGAGGAAGTGTCCCCTGAATTTTGTTCGTTGGTGGGAGGGAGGGAACTGGGTATCCTGTGCGCTGCGCGCCTCCGCAGTGGGGCCTGTATGCGTGTGCCTGGCCCCCAAGTTCCTTCCAATCCAACTGTCAGTGCACTCGCGCTGCGACCTTCTGCGACAAGTGAGCTGACGTTCAAACAGTGGAGCTCGGTCTCTCTGTTCTAGTGCCACTGGAGACATGCGAAGGGCTGCCTGCTGGACGAACGTCGTCGTCAGTCGCCTGGCCACACGACCACCATCGAATTCTCCCTGGCCCGGAACAATTTTGCCAAGACCCACAAGCCCTCCGGAATCCGCGATTCGGAGATGCGCTCCAGGATTGGTTCTGCTAACATTTTGGGACAAGCTCGACGCGACGCGACACGGTTTCTGCTGAAACCAAATTCTGGTCTTTTCCCACCACCACCTAAGAGGATCAACGTTATGCCCTTGACCACAAAGCTTGCTTGCTTGACGATTCTCTTTCTCGACACCGAAATCACAGCATGTCGCCAGCGTTTGATTCCCAGGAACGTACTCTAGACGTGTTACTCTAGTGTACCTTTAGTCTGAAATCTTGAGGGTGTAAGGCGGCGACGAGCAGTCCGTCTGATCAGAAGGTGGAATAGAGGCGCTTGTCAAGCTGTAACTCAAACATGGCTCGTATGAGAAACTCGACGCCCGGCACCCATCTCGTCGCATCGCGCCAATACGCCTGTACTAGTAGAGCAGATTCATAGTCTCCTGTACGCGTTAACGAAGTCAATTTCGACACCAATCCATAACGTCAACCTTATCCAGACTCACAAATCACAGATATACTAACCACGTGGTCGCCTACGTGATCGCACACGTTGTCGCCTACATCGTCGCCCACTCCTACACTGTGCGAACGTAGCCATGCCTCCAGGCAGCGGTAGCGCACTAAGCGCGGGAGCTTGGCCCGGCATCACGGTTTCCGCACCCATCCCAACCGCATCCGAACCAACACATGTACCTGCCTCTAGCGAATCCTCCGCCTCTACCACTCCCCCGCCTCTCACCCACGAGCCGTTTCCGCCCATCGCCCCCAGCTCACCTTCCTCCCCAACCTACTCCTTCCGCGTGTTCCCAACGTCGACGGCGCCCCCTGACCGCCACGTCAACGCTGCGTACGAATTCGTGTCGCAGATCGGCGAGGGGCGACACGGCACCGTCTGGCTGGTGGAGGACCGCGCCTCGGGATCGACATACGCATGCAAGAAAATCAGCAAGCGCGGGCTCGAGTCCGCATGGGACCGCGACGAGGTAAGGCGCGAGGTGGCGGTGATGCGCGTGCTGGCGGGGCGGCACGGCGGCGTGGTGCGGCTCCAGGAGGTATTGGAGGATAGCGAGGCGGTGTACTTAATTATGGAGCACTGCGAGGGCGGCGAGCTGTTCGATAAGATCGTGGGCGACGGGCGGCTGCATCCGCTGGAGGCGGCGCACCTGTTCCGCCAGCTGGTTTCCGCCGTGCAGTTCTGCCACGCGCAAGGCGTGCTGCACCGCGACCTCAAACCCGAAAACATTCTGCTCACGCGATCCGCGGGACTCGACGGGCGGAATGCGCGGGGACTGCAGCAGCAGCAGGAGACGAGCCCGAACGCGAAGGATCAGGCGCAAAGGACGCCGCGGTGGCAGCAGGTGAAGCAGCAGGAGCAGCAGGAGGGGCAGCAGAGAAAGGAGGAGGACGGGGAGGAAGAGGGGCGGAAGGATGGCAAATCCAACGCTCAGGGAGGCGAAGAGGCGATGCCGCTGACGGCGCAGCAATTCAACATCGAACGGCCCACAGAGCCCGCTAATACCGTGAATTCCGGTAAGAAGGTGCCCGTGTCGGCTGTCCCTGCTGCTGGCAGTCAGAATAAAGCCTGCGACTCGCAGAACATCCGCTGGCCGGTGCAGCAAGGCGGCGCCGCTGGTGGCGGAGTAACCGCAGCCGCCAAATCCGCCGCGAGGTCCGCCGCAGCCGTCGGCGGGGCCACCACCCGCGCGGTGGGGAAGGCGCTCACGGGGCTGGGGGCGCGGAGCGCGAGTCAACGCTCCCTGCTGCAGTGGCACGTGCGGCTCGCGGACTTTGGATTCGCCGTGTTTCTCGCTCCCGGGGAGAAGACGTCGGACGTGGCAGGCAGCCGGCTGTACGAGGCGCCTGAGCTGATCCGATTCGAGCCGTTCGACTTTAAAGCCGACATCTGGTCGCTGGGAGTGGTGCTGTACGCCATGCTCTCGGGCTGCCTGCCGTTCCGAGGCCGCGACGACGACGAGCTGGGCCGTCGGATCATGGAGGGGCGGCTCAATCTGACGTCCAAGCCGTGGCCATCTGTGCCGGGCGACGCGAAGCGACTGGTCGCGCGAATGCTTCAGGTACGACGTGCGAAAGAGGAGTAGCAAGAAGCTTATTTAAAACAAGGTTATAGCAAAGCTTTCTACAGCCTAAATCTCTAATCATTATTCCTGATTTGCTTGTGTCGACTCACTCGACCATGCAGGCCAAATCTCTCCTCCTAGCCCATCCAACCCCCACTCCCCCTCTCCCTCCCCCGGTGTTGCGCGGCACCAGGTGGAGGCGGGGCGGCGGCCGTCAGCGGAGGAGGTGCTGAACGACGCGTGGGTGGTGCGGCACTTCGGCGTGGCGGCGCCCGCCAGGCGACTTGGCCCCATCCCGCCGCCCTCGCTGCTGCAGGAACTCGAGGAGCAACCGCCGTGCGGCTCGCAGGCCTCTGCCGCTCCCCCTGATCTTCAGCTTCCTCCTGCTGCTCCTCCTGCTGCTCCTGCTGCTCCTGCTGCTTCTCCTGCTGCTCCTCCTGCTGCTCCTGCTGCTCCTGCTGCTTCTCCTGCTGCTCCTGCTGCTGCTCCCGCTGCTGCTGTTGACGTCGTGTCGAGCGCAGACGATGCGTGCAGTCAATTGAAGGAGTCAGCCAATGGGGACGCAGCGGAGCGCGCGGAGGTCGACGCAACACCAGCTGCTGCGCCTCATGCTGCTGTTGGCTCTACCTTGGCAACTGTGGCCGATGCAGGAACGGCGCAGGCAGCAACGGCAGAGGAAAACGCCGTCGTAGCAGCAGCAGCAGCTGCAGCAGCTGCATCATTATCGGCAGCAGTTACAGCAACAGCTGCGGTGCCAGCGGAGCGGACGGCGGCATCGGCTGCAGGCGTGGAAGCGTCAGCGGTTGCGACGTTCCTGCCAGGTACCGCCGCCCCTTCTCCGTGTCCTGCGATCACCGCTGGTCGGCAACAAACGCCCCCAGGCCTTACCGGCTCGCCGCCTCGACCGCCTGCTCCTCTCAATGCCGCTACTGCTGCTTCTGCTGTCGCTGCTGTGGCTGCTGTGAATGGTGCCGGTGCTTCAGGTGTCATAACCACGGAACTCGCTGCGGGTTCTGACAGAACACCGGCACGCACGGTTCTTGCGAGTGAAACGATGTCGACCGCAGCGGCAGGTGATGCTGACGCGGACCAGTCCCCGCTCACTAGCACCCCTCGTGCTACATCCCTGGAAACGCCACCTCACGTCCCTGCTCACCACTCTTCCGCCACTCCCCCTGCCGCCACGCCCCCTGCCGCCGCTGCTCCTTCCGCCCTGTCCTGCTCCGCGCCAGGTGAGCGCAGCAGTGGCTGCGCGGATGTGGGGGGATGCGGTGGTGGAGACGAGGAGGCGTGTGGAGCGGGAGGGGGCAGGATTGGAGTGGTGGCAGACGGCACGGCAGGAACAGCTGTACTCGTGGGACTGGCAGGTGCTGTGGAGAGCGCAGGGGAGAGGCGACGGGGCGACGAGGAGGAGGAGGAGGAGAAGGAGCGAGCGCCGCAAGCAGCAGCGGCAGCGGCAGCAGCAGCAGAAGTATCAACAGCAGTGGTTACGGAAGGGGAGGGCGGTGAAAGCAAAGGGAGGAGGAGCGCGGAAGCAGCGCCACCCAGTCGCATACCGCGAGCTTCAGGCCTGCCTTGGGCCATCCCATCGCCGCGCCACCACGGCGAGCGCGAGAGCAGCAGCGCGTGCGGGCAGGAGAGTGGTGGTGGCGCGCGCACAGGGTCCGCGCATGGCGGTGATTTGGCGTGTGGCGGGGGGTCCCTGGTGCATGGGGCTGGCAGCACGGAGAGCCAGGCGTCTGTGGCCACGCCGTGCAAGCGACAACGGATGCTGGCTCACCGTGTCTCACCCACGCCGGCAGCAGGAGCAGCAGAAGCAGCAGGAGCAGCGGCAGCATCAGGAGCAGCAGTAGGTGCTGCGGGACCGGGAGCAGGAAGCAAGGGTGGAGCGCAAGCGAAGGAAGCAGGTGCTACGGCTGTCGGGACGGTGAAGGGGAAGCGACGCGCGGCTGCTGCTGCTGCGGCGCCTGATGCGGCCGTCGCTGCTGCCGTCGCCCGAGCCAAGCGACGAGCCGAGGCGGCGATTGCGGCTCGGGAGAAAAGCGCGAGTGAGGCAGCCAAGGGCGGCAGCAGGGGCCGCGGCAGAGGCGGCAGCGCGCACAGCCACGCAGAGAGGCCGAGAGAGAGCAGCGCGTGGGGGAGAAGACGAGGGGAGAAGGCGCCGATATCAGCGTGGGTGGTGGAGAAGAGGGGCGGCGCGCGCACGGACAAGGGGTCGCCATGCCTCTCCAGTGCAGCTTCCACCACCAGCACCGCCACAACCGCCACCACCGCCACAACCGCCACCACGTCTACAACGGCAATCACGGGGCGGGCAAGGACCATCTCGTCTGCTACCACGTCTGCGTGCTCCTCTTCTTCCTGGTACTCCTCCTCCCCTTCCTCCTCTCCCACCTCCTCGCCCTCCCTCGCCCACCCTCCTCTCCCTGCAGCAGCTGTGCCTGCGCTCTGGCCGTCCCTTCCTGCCCCGTCCGCAGGGACGGCGAGAGCCGCGGGTGCAGCAGCAGGACGAGGAAGAGCAGGAGCGAAAGCAGGAGGGGCGGGAGGGGCGGGGTGGAAGGCAAGCAGTGGGAGGACGGGTGGTGGTGCGGGGATGGGGGCTGGGGGCTTGCCTCCGCTGCCGGGCTCGCCTGCCCCCTCCTCCACGTCCTCAGGCAGTGTGCCTAGCACGAGCAGGTGGGGTAGGGGCACGGGTGCTGCTGCTGCTGCGGGTGCAAGGGAGAGTGAAGGAGCAGGGGGGGGATGTGCGCGCGTGGGAGGAGGTTTCAGGATGGCTGGTGTGGGAGCCGGGAAAGGGCAGGGTAGAGGGGCTGGCGTGCAAGCAGACGGGAGAGAGAGGCGCGGAGCAGCAATGGCTGCTGGTGGCGCTGCTGCTGCTCCTTCTCCTCCTGCTGCTGCTGCTGGTGCTAGCCGGTGTGGCAATGTTCCTGTTGCTGCGCCAGCTGCTATGTGTGAGAAGTCGGTTGGGCTGGAGGAGAAGGAGAAGGTACGGACAAACGAGAATGCGCAAACAGGCACGGCAGTAGCAGGCACCTCTGGGAGGAAACGGTGGGAATTGAGTAATCGTGGTGGTGCTGCTGCTGCTGCTGCTGCAAGATCAACGGTGGTGGGCGAGAGTCGCAGTGGCATGAGTGCGAGCAGCAGTGGGAAGAGCAGCAGGAGCAGTGGCAGCAGTCAGGGCGTGCGGGCGCCTTTGAGTGTGCAGAAGGCCGTTTCGAGGTCTATGGTCCAAACAGAGGAGGAGGACGGGGGGCAGGAGAGTGGGGAGGAGGCAGAGGAAGGAGAGGAGGAGGTGGGTGAGGAGCAGGAAGACGATGAGTCGAGTGATGGAGAGTATGTGAGCTATGGGGAAGAGGAGGATGAGGAAGAGGATGAGGAGGAGGAGGAGGAGGAGGAGGAAGAGGAAGATGAGGAGGAGGAAGAGGAGGATGGCGAGGCGGAGGAGGAGGAGAGTGAGGAAGAGTGTGGGTTAGTAGAGGAGGATGTCTTTGAGGATTCTGTGGAATCAAGCATAAATGGTGGCAAGCAGAGGGGAGGGGAGAGTGAAGAAGTGAGTGAGGAGGGAGAGAAGGAGAGTGAGGAGGAAGAAAGTGAGGAAGAGAGCAGGTTGGCAACAGAAAGCTGTGAAACAGAGCAGGAGACAGAGGAAGACAAGGAGTTGAGTGAAAGCTGTGGAGTGGAAGAGGAGGGGTGTGAATCGAGCGGGAGTGAGGAGGAGGTAGCAACGGTGGATGCGACAATCGGAGACTCAACACATATTCCATCAGAGCTGGACGAATTAGTTGTGGGAAGAGGAGCAGCAGCAGCAAGTGAGGCGTGCAGAGCGGAGCAGGAGGAGCGGGTGAGGGAGGTGCAGGCGATGCTAGATGAGAAGAGGCGGAGTGAGAAGCGGCGCAGCAGGCGGCATAAGTATGTGGCACGGTCCCTGTGGAAGCATGATATGATGGAGCTGCGGCGCATGGAGCGAGTGGCAGAGGATGGTGATGATGATGTTGTCGTGATTGCTGATGCATGGGTTGGAGATGCGGGTGGGAATGAGACTGCGGTGGGAAGGAAGGGGCAGGGAGGAGTGGGAGGGATGGGGCAGGTGTGCAGGTTGGAAGAGTGGAGCTGCAAGGAGGGAGAGGGCAAGAGTTGGAGGAGAAAAGGAGGCAAGAGGAGGTCTTTGTTTTCAAGGCTGTTCTCATGTTTTGGGTGTTTCTCACCGCCCCCTGCTGACATACATCCGAGCTGCAGCTCTTGAGAGGAGCGGCCGGGCATTGGGCTTGTGAATTTAATGTAGAATCTTGAGCTTTCTGTAGTTTGTGATTTATTGCTGAAGGCTACAAACATGTTCACTCTTCAGTACTCTCTGAAGGAAAATGATGACATTCATGTTTATTTGTCATGTTGGCCAGAACCTTTGCAAATACAATACAGCTGTAAAATGACAGAACATGGTGGTTCCATGGTCCACAGCTCCATGGTTGAACAAAACAAATACGTGGCAGCTAGCTGTTGAAACTCTTACTGTATTTCCGTATGGGAAATACAAAGCACCGCACTGAACCTACGACAAATGTGGCCGATGTGACAAAGCACGTGAATGGCGGGCAGTCGAAGCGCGGCAGCACGTTGTGGTGGTGACTCGCGAGTACACATGATTTCAATCACTTCTTACTGGCGTTACCGGAGCGACTAAAGTGATGGCTGTGACTAAGCTCGTCGATTTTTGAAGCGCCTTAAAATAAAATATTAACGGCGCTACCAGGGCGACTAAGTGATGGCTGTGAGTTCTACGCGCGTCGGTGCCAACCCGTCCTACGTCTCACCATTGCCTTGCCTCGCACCATTCTCTCCGTTCACCCGTCCTTTTCTCGCCTTCACCTCCTTCTCTCGTACCCACCCCCTCCGGCGCCGTCCAGCCATTTCTCACTAGCTTCTCTCCCCGCACTCTCCCTGCTCCCACTGCTTGCCTCGTCCCGTGCCACGTCAGCGTCCGCCATCCAAGCATCACGAGTACACGGCGCTGGCCGACGTGGCGCGCGCGGCGGGGAGGCGGGTGAACGTAGTGGGGGTGGTGGTGCTCGCTGACTGCGTGCGAAGCTTCCAAGGCACCCGTGAGCCTCCTCACCAACCCGCATGGCTCCTTCTGTTCCTCCTTCTCATAGCCTGCTTTGCGCTTCCGAGCTCTGCTCGTCTAGTCAAGTCCCTCCATTCCCACACGTCCTTCCCCCTCTTCCTCCTTTCCCCCTGCCATCTCCCTGCGCCACCTTCCCCCGTCATTTACCCCCGCCATCTTCCCTCCTCCTTCTGGCGAATCGCAGGTGTGTGCTGCACGCTACTGCTAGCGGACGCCACGTGTCACCTCCCCGGGTACCAAGTGACGGCCATAGCGGGGAGTGCAGACGACCTGCCGTGCGTGGCGGGCGTGGGGGATGTCATCGCCTTGCACCACCTGCTCGTGCGCCGTCCTCCTTCCCATCGCTCTCTGCTTCACACTCCTCTTCTCAATGCTCTTGCGCTAAATCAATCTCCGCTCCATGCTGTTTGACTCGTCGGTTACATTCACGGCCGAGTTCGCTGAATTGGCAAGCCTCTTTGTGCGTGGACCGCTCTGTTTCTCTCCCGCACTCCTCGCGTGCGTCTCCCATGCTCTCTCGTCCCCTCCCCTTGCCCCGCCGCGCGTCTCCCTCCCCATCTCCTGTGTCCATCAGAGCACAGTGGATCAGTCAGTCCCTCAAGGCATCGCTCACATTAACACCACCACCACCACCACCACCAGCAGCGGCGGTGGCGGCGGCGGCGGCGGCGGTGGCAGAGGCGGCAGAGGCGGCAGTAACAACGGTGGCAGTGGCAGGGGGATGCAGGGCGGTGCGCGCAGCAGCTGTGCGCTGTTCCCGGGCGCTCCAGGCGCGCCCCTGCGCCCCTACTCCGCCTTCCCCTCCCCCACCGCCTTCCTGCCCGCGGGCCCGGTGAAGCAGCGCGTGCAGGCGCTGAGGCAGTGGGCGCACGGCTTCCCCTTCCAACCCCGTGCGTGCTGTGGCGTTGTGCGGGGGGAAGGGGGTGCGGGGTGGTTTGTGGAGAAGAGAAAGATGGATGGCTGGAAGGGAGGTTGCAGAAGGGAGGGCGTAGGAGGAAGGGTGAGAGGGTGGGACAGTCACAGTGCGAGACGTGAACACTGGAGGAGGGTGAGACGGGCTTGGAACGTGGGATGCGAGTGCTTTTTAGGATGAGAGATGTGGCGGAGTGAGCGGTAACCAGAATGCAAGTGCTTGCTCTGCAAAGAAAGATGTGATGCCACGAAGCTGCGAGCGTGGCAGTGCCTTCTCGCCCCCTGATAGCAAAGTTCCTTGCCGCTCACCCACCCATGCCATGACATACGCATCTCATGTGTTTTCTGAGAATTCTAAAAAAACAGATTCACCCACCCACGCATATGCATCTTATTGGTATCTCATGTGCCAGACAATCCCATGCCATGCCATGCCATGCCGCCCCACCACCACCCCATGACGGCATTATCCGTTGGGTGCTGGCAGGTGCACAGGCATGTGCAGTGCCACTGCTGCCCATCAGTGGCATCACAAACGACACGGACTACGACATGTGCGTGCAGGTCAGCACCCCAATCTCTGCACCCTACTACCTGCAGTCACTACCTCCAGTCCCTAACTGGGCACTGTTAACTTCCCTTCACCTGAGTCTCACCTGAGTGTGTGTGTGTGTGTGTGTGTGTGTGTGTGTGTGTGTGTGTGTGTGTGTGTGTGTGTGTGTGTGTGTGTGTGTGTGTGTCTGTGTGCGTGTACGTGTGTCTGTGTGTGTGTGTGCGTGTGTGTGTGTGTGTGTGTGTGTGTGTGTGTGTGTCTGTCTGTGTGTATGTGCGTGTATGCGCGTGTGCATGTGAGCATGGGATCAGGTGTGGCATGTGCAGAGGATGGGGCGGGTGGTCGTTCTGTGGGCATGGGACGGCACCGACACCCCTCTACCGCCTCTCCTCTCGTCAGTCCCTTGCATACCCCTCTTTCACTTCCTCACCCCTCGCTTCCTTCTCTCTGATCATCCCTCTCTGCGCGTCCCTCTCTGCGCAACCCTCTCTGCGCGTCCATCTCTGCGCATGCACGGGCATCCAGTGCTTGATTCGTTTCCACTTTCGTTTCCACTTGCACGCGCAACGCAACGATTCCACAACGAACAAGTCACGCCATGACCTCCCAACCCCTCAACACTTATCTGTGCAGGCCTGCAGCGCCCATCCCTGCCGTGAAGCAGCAGCTAGGTGGTGGTGGTACTAGTGGCACTCCTGCTCCCCATGCCATGCCACCACCTAGACCACTATCAGCACCACCACCTACACCACCAGCACAAGAACCAGCAGCAGCAGCAGCAGCAGCAGCAGCCGCAGCGCACAACAACAACAGCGGCAGCAGCAGCAGCAGCAGCAGCAAGCACCCGGTGTTTTCTATTGGCAGTCGTGTGGGGCCACCACCCTGTGTGCTCCACCGGCTGCCCCCACTGGGCTCTCTCCTCCCCATCCTCTGCCTCGCCTCCCACCCCGACCACCTCTTGCAGCGGTTGCTCCCCCCGCGCCTGCCGGCTCCACCCACTCGCCACGCGCACAGGGCAGCAGAAGGAGCAGGGCAGCAGGGGAAGGAGGCCGGAGGGGAGGGGAGGGCGGGTGCGGTGGGGGGGGAGCGTGGAGGCGTGGTGCCGTGCTGGGTGCTGCTGCAGAAGGTGCGGGGGGCATGGCAGGAGGAGGAGGGCGAGTGGGTGGGGGTTCTGGGCCCTGAGAGCAGGGTGAGTCCTGTGAAGGAGCACTATGCTGACGTGGCGCACGTTATTAGGTGCGCGGGGTAAGGGGTGTAGGGGGTGAAGAGGTGGAGGGGGAAGTAGAATGTCCAGTAAAGGCTGCTGATGCGGAGGGGGAGGCGAAGGGAAAGGCGGGGAGATGGTATGGTGCTGTCGCCTTTGCAGCAGCCATTCGGTATCATTGTGTGCCTTGTTTTGCTCCCGCGCTCTCCCTCACCTCTCTCTTCCCTCTCTCTCTCTCTCCCTTGCTCGCATGCGCGCCGCATGTGCCACGGCTGGCTTGGTGGTGGGCTGTGCGTGTCCCTCCATGCTTGCCTCACGGCAGGAGGTATGCAGAAAGGGAGGCGAGTGGGGATGCACTGACACGCATGGGCGCGCTTGCTCAGTGTGCAAGCACAGCTGCCATCACAAGTGAGTTGCCCTCCCCGTGCACCACTCACTACTGCTTGCTTCGTAACCCCTTCCCTTCCCCGCCTCTTCCTTCCCTACTCTTTCTTTCCAGCCTGCAAGCCTCTTGTTTTCTGCCCCAAACTTCTGCCCATCCCACGCACTGTCTACCCTGCCTCTCTCCCCCTACCCTTACCCCTGCACGTCCCAACGTGCTACACCAGGAATAGAGCGGCCACTGCAGCCCTACTCCACTCTCCGCCAAATATACTGCCACCCTCAAGTGAGCCCCTTGCTGCCGCTGCTGCTGCTGCTGTCACTTTATGCATTGCTCTCTGCCAATGCTGTTGGTGCACATGATAATAATATGATATACACATGTATATATACGTAACAACAAACTCCCTGCCATGTTTGTCGCCGCTGTGCCATGATGCCATCGTTGCAGGTACCCTACCGCTTCCGCTGTGTGGCCCGGGTCATCTATGCGTCGCACATCCACCCCCGCCACTTCACCGCCTTCCTGCCCCCCAAGCCCCGCCCCGCTTCCTCCGCCGCTCCCGCCGCCGCTCCCTCTGCCCCCCGTGCACCTCCCTTGGGGTTTCCCTCCCCCACGAATACCATGATTGGGCGAATGAGCGCTGATGAGAGGCACGCGGGTACAGGTAACGGTGGCAGTGATGGCAGTGGCGGGGGCAGTGGTGGTCATGGTAGTGAGGGGGCCAATGTGCGTGAAGTACATGGGGAGACGGGGAGCAAGGGCGCGCAGGTGGATGGAGAGGTGGTTGGGGGTAAGCGGAAGAGGCAGGGATGGGAAAGAAGAGGGGGTGTGGGCAGGGGCAGTGGAAAGGTGAACCAGGGGGAGCAGGACGGCAGGGCAAGTGGGGGGGAGAAGGAGAAGCAGTGGGCAGCAGGGCTGCTGCTGCTGCTGGAGGACTGCACTGGCCGCCTGCTCGTCCGCCTTGCTGCCCACCATGCGGTATGCCCACTCCCCCACCAGTACTCACCCACCCATGCCGTGCGCCCATTCTCCCATGTGTTACCGTTACAGACACTCACCCATGCCCATGCACACTCACCTGTGCAACATGCCCACTCCCCTGTTTCCACACACTACCCTGTGCGAGCCTCTGTCTGCCCAGCGCCCACCTCTCCCCATGTGCCCACCACCCATGTGCCCCATACAGGAGCACTTCTTTGCTGCCTCTGCCAAGGACCTGCGCAACCGCCCTCGAGTGACTGCCAGGGCAGCGCAAGGCATGGCGGCTCTGCTTGCTGCCCCCACCGCCCCCCGCTCCCCTGCACCTGACCAAGGGTTTGCAGCTGGAGCAGCAGCAGCAGCAGCAGCAGCAGCAGCGCCTCCTAAGATGTGTTGCGGCGCAGCAACTGGAGGGGCAGAGCTTGGCAAGGGAGGGTTGCGCAGCCCCCCTGCTGTTGACTGCTGTGTGTTCTCCTACTATCAAACAGGCATGAAGGGCCTGCCACAGGGAAAGGCATTCCAGATCTTTGAAACTCAGCATGACAATGGTTAATGGTTCCATTCCCACAACAATGTGAAAACTTGGTCTCTAACCACCACACTAAAAGCTAAAATCCTGATCTGCAACCCCTGCAGTCCAGACCACTATAGCCTTCTACAACTAGTATGCAGTATAGTGACTGGAACCTGAGCTAACACCGCAAGTGAATGATCAGTGAGAGGGCAGGACTACCCACAACAGCACACAGAATGGCGCATATACCAACATGACTGGCCACCCATTGCTGCATGCACACTCCAAGTCATGCACACAGCCCAGGGGAGTTGAGGGAAGGCAGCCCGGGGAGAGCGGAGCGGGGAAAGGGGGCAGGCGGGGACGAGGGAAGGCGTGAGAAGGGGATGCGGGGAGGTGGGAGGGGGTAAAACAGCAGCGCCTGCAGCAGTGCGAACAGGGTCAGAGCAGCACGAGGCCGAGGTGCGCGGGTTGAAACGGCCCGTGCATGCAGTAGTTGTAGAGATAGTAGTGCAGGTGCCCGTCGCCCGGGCCGAACTTGAGCGTCTTGAGGAACTGCGCGTTCTCCATGATGTCGAGCGCGTTGAACACGTCGTAGTCGCGCCGCCGCGCCAGGATCAGCGCGTCGTTCATCAGCTGCAGCAGCGGCGTCGCCGTCGCCACGTTGTAGAACGAATACGCCGCCTTGAGGTTGCTGTAGTTGTCGTTACCGATTATCGTCGACGGGAGCGTGTAGAAGGAGACGAGATCCGTTAGTTCGTGCGTCTTAGGGTCCTCGACTACGAACGAGTCAATTACGTCTTTAATCGGCAGCAGCAGGTGCTCTATCTCGGCCTCGCTCAGCTCGGGCGCGATCACGAACTGCGCGAGGTACGATTTCAGCAGCCGGCACACGGCCGGCACGTCGCGCCGCTCCATGGCGCGTAGCCCGGGCGTCGCGGTTTGCTCCGGGAGTCGGTACAGCTTGATGGTTCGCGACATGGTCATTCGCGGCGCGAGGCGCGAGAACCCCACGTCGATTAACTTCTTCGGGTTTAGCGATCGGTGCCAGTACTGCGCGGTGGTCACGGGCGTCGGCAGGACCACGCCTGCGGTGTAGACCGCCTGCCAGATCCCTTGCAGGTGCACGCGCCGCGTTACCTCTTTAATCAGCACAGGCGCGAGGCGCTTCGAGCGCAGCTTCTTGTGCACGCAGAGGAAGTTGATCTCCGCCAGGCGGACCAGCTTCTCGCGGAGGCGCACCGTGGCGGGAACCCCCGTGATGAACGCGACGAGCTTGCGCGACTGGCGCGCGCGCACACCCACATGCCACGACTTGTAGAATCCCGGGGGTTTAAGCGCCCAGCGAAGGAACTCCTGCGAGTAGTCGAATCGGAACATGTTATCGTCGTCCTCCACGTAGTTATTCGTCAGCAGCACGTACACCTCGCGCATCTCCGCGTCGCTATCCACGTCGCATGTGCACCACTCGTACGCCGCCGGCAGCGCGTACGGCTCCGCGCGGACCTGCTCCAGCGGAGTCGGCGGCTCGATCGGGCCCTCCTCCGCAATATCCACGCGGGCGACAGCGCCGCCACCTCCGCCGCCGCCGTCGCTGCTGCTGCCGGCTCCGCTCTCCCCGGCTTCACTGCCGCCGCCGCCTGCAGCTCCTGCCTGAGCCGGCGCGCCGGCAGTGCCGCCGACGACGGGCTGCGTCTCCCAGAAGAGATGGCGGCGCGGCTGCTGACCCATGAGCTGCGACATGAGCGCAAGAGGCCCGCTGAGAGGCGCTGGGACTGCGGGCTTAGCGGCAGCTGCTGCCGCGGCGACGGCTTTGCCCTTATCCCCCCCTGAACTAGACGCTGCGCCCTTGCCGCTATCCTGCGATCCCGCTACCGTTAACGACGCTAGAGCCTCCTCCGCGGATTTCCCCGACGATCCCGAACTCGCGTGCAGCTTGTCGGGATCCTCGGGGGAAGCGTTGCTGTTGCTATCCATTGCAAGGAGTCGGTCGATGCGCGAACGCGAGGATCAAGTAACGCGAGATCTAGCGAACACGCAGATTAATCAACGACTTGGGACGCCGAGAGGCAGTCGCGAGGCTGTGGTAGTGGTCCAAGTCACTGACGGTAATGATCTGGATTCACAAAAACGACCCGAATCTAGGAGGCTGGAGTGAGACAGCGGATGCGTTGTGGGAAAGACGCGGATGAAAAGAAAAGAGGGAAGCGTTGTGCGGAGAGGAGAGGGATGGATGTAGGCGGGGGACAGGAGATATGGATGTGGTGATTGGCGGGAAACAGCGCATGAATGATCACCGATGAGGACGATGCGTCAAGGCTAAAATTTCGTGTCATACGCGTCAAAAGCCAAAGACAATTTCTTAGTGTACGCATAGGTTTCGACTCCCATTGATTTCTACTCACGCTATTTCTACTACACATTTCTCATCAACTGGAGAATAAACATATTTATGTAGAGTATACTGATAAAGTCTGACTAGTGTTACAGTTATACTATTATTGCATATAGAACACACCAAATAAAAACAAAACAAACCACCACCTCCAACCCAACCTCTTCGTTTGGAAGTGTACATGATACCATCACTGATTCTTGCGCTCAGCCATGGGTTTAAGAGTGAAGTAACGGCCAGGTGTAGTGTTGCTGTAGGGCGGGAAAGGGCAGAACAGAGATAGATCATAGTGTGGGAAGGATGAGATTAGTTGGACAAAAGATAGTCATTCACAAATGTGCAAAAATCCAACTGACAAACACCACTCACATGTTAATGCGCACCCCATTTAGTTCACCCTCCCACCCATACACACCCCCAGCTCTTACCCTGTGACGAACACCACGCCCTCAGACTCGCGCTTTGATGGCTGTGGATACGACAGCCTCTCCTTGAGCTTCCTCTCCTCCTCCTCCAGCTTCCTGGCTGCCTGCATCGCCTCCTCTTGAGCCTTCATTACCACTGCCCGCTTCTCCTCCTCCTCATTCCTCTTCTTCTCCTCTGCTTCCTTCTTAGCCGCCTCTGCTTGCTTCTTCTTCTCCTCCTCCTTCTTACGCCTCTCCTCCTCCTGCTTGCGCCTCTCCTCTGCCTGCTGCTGTCTCAGCTGGGCCAGCCTCAGCGCCTCCTCCTCCTGCCTCCTCTTCTCCATCAGCCTCCTCGCATCCTGCCTCTTCTTCTCCTCCTCCTCCATGCGCTTTCTCTCCATCTGACGAGCCTTCCACTCGGCATCGATCCGCACACGCCTCTCCTCCTCCCGCTTCTTCCTCTCAGCCTCTCGTGCCTTGCGCTCCTCCTCCCTCTTCTTCCTCTCCTCTGCATCCCTCTTCTTCTTCTCCTCCTCCTCCTTCTTCCTTGCCTCCTCGCGAATCCTCTTCTCCTCCTCTGCCTTCTTCCTCTCCTCCTCCTGTTTGCGCTTCTCCTCTTCCCGAGCAATGTCCTCTGCACTCTTCTCCTTCACCACCTCTTTCACTGCTGCTACCACACTCGCGCTACTAGCCTTAGCAGCAGCGGCGGGAGCAGCGGCGGGAGCAGCAGCAGCGGCAGCAGGAGCTGCACGAGTGGCAGCGGGGGCAGGAGCAGCGGCAGGAGAGCTAGCAGGGACGGCTGCAGTGACAGCGGCAGCAACAGCAGCAACAGCAGCTGCAGCAGGTGTGGCAGCTGGAGGAGGCGTGACAGGTTCCTGCTTGGACTCCACAACACTCTCCACCTTGACCATGTCAGCCGCACTCGCCACCGCATCCTTCAGTGCGGATGCTGCAGCGCCTGCCAGCGCCCTCATTCCCTGCATGCCCCCCTCGCTGCCGCTCTCAGCCTCTGCAGACGCAGCAGCAGCGGCAGCAGCAGGGGAAGCGTCCTTTCCAGCAGCATCAGCATCAGCAGTTGAGGGGGAAGAGGAGGAGGGCGATGGAGTGACCACCTGTGCAAGGCCGGCCACTGCAGACACGGCAGCAGATGCCGTCACCACGGCCGCAGCAGCAGCAGCAGTAGCAGCAGAGGAGGCTATGGCGGCGGCGCCAGTGGGGGCCTTAGGAGCGGGTGCGGGAGGAGGTGCTGCCGGGGAGAAGAGGCGCCGCGCTGCAGCCAGGGGTCCCTGCTCCTCCGGCTCTGGCACCTCCTCCTCCTCCTGTGGCAGGCTGGGGGATGAAGACAGAGGGGCAGGCACACAAGGGGATGACACAGGATCACACAGAGGATGGAACAAGAAGACATTACGTAAGCCTATGGAGTCATATTGCAACGAACAGAGGAGTGAGATTGCAGCGAGAGAGGAGTGCAGAGGGCCAACGTGCACGCAGCGCAGCATAACAAGCAGTAAGCAGCAAGCAGCAGCAGCAGAAGCAGGGGCTCACAGGGACTGAAGCCATTGGAGAGCAGGAGGCTGCTTCTTGACTGGTCTAGTGGGCAGCTGTCCATCAAACGACTGGATGCCCTGCACCCACGACCCCAGCAGATCAATCCCCCCCTCCTCGCCCTCCTCCGCCTTGCGCCCGCGCTGCTGCCTCTGCCTCTGCGCCGCGTTCCCCGCCACGATCCTACGCTGTGCGCGCTTGTCAATCACCTTGGTGCCGCCCCTCTTGACGCCCGCCTTCACCCCGCCATTCTTCTGCACACCCATGCGCACGGTCCCCCCGCGCTGCGTGCCGCCCTTGGTACCAGACGCGGACGAGGCGGAGGGGAAGGAGGGCAGGGAGAGGGACTGCGCGAGCTGCTGCTGCGCCTTGGCTACAGCCTCCTGGGCGCGCGCAACCGGGTCAGACGCGGGCTGGGCCGGCTCCTCCACTGCAGGGGCGTCCCTGGGCTTGGTGAAGCGCGAGAGGAGATTCTCCGCCTCCTTGAGACCCAGCTTCACCGTCCCGCTAGCCTTCTCCTGCTCCTTCTCCTTCTCCTTGCCTGCGTCCTTGCTGCTACCTTTCGCTTCCTTGCCGTCGCTCTTGGGTGCGTTGTTGCCTGTCAAGGCAGTGGGCATGGCCATGGCTGGCAGCTTGAACTTGGGGCTGGCGGCAGCAGGCGCCTGTGGTACACGGGGGCACGCACACGCACACACACACACACACACACACACACACACACACACACACACACACACACACACACACACACGGATAGGGACAGATGCACACGGGGACCGGTCACAAGCGTGGGCGGAGATCAACACATCGCATCAGGGTGAACCATGCACCAGGAACTACCGTGTGTGTGGCATTTCCGTCAACCCAAGTAGCACGCGCATGTTGCTGCACTGCACCCCATGTGGAATGGAAACTAGCATAACTGCCCTGCCCTGCACGAGTACCCTGACCTGTCTGCACTGCATGAGAGTGCCACATTCTCATCTCATCCATCCTCTACCCATCTACCAACGTTATCCCCCCTCCCCCCGCCCCCCCCACACTGCGAGATCTCCCTACAACACCGCTCACCTCAGCAGGCGCAGGCTTGGCAGCAGCGGCGGCCTGGGAGAGCGCGGCATCGATGAGCGCGGAGACGGAGGGCTGGGGGGACGCGGACGGCTGCACCACAGCGTCCACCACCTGGCGCTTGAGGCGCGGGGAGCCCTCCTTCAGCACCCCTGCTACCACCCTCGCCACCTGCTCTCCACAGAAGGTGTGGGAAGTTGGAAGAGAGATTCATGAGAGGGATGGGAGGTGGGGGGACGCGGACGGCTGCACGACAGCGTCCACCACTTGGCGCTTGAGGCTCGGGGAGCCCTCCTTCAGCACCCCCGCCACCACCCTCGCCACCACCCCCGCCACCTGCTCGTAACACAGGGGCAGGGCAGGGCCATGGCAGGTGCAGGTGCACGGATGGAGAACAGCAGACACGGGCGAGAATGCATGGCGTGGGGAGTTGGAAGAGAGATCAATCATGACAGACGGGAGGTGGGGTTGCTGTATTTATGCTTTGTTCACATGGTAGAAGCTGTGTGGAGTGACTGCCAGCATGTGACGGCAGGTGTATGAGCGTGTGAGAGGAGGGGGTGCAAGTGCCGACATATCCAATCCCACGCCTAGATTTATGTGGTAACCTGGGCCAGCACCCTTAAGCACTGATAAACAACTGCCTCGTTATTATCCCATCCAAGGCGCCTCTCCGGGTTTCCAGACATTCCATCCTTTGCTGTTTGTGTGTCTTGCCTCTCCTCGCCTCCCATCCATCTCTTTTTCCAGCTCTTCTCCTCTCCATACCTCAACCCCCTCCCGCTCCCTCTCTCCGCTCTCCCCCCAATTTCCCGCGCCCCCCGCACCTGTTTCTGCGAGATGGCACCAGACGGCCAGCCTTCTGAGATGGACCCGCGCGCGTTGGGCCCCAGGCGCAGCGCCACGCGGGGGGAGGGCGCGGGGGGGGAGTCCGCGGAGGAGGAGGAGGAGGAGGAGGAAGTAGGGGAGGAGGCGGAGTCAGCAGGCGCGGAGGGGGAAGGGGCGGAGGCTGTGGGGAGGGATTCGACGATGGCAGGCGTGCGGACGACCTAGGGGTCAGAAGAGGGGAGTGTGGCGGTTCCAGAGGGTCCGGGGAAGGAAGAGGTAAGCGAGTGAGGGAGAGCGTTCATAGGGAAGTGGTGTGCTGATGGGATAACTGCAGGTACGGTGTAAGAGACAGTAGAGAAGACAGGTGGTGTATGAACGGGAAAGGTTGGAGGGCAGGAGAGCAGATGGGAGGAGAGGGGAGGGAAGAGGAGGGGATGGGAGGGAAGGAGAGGAGGACGGCCATAAGGTAGAGAGAGAAGGGGGGGAAAGGGGGGGGAAGGGGGGGGAAGGGGGGGGGAGGGGGGGCGTACAGTGAAGTCGAGGGCGGAGTCAGCGAGTGCTTGCTCTGCCTTGGCCTGCCACGACGCCGCTTCAAACAGCCTGCCGGGACGCACGGTGGACGGGCGGGGGTGGGTGGGTGGGCACGCAGAGGATGTGGACGGACAGAGCCGCGGGTGTTACGGTGGAAAAGTGTAGTTCGGTTCAGACGGTTGCTGAGTGATGGGGGAAGCTTTTGTATGCAGGCGCACTGGTGAAGGCTTGACATCAACCAGAAATCATGTGGGAATTGTGTAGAAATCATGAAGGCTTGGTAAAAAGCGTACGAATGCTCTTTTGGTGCGACTTTTTTATTGGTTAAAAGGCAGCAGCGCACAAGGGCAAGGACGGGCAGACCTCGCACGGTAACAGCACCATGCATGCTATCTCACGCCGTGGTGGGTGGAGGGAGGCGAAGGAGTAGACAGGGAAAGTTGTGAAGGCGCAATTGGGTAGCGAGGGGAAAGGGGGGGAGGGTGGCAGGCGAGGTTACTTGGCTAGGGGGTTGCTGATGGGCGGTAGCACGAGGACGAATCGTCGCGCCTGCAGCTCCTCCGCTGCGCAGTGATTGAGGGGAGGGGACGACGTGGGGTAGAGGTGGGGAAGAGAGGCGGACGGACGAGGGCGTGGGAAGTGAGGGGGAGAAGCGGAGAGCCGCACAGGAGGCGAGCGAGTTGACAGAGTCAGAGGTACGTACGAGGGGTGGGGAGGGAGTGAGAGGGGAAGGCAGCAGGTACCAGCGTACCATAAACCAGCCACAGCACCGCTCAACTATCCCGCGCATTCCCGCGCTCCCCTCCCCCATCTTCTCCCCCCACCCCCCCTTCCGCCTCCCCACTCCCCGCACGTACCCGCTCTGATGACGCTAGTGTCAAGGCTGTCCGCCACGCACACGACGCTCCCCACGCCGCGCATGGCGTCCTCCGCGCCGATCACCCCCGCGCCCAGCGGCCACGCGCCCAGCGCCTCCGCGTACTCCACCGCGGGGAGACTGGCGCCGCCGGGGAGAAACATCTGCGGGCACGGCGGGGAGGGGGGAAAGAGTCGGGGGGACGGCGGGGGAAGGGACGAGATGAGCGAAGAAAGGAGGGAATGGTGATGTGCAAGGGGAGGACGGATAGTGGCAGGATTTGGCGGCGACAGTGGAGACACGTGGCGACAGGTGCGAGAGAGGGGCGGAGTGAGAAGAGGGATCGTAAAGGTAGGATTAAGTCATATAGCGGAATGAAATCTTTAAATCCTTTTCTTTGTTCCCGTATATTAGGCGATTTCAGGAGAATCTTTGAAGCAGACGGACTGAAGAAGCGGAAGTGGCGGAGGGCAAGGTGTGCGACGTACGTCAAGGAGACCCTTGGGCGGCTCGGGTAGCTGATAGCGGCGCCGCGATGTACATGCGTATGCGCGCACACATACACACACATACACACACAGGCACAGGCACATGCAGAGGCACATGCAGAGGCACATGCACATGAGAGCCATCAGCAATACACATGCGGTCAGGACACACATGTCAAAGAAGGAGATGGGGGGTGAGACGCGTGCAGCACAACCAATGGCGGCACAAGGCGGGAGGCAGGGAGGATGAAAGGAGCGTCCGAAGGGAGAGGAATAAAGAGGGCGCAGCGCGAAGGGCGTGGAGCAGGGATGGAGAGAAGAAGTAAGACATGGATGGGAGGCAAATAAGCGGAAACGAAACGACACGAAAGGCTGGCGAAAGTGTGGCGGCCCCGCGGCGGCAACTCACGTCAGCGAGCAGCGGTTGGGCGGCGTCCGCCTCGTTGGGCGGCACGCGCACGCGGTACCCCAAGCGGACCAGCTCCCTGCCACGGGGGGATCGGCGGAGGAGAGGATGGGGCGATTCGTGTCAACGTGGAGAGGCGCGTGCAGCGTTCATCAAGCATGCGCGTACATGAGTGCCAAACATGACATGACACTGGCTACCGTGCCTTGTTCTCGCATCACCGGGGCCTGAGTCCTGACATCCCTTTTCTTTTTTCCCGCCCTCCGTACATTCTTCTCCTGATTCCTCCCTCCCCCATCCTTGTGCTCATTCCCACCACCACCTCCACCCCAACGCCCATCCCCTCCCCCATGCCGCCTGTCCCTTATCCCCCCCCAACCATGGCACGACCACTCACCTCACAGTGGCGGCGCCCACGCTGCTGCCGGCGCCCACCACGAACACCAGTTTGCCGTCCTTCTGCGCGCCGCCATTGCCGCCCAGCGATAGCCCCAGGCCAGACGTCACATCCGCCAGCAGCTTCTGAGTTCCGCCCTCCCCGTTCCCGTTGCGCGCCCCCTTCCCCTTATCGTTGCCCTTTCCCCCAAGCACGATCAGCTGCGTGCCTCCGCTTGATTTCCCCGCAGCCCGCACTGCGTACTGCGTGCCCTTGCGCGCGGAGGAGCTAGGGGACCTGCTAAGGAAGGTAGTTCCGCCGCCGGAAGCTGCGCTCCCCGCGCTCTTCCGCCCGGCCACCGTGCGGTTCGGCTTGTACTGCACAGTCTCGCGGCCATACTTCTTCTTCCCCTTGTCCAGGTCTTCCGCCTTCCCCGCATCCTTGCCCGTCGCCGCGCGCTGCAGGTCGTCCCACAGGTTCCCCTCAACCTTCACCGGACCAGACGCGGCTGCCGCTCCCCCGTTTCGGCGCGCGCGGAGTGCTGCGCCGGGGGTTGTTCTGGAGAGGAATGGGCTGCGGGAGGTGGAGAGGGGTTGCATGTTGGATGCACCCAAGGAGGACGATCGGACGACCAGCGACGAGTGCGGCGGCACAGCGTGCGACCGCGCGACCTCGGCGATGCCGAGATTGTAACTGGTTGACGACATTGCTCACGCGGCTGACAAGAAAAAGGCGCAGCTTTATTTTTTAAATGTCGCCAAATTAAATCTTAATGGCGGCGATGCCAGCTGTCTAATGCCGAGGATCAGAATTCTCAAGCCAATTCCAAGCACGCATAACAGGAGAATGGCTTACTGGCCACCCAAGTCTGCGTGGAACAATGCTGCTGCTGAGTGACGTGACTTTGGTGGAAGCACGGCAAAATCTAGAACGGGCAGACAGCCAGGATGAGGGAACCGAGTCGGGAGGAGTCCTGGGAATGTGGATGAGGTGCGGGGCGAGGGGAAGAGCGGATAACAGGGGGAGGAATTTGAGGAAAATGGGGCAGGGGTAACCGCTCTGGGGCGTCCGGGTATGGGAGACTGGCAGGGGCGGGTGGACAAGGGGACTGCTCTTGAGCGCAAGGAGGAGGCAGTGACAAGGAGCGACAGCGCGGCGCAGTTGGAAGCAACGCCAGCCGATCGTTGCCAGGTTGACAAGAACAATCGCGACTCGATCGATTGGCAAGAGTCCGCCCGCTCATTGTTGTTATTGGTTCAAAGATTCTGGGGGATGCTTTGGTTATCTTGGTGGCCGTACCTGGTTGGCTGTCAGGCTGGTCCTGGAACTGGTTGGATTCGTACCCCTTTTGAGGCTTCGGGGAATTTCACTACGATATCATTCATCTATTATGAAAGTGCTCCATCAAGCCTTACAGCTAACATCCTGACCATCCCCTAAGAAGCTGATCTCCAGCATTAGAGCGTATTCCTATCCTCGTATCAAGAAAACCTAATATCAAGATTGTACTTTTTGCCTGGTAAAAGTAGCGAGAGGTTTTGGGTTTAGGGGAATTTTCAGTGGGAGGTTGATATGAGGTTTTCTTGATACGAGGATAGGAATACGCTCTTACATCATTACAGGCCAAATCTCCTGCTACAAGATATGTTCTCGCTAATAAAATTTTCCGCCGTCCACACCAGTAGTACCATGCACAATCTACACCTTGTGTTGAAGGACACCAAGGACCGTAAGACCGAAAATTATGTTGCTGACCATGAGGCCCAAAAATCCAATCATCCAAAATCTGCCAAGTTCAAGCAAGCACATCGTGTGAATGGCAAGTGGGTTATGAGATTGCTATCTCCCAAGACCTAGGAGCAAAAAAAACCAAGCAGTAGAAAAAGGGATGTGCAGAAATGGAGGGGACAACAGGAGGAGAGCGAGGGAGGGGCGGAGGGCGAACAAGGGAAGTGAGATAGGGAAAGGGGGAGAAAGGAGGTGCTGTGAGCATAGGGGAGGGGCGACTTACCCTCCATTGTAACGAGCCTCGGGCCTGCCAGTGGAGTAACCAAGGAAGTAGCCAATGCGCCCAAGCAGGAAGATAACCCCAAGCACAGTGGATGTCCACGGATACTGCGATGGGTGAAGGAAAAGGCACGCAAGCAGGTCATGAGGGCATGGTGATTTGCAGCAGGGAAGAAAGGAATGGCACTCAACACGTGGTGTGTGGGGGCAGAGTTATTGGTAGACAAGGAAAGCTTACCGCAACGCCGCTAATGAGGAGGAACACAAGGAAGGGCGGAAGAACCTCAAGGGTGTTCTGATGCGCCCTCTGCGGTGCAAGACAGGGGAGGCATAATAACAAATAAAGAACAACACATCCTCCTTTTCCGGGAAATAAATCGTTATTCAACAGGCGTAGAGATGGTCGAGCGAGTGCACATTTCGCGATCGCAAAGGTGTACACGGATATCGCACCTGCACGCAGTTGAACTCCTTGGCGTTCTTGTGAGACTCAGATGCGTACAGAATCGGGTATTGAACGTTGTACCTGTCACCGTACGACACGCGGCAAAAAAAAGGTTGTAAGCAGGGAGCAGCAGATCCGCAGACAATGAATACACCACCCATCGCCAGCATCCTTACTTCTTCCTCGCTGACATCACGCCTGCACTCATCCAAAAGTTAAGGATTCCTGTTGCCACTGCCACCAGCACCACGGCGCCATGCCCCTGCGACAGCTCTAAGGAGAGGACTGGTGCCATGGTTTCTAGGAGAAAAAGAATGATGCGAGACAAAAACGACGAAATCTATGACTTCGAATGTGAAAATGAGCTCCCAAAACGCTGCGGTGGGGTTGATGTGGTGGCTCGCATGAGAGTGCATGATGACGTCATCTTCTTCTCTGCAGAAGCTTCGATTCACCACACCATACGCTCACATTTCACCAAAGCAATAGATAAACACTCATTACAGAGTCAAGTTTCCACTAAAACTATGTGGGCCCTTAGTGAAGGCCACTACAATGAGGCTCCAAAGGCCATCAACGAAAAGCTAATTACGTAGGTTCACTCGCATTCCTGCACTATAAATCTAGAAGCATGCCTGGCTTCGCCCAAGACTGCCTAGCCAAGTTCAAGAGGGTGAAAAGAGGCGAATTGGCATTCTCCTTCTTTCCTGGTCAGAAGCCCGCCCATTTGCATGCTGCAATGATACAAAACGAGAAGCCATATAGCACACAGCATGGACACAGAGTAAGCACACAGCGGAAGAGCATGTCAAAAGCATGAAACCAGTTTGCACGAAGGCTGCAACCAGAGTGGAAAGTGCGGAGCTCACCAATCGGAGAGGGGAGAGACTTCTGGCAGCGGCTTTAATCTGGGAGAGTGGGCTCGTGGGTGGCTGAACAGGCACCGGGGCCCCATCTACATGCAGAGAAAGTTTACCCTGGCTGAAACCGCCGCCACTGCCAGTGACTCTGTCGTTGCTGCTACTGCCCACACCACCCCTCATCCCTACAGCATGCGACTGAACACTTCCTGGGGTGTGCCCATCGCTGCTGCGATAACTACCACCACTGCCTGCCCACTTGCCACCTGCACCAGACGCACCCACTGAGCTGACTCCACTTCTCATACCCGCCCCTGCCAGTGTGGCAGCAGGTGTGAGAGAATCAGGGCCCTTGCTGGTGGACGAGAGCGGCCTGGGCTGGCTCGCAGAGAAGTGAGACGAGTGGGAGGAGGACGGTGGTGCAGCAGAGGAGGAATGGCCGAGGGAGGCAGGAGGGGTGTGGGAGTAGCTTGGAGATGCCAAAGGCAGCAGGGAGGAGCCAGCACGGGGAGAGACAAGGGCGGGGGAAAACTGGCTTGATGTTGCTGCGGGCAATGCACTTCCAGCAGCAGCAGCGGCGGCAGCTGGTGCAAAGGGCGAAGCAAGGGCAGGTGCTCCTGGCAGGGCCCTGGGACTGGGCAAGCGGCGGATGAAGGAGGAGGAGAGGGAGACAGTAGAGGCGGAGGAGGGGGAAGGGGGGGCTGGAGGGTACAGAGATCGAGGGCTGGGGCTAGGGTCTCTGGTAGGGAGTTGGTTAGGGGGTGAGGGGAAGGAGCGAGGGGGCACGAGGGTCTGGGGCTGTGAGGAGGATGGGAAAGATTGTGAAGAGGGGTATGGCTGAGGAGAGGGAAGATGGGGTTTAGGTGAGGTGTGCGCAAGGGAAGATGGGGACGGAATACGAACAACCATGCGAGAGGGTTTGACACTGACAACTAGAGGCTCTCTCTTGTTCTCATACCCGTTGCCCTGCTGCACCGGCTGCACCTGCTGCACCGGCTGCACCTGCTGCACCTGTTGCAACTTCACGTCTCTCCTCTTTCCTGTGTGCTCTCGACCACCGCCTCGTGTGCTCTCCTCCATGTGCCCCTTCCCTACGCCAATCGCCTCCAAGTCACTATTTTGCTGCTGCTTCAGCTGCTGCCTATGCCCCTCAGCTCTACCATCCCCATCTCTCTCCCTCTCGCCGGAACCACTCACCCGCCTGCCAGCCCCCACTCCCACTCCCGAATCCCTTCTCTTCCCTGCTGCCCCTGCTCCACTCCCTCTCACCCTCTCTCTCTCCCACTGCTCACTTTGTGCTCGTGCCATCTCAGTGGCATTAGACCAAGCACCCTCCTCCTCTCCCTCTCTCTCCTCCCACCCCATCCATTCCCCTGACCTCTGCCGAAATGGCCCACCCCTCTTCCCCCCAACCCTGCTTCTCCTCCCTCCTCCGCCCGCGTCATGCTGGGGCGAAACAGGGTGCGCGGGGGAGCGCAGGGCGTGGGGGGAGGCAGGGGGAGACTTGCGGTGGCGAGGGTAGGTACGGTGGGAGACAGGGCTACGGGAACGAGCTTCTGAGGGGCTGGTGGGGGGGGCTTTGGTGCTGCTGCCATGGGTGTGCGCGATAGTGTGTGTGTGCTTGCTGCTGCTGCTGCTGGGGCCAGCAGCAGCAGTGGCAGCAGTAGAAGCAGGCGGTGCAGGAGGGTCTAGTGAGAGGGAGTTGGCGAGCACTAGGGCACGAGCACGGGCCTTCGCAATGGCGTGAGGGGAGCGGAGGGCGGAGGTAAAGGGAGGTGTGGAGGGCAAGGGGGGAGGAGAGTTGATTCGGAGCGAAGAGCTGGGAGTGGTGATAGGCGAGGTAGGTAAGGTGCTGCTGGTGGCCGCAGCAGCGGGAGGCGAGCTAGCAGGGTGGAGTGGTGGGGAGGAGGGAGATTGGGCATGAGGGAGGAGGGTGAGCGAAGATGGAACTGGCTTCCCTGTGAGTGTACTACTACTGCCGTGGGCGGAGGTGAGTGGCGCTGCTGACGAGCTACCAGGAGCAGCTGGCACAGCAGAGAACGGCGGGGAGAGCAGAGGCATGGGCTGGCGGGTGGAGGGAGAAGCGAGAGCAGCTGAGACTCCAGAGGCGGGGTCTGCGGGAAAATTGGAGGGCACGGAGGTGCGAGGAGGTGCGTTCGGTGTGGAGGCACATAGCAAGGGAGCAGCAGTGGCAGCAGCCACAGTACCCGTGGCATTGGTATCCACAGGTAGGAGAACGGAGCTGGGAATGTGAGCGCTGGTCGCATTGGGGGAGTATGGCACTGCACGCTGGCGGGTGGTGCTTGTGGTGGGCGAGTGCGGAGAAGCGTGCTGATGGGAAGAGCGGGCTTTGCCGTGGGAGGCAGTTGAGAGGGACGAGACAGGAAGGATAGAGGGCGAGGAAGGGGAAACGAGGGAGTGAGTGCGACTGCGGGGGTGAGAGGGAGTGTGTGTGGAGGCCTGAGAGCGAGAGGTGGAAGAGGGGAGCAGGGAGGAGGAGGAAGACGAGGAGCAGGAGGGGGATGGAGAGGCGGAGGAGGAAGAGGAGGAGGGTGAGCGAGTGGAGGAGGCAACAGAGGCAGAGAGGCGAGAGGTGGAGGGGGAGGGAGAGGAGTGGACTGTGGAGGAGGAAGAGGCAGATGGGGAGGAATGTGCAGAGGCAGCGGTTTGTGGGGAAGCAGATAGGCAGGAGCGGGCAGAGGTGACAGAGGGGGGAACAGGGGCAGAGGCCGAGGAGGAGGAGGAGGTGGAGGAGGAGGAGATGGAGGGGGAAGGGACAATGAGGGGAGCAGGGCTATGAGAGCCAAATGGTTGGGACGCAGGTGGAGCTGGGTAATCCAGGGTAGAGGAGCTAACAGGCGGCACATCCCTGTCTCTTGCACCAGCAAGACAAGAGGCAGCAGCATCAGCAGATTCAACCGCCTCCTTCTCATGTGTCTCTGCCACTGCAGCAGAGGCAGCAGAGGGCAGTTGAGGGGGAGAAGAGGGGGCGAGTGGGTGGGGCAGGAAGAAAGGGGACGCAGCAGAGGCAGCAGCGAAGGAGTGAGCATGGGAAAGAGCACGATGGGGAGGTGACACCTGCGCCTCGCTGCCCTGACTGGCGTTATTCTCACCCTCACCCTCGCCCTCGCCCTCGCCCTCGCCCTTGTGCTCATGCCCCTGCTCGTTCTCCTGTACACGTGGTTGCTCGGCCTTGTCTGGCTCCTGGAAGACGGCAGGCAGGGACGCACTCCGCCTTATCACCTCAATCCCTCCTCTCCGCCCACCATGTTTCTGTATCTCCTTTCCCGGCTGCTGCTCCTGCTCCTGGTCCTGCCTCTGCTGCTGCTCCTGCTGCCTCTGGAGCGCTGGTCCAACTCCCTCCTGGCTCAGCTGCGTGACCTCACTCTGCTTCACAGACAAGCTGTGCTCCCCATTGTACCCTGCATGTGACCTGCCCTCTTTCTCACCATCCAAGTTCAGTGCTTCTGATACAGCCGCAGCACCATCAACATCAGTAACAGAATCAGCAGCACCGGCCAAAGGTTCACCACTGTTAGCAGCAGTCACACAGAGCGATCCAGCCACGTCTCTCTCCCTGCGCACTGCCACACCCACTGGGTTCCCTCCTGCTGCCGCCACTGCAGCTGCCAAGGCTGCTGCAGAAGCCGCCCCTGCCGTTCCTCCTCCTGCCCCCATCGCCGCAGAGCCCAAGCTGAATCGCCGTGGCCTGCTTGTGAGGCTGCTGCTGCTCGCCCCATCGCCGCCACCACCGTCACCGCCGCCACCGCTGCCAGCAACACTGCAGCTGCTGCTAGCGGTGCTGCCGGAACTAATCCCGGCACCCGTGCTGAAGCTCTCAGCAGCTCCGGATGGCTGCTTGCCATGCTGGTGTCCGCTGGAGAGAGAATCAGAAGGCGCAGAGACAGCAGAATCAGATGGGGCGATCGCAGCGGCAGCAGCAGCGGCAGCAGAAGTGCTTGGAGAGGCGGAAGGCGAGAGCAGCACTTGGTGTGGTTGCAGGCCCAGCCACTGCTGCAGCTGCATGCTGTCAGCTGCCAGTCTCTGCACGTCGCCCCTCTGCGCCCTGAGCTTCTGCTGCAGCACGGACAAGTCCTTGAGTGACTTGGACACGGAGTGAGACATGGAACGACCAGACACAGACGAGCATGAGGAGGCGGAGGAGCAGGGCGACGCTGCTGCTGCTCCGCTGGTAACTGGCGCCTGTGGGGTGGGCGAGGACGGGGTGGGTGTGGCGGAGATGGAGTGTGGGGTGTGGAGAGCGAATGCGTCTTTGGGTGAAGACGAATGGGGGTGAGCTGATCGACCAGCAGATACCGCTGCTGTGCCGCCGTCTCCCGCGTCCTCCCCATGCACTTCCTCCTGCTCCTGCTCTTCCTCTCGCTGCTCCTCCTGCTGCCTGTGCTCATGCTGCTGAGAAGCGCCTGGCACGTTCGACTCTCTCGCCTTGTCAAGCTGCTGCTGCTCCGTTGCTCCAAGCTCGATCTTCCCCACTGCCTCCCCATCCCCAGCTGACGATCCCCGCCCATCCTCCATCCCCTCAGCATCGTCCTCCTCAGAATCCACTGCGGCTTCTTCCTCCCTTTCAACATGCGCGTCCAACGCGCCTTTCTCAACCTCTTCCGACGCCTCACTCCCACCGCTGGACTGCCAGTTACCATTCGAAAGCAAGCGCGCCTCATGCCCCTCACCCTTTTCCTCCTCCTCCACCTCCTCCCTCCCCGTACCTGCCATCTTCCCTTCTCCAATATCCTCCTGCACCTCCACCTTCCCTTGCTCAACCTCCACTCCCTGCCCTTGCTGCCGCCCCTCTCGCCTATCGCGGCCATGCTCCCTTGGTGTGGTTGGAAGCGACTCATGGGCACCTCCCACGTGCTCCTCTGTGTCCTCCGCGCCTTCCTCCTCCAGCACGCGCACGAATTGCGTCACATCGAATTCCAACCCGTCTCCCGCATCCAACCACCCCAGCGCTGCCCCTTCACCCGCCCTTCCCTTCTCTCCCCTCCCACTCGTTCCTGAACCCTCCTCTTCCTCTCTCACTTCCCCCTCGCGCTCTCCATCCCTAGCGCCTTCCTCAACGTGCCGTTCCTCCTCGTCCCAATGATCGGTATCAAACGCGAGTCTTGATTCCTCTCTCCCTGCTTCTTCGCTCCATCTCCCTGGCTCACCATAACCCCCATCCTCCCCTGCCCGTGCTTCAGAGCTTGCCCTCATTGTCTCCCCATCCCTCCCCTCTCCCACGTCTCCCCGACGCAACCCCTCGTCCACGTCATCACCACTCCACCGCTCGCGATCTCCTCTCTCCGCTCTAATCTCCACGGATGGTGCAAGAAGTGAGGAGCGGAGCAGTCGCGCGGCCATCCACGACGAGGCATCGGGGGGGGACTGGGGGCCCTGATGGAGCAAGGAGTGAGAGTCGAGGGAAGTGGCGTGCGGCCACAGGGTGAGAGGGAGGACGCAAGCGAGGGAAGAAAGGAAGAAGAAAAAGGCACGCACAAAGCAGGTAAACTGTTAAATCAATGGGGTTCCAGCATGCTATGTGCGCGAGAGAGGAGGTTAAGCGGGGAAGGGGGTGTGTGGGGGATGAGAAGGGGGAAGCCGGAAAAAGCAGGTAGTCGGGGAGCAGGGGAAAAGCTGGGACTAACATCGATGCACACTCCTGCGCCACTTCGCCTGCACTTGGTCGTCCATAAGATCTACTTCTCGCTTTCGCCTCCGAACCCTCGACCTTAACGCAAGAACTCTCTATCCACCCTCATGCCCCTCCTTCCCCCTCACTTTCCCCTCGCTTTCCGTTCTCTCCCAACGATTCTTTCCGTCCCCCTTCCCCCTTCCCACTTCCCGTCACACACACATACCAGCTGCAGCAGGATTTCCGCCGCCCGCGCGGCTCGGGAGTCCCCGCCTTCAATGCCGTCAGCTCCATCGCTCCCCTCGCCTGCAGCTTCTTCCCCTCCTCTCTGCGCGTCATCGCATGCGCGCCAGTCACCCCCTGCTTCCCGCACCTCCCTGGTCCCACAGCCACCATCTTCCCCTTCCGCCAGATCTCCCGCGGGTGAAGGCAACAGCCTGCGGGAAGGGCGGAAAGGGCAGCGGAGGGGGCGTGACGAGCGCAAGGGAGAGGAAGAGATTGACGACGGTCGGGAACTTCGGATATTCGGGAGCAGAGGTGAGGACGTGCAGCAAAGGAGGGAGGCAATGGAGTTACGGCAAACGGGACAAGCAAATCCAAAAACCGAAGGTCTCCGTTGCGAGACTAGGTAAGCGGACGGAGCATTACCGGAATGGAACGATCCTCGCACGCAGCCGCTCACAGACTCACAGCGTCCGTCGGGCTTAGACTCACCCACGCGTAATACTAAGCAGATCCCATGCGCACATGTGACCCACGGTCGCCGTACCTGTGAAGGCGCTGCAGGGGGGGCGCGGGAGCGGCGTTCTGGTACGCGGCGACGATGACGAGCGGGCGGTCGGCGGAGAGGAGCACCTGTTGCGCCGTCGGCACGTGCGCGCGCCATCGCACGCCTGGAGGAGGAACGCACGAGGAACGGAACGCAGCAATTGGTGAGTGAGCGATATACCATCGTGTGACGGCAGCCGTAAAACTTAACTCGACGGGCGATGAAATCGGGCAGAACACTCGGGCAATGATTTGCATCAAGCAGACATGCTCAGCAAACGAATAGTGCTTTCACCAAATCGGATCTCCCTCAAATTTACTGCTTTCCTTGTCGTAGCAACGTTACCTGGCGTGTACGCAAGTGCGAGCGGGTGGCTGTCCTTAAGAATGCGCTCCTCTATCCGTCCCACCACAGACTCTATTCCCCGGGCCCGCGCTGCCACCTGCTCCCGCCGCGACGCCACCTCCGCTAGGTCCGCCGCCAAACCCTCGAACACACGCGAGGCGTGGCTGCACGGCGCAGGGAGAGAGGCAGAGTCGGCGCAAAAGAGAGGATCAGAGCAACTTTATTGAGTCACGGGAACGACAACAGGAAAGCCGGGCAGGGAAGGGGATGTTGTGGGAGGGAGAGACGTAGAGAGAGCCAGAGAGAGATAGCGGGGGATTGTGTTGTCGGTGGATCGCAGGTTGATAGTTGGTCGATGCGAGGAGTGGAAGGAGGAGGATGTGCTTACTCTGAAAGGACAGCCAGTTGCTTCACGAGGCCCACAAGGCACGCCATGGACACGCCCTCCAGCATCCCCCGCGGGTCATCACTGCTGGCTGCGCGGAGAACGCTCGGCGATGCCAAGCTCTCCTCCGCCGCCACGTGTCGACGGGCGAGTGGCATGACGAGTGGACGGTTCTCTCCACCCGACCGTAAATTGTTTGGGACGATTAGAAGTCACTTCGACCGGAGCAGGAGAAAACGGCGGAAAAGAGGCAGCGGTAGTCGAAATGGGAGGCGAAGCTAATCCCGACGGACGGAAAAACACTCGACGGACCTAAACAAAGCGACTATGGTATCACCAGGCCACGAGCTACGAGCTACAAAACAACGAGATTGTGCAACTAGAGCTAGAGTACGGGTCAGAGAGACCACACAAGACGCAATTCAGGCTGAGCTCTTTCTATTGCTGAGACTGTGCGCGAAGTACGTAGGACGATCGTATCCTGCAGGAGCTACTCTCATTATACTTGAATGACTGGAAGATCAGGGCAGTGTAAATGCATCGGAAAAGTGAACAGGAACCGCGACTTTCCTGCTAGAGCTGGAAAGCAACCATTATCGGACTCCGCGGTCCATGCAGGCGCGTTGAAAATGGCGTGGACAGGATGGTTCATACGGCAGGTCCGAATGGAGAGCACAGCGTTGATGATCCACATGGCCGACACGTCAAGGTCTCATTAGCAATGCCGACACGAGTCGTGTCGATTGTTACGACGGCTCGATGAAAAGTGTTGATTTTACTCTCTCGACGGCGTCGTGAAGGAAAATACTAACTTAAGAGCACAGCGTGGACGCTTGCGGACGACCAGCAAGATGACCTACAGCACAGGGACGTCGCCTGGTCAGCAATCTAATTCGGAAGATGATGTCTGTAGGATGGCGAGTGAGCTGTGATGGTGGCTGCTGGAGGTCCATGGTGTTGCTTGCTCGGAACGATAGCTCGCTGGCAGGCATGCCTAAGAAGCACGCAGAAACTGATGAAACACAGTAGAGGCGAGAGTAGGCTGGAGAGGGTGCCAACGATCATGAATCAAATGGTGGTGGTCGGGCAGGTTTGCCGACGGGTGTGGAATGGCGTTTTGGGCAGGCGAGCCCCTGAAAGCTCGCTTGGTTGGACCCAGCGGGGAACAAGCTCCACTCATGGATCCCTTTCATCCTGCCCGCCTTCCTGCTGACTGCCATTGTGGTCCGTGCCGATGCGAGCCTTGGGCTTTTCGCCACACTGCTTGCGCTGTGTGGCATCCCTGTGTCGCATATTTCGCCGAGGAGTTCACAAGCTTGACTGACAGAATCGCACCCTGTCGCTTGGCGGAAGGCCGAACCGCCTCAGAGATTCCCGCGTTCAGAATGCCCTGTCCCCTCCCCACATACTGCTGACTGCTCCTTGGTGAGGGAACACCACCGCATCGCATATAGAGTCTGACCTGAATCCACTGAAACCTCTACTTATACGTGCACACCTGGATGGTACATGAACTGGTCTTTTCTTCGAATCAGATACAAAGCAAATTGATTTAATAAAAGAAAATATTTATTTCTACAGTGGAACACATTGTTACTGAACAACTGCTACAGTCATAACTGGAACTAAATTACATTCAAGAACTTGGTGACATGCACAGATTACAGAACTGTACTGTACATGTCATGCTGAACCAATTCTGTCATCCGAAAGTAACTGCATGCCAGGAACAATTCCTATGAGGGTGCTGCATGAGTGCGCCCATGCACCTTCACCCTCCGGGAGAAATGAGCCCAATGGTGAGAAAAAACTAGAAGCAACCAGTGCCGTCTTTGGCACTCATGCACTCAATCAGTTCGCATGCTCAATGTACTAGTCCACGGCACGGACCAGGACTCCCAAAAATGACGCCGATCTATGTGAATATTAATCACACGGCTTGGAGTCGGAATCATCTCTGGGCACATCAGCCAGGAAAATACAGAGAAAGGAAAGTTTGGAATGGGTGGAATCAAGGGTGAAAAGGAGCATAAGTATCAAGGTATCAAGGGCACAACATATCGACAGCAAAAAGAACCAGAGTCTGCTAAGAAACACGAGCCAGCAAATGTGGTGCCTAGAAAAGGCCTCACCCGTCCACCTCGTGGTTGGCCTGCTCCACGCGCCCCTCCTGCTGCCCCATAACCGAACTTGGGCTTCTTTTCAGCCGGCTTAAGAATCTGGAAGGAGCACATGAGGCTCTCGTCCACACTCATCATGGCACCGGCATTGTCAAACTCGCCACAGTAGTTGGGTGCGGAAAAGACTGTGACGAGCTGGCGCTTGGCAAAAAACTCATAACCGTCTTCCACAACCTACAGCACGAGTAGCATGGGTTGAGAAGAAATAAAACTTAGATAGCACAGGTGCATTCCCATAGCAACACAAAACACAGATAATGAAGCTCCGAGATTGGAACCCGCAGGAGAGCGCTCAGCACAAGGTGGGAGAATGGCAGTTCAAATCGTCAAACAGGCAATGCAGCAACACGGGCAAAGGAACAGAGCGGGCAGGGGGTTGATATACAGAAAGAACTGCAGTCAGGCTGAGAGAGCAGGTCGCACGGCAGGTGTACCTGATGAGCGCGGCAAACTAGGTCCAGGTCGTGCTGGTCAAGGAAGTCAGTGACGGCATCCGCGCCGAACGTGTACGACACACCCCGGTCGTTGTCTCCCCAACCTTGAATGTCCTTGTCAGGGTCAGCCCACAGCAGGTCGCACAGCAGACCGGCGTCTGGTACATCAGTAGGGCGACCGATCTTCTTGATCTGGTCCAGCGACCGCAGGTCGGGCGAGAGGCCGCCGTGCATGCAGAGAATCTTCTCGTCTATCAACGCAGCTACCGGAAGGCAGTTGAAACACTCTGTGAAGGTTTTCCACAGCCGAATGTTGTACCTAATTAACAAACAATAGCAAAAAAGAGTTAACACTGAATCATACACCACACAGTGCGGAAGGGGAGAAGACGTGTCATGCTAAGGAACGAGAGAAGGATAACCCTGTCGGGGAATGCCTCCCGCCACTAGATACCTGCGCTTGCACTCATCGTAGAAGCCGTAGATGCGGTTTATGGAAGCGCATTCATGGTTTCCTCGGAGCAAGAAGAAATTTTCCGGGTACTTGATCTTGTACGCCAGAAGCAGACAGATGGTCTCGAGGCTTTGCTTGCCTCGATCCACGTAGTCTCCTAGGAACAAGTAGTTAGCTTCCGGAGGGAAACCGCCGTATTCAAAGAGGCGCAAGAGGTCCGAGTACTGGCCATGAATGTCACCTGAGGAAAGATGGAAAGGTTGCGACCAAGAAACTGTGATGAGCTGTACTGTAAGAAAGCAGTCCAGAATTAAACCGAAAGGATTAGGAGGCCGAATGCTCTTGCCGGTACACGAACGCTGTAAAGGAAAAAGACGAAGCAGCACGTGCGGCAAAAGGATGGAATTCTAACCGCATATCTTGATGGGAGCTTCTAATTCCAGGAGGTTGGGCTGCTGCAGGAAGACGTCTCTTGCAGTGGTGCAGAGATTGCGAATCTCTGCTTCAGTCAACTGAACGAGTTTTCCTGGCCGTCCATTCCGCACATCCAGTAACAAGAATCAGTCTTGTATTCACACACGTGAACGACCCAGTGAAGCCAGGAGGGCGGCGCAGCCAGATCTCCTCGTGCAAGCTGCCCTGCAAGAAAGCTGTGCTGAAGTCAAGAGAGTGAAGCTCGTAGTCACGCTGAGCGGCAACGTGCAGCAGCACCCGAAGAGTGGTCATCTTCGGGGTGGGGGAGAAGGTCTGGAAGAAGTCTACTCCCTCTCGCTGACTGAAGCCTCGAGCAACGTACCGAGCCTTGAAGACAGGCGGAGAACCTGGCGGCCGCTTCACCCTGAAAATCCACATGCCACTGACGATGTTCGCCCCAGGAGGGGGAACCTCGTCGACGTAAGTGCCAGTGGACTTCCAGGATGCCATCTCTGCGTCCATGGCTGACTGCCACTGGGAGGAGTACTCACCCGCGATCGCCTCAGCGTAAGAGCGCGGGGTCGGGATGTCTGGAGCATCCGGGTCTCCCTCAGGGGCAAGCAGCATGGCCACAAGATGAGGTACAGCAGCAGCATAGCACTCAAACTCCTCCTGCCTGTCCTCAAGGACGTCCGTGCCAAGAGCACACTCACCCCCGACGGACGGAGGACAGACAGACTCAGACTCAGCAACAAGACTGGCAGCGTAGTCTAGACGACAGCGAGCAGCAAACTCGACAAGCTCAGCAACTAAAGCAGACGCAGCAGCTGACTCAAAGGAAGGGTCAGTGACAGCAGTGGCCAGGAGACGCGTGACAGTAGGACTAGCAGCACGAAGAGTGTCAGACTCCGGGTCAGCAAGGGCAGGAAGGGAGGACTCAGGAGGAGAAGGAAGAGGGACACGCTGTGGAGCAGTGGAAGGACGAAGCGTCATCTGGTGAGTGCCTGGGACAGCAGGAGGACGCTGACGCGGGACACGACGACCAGTGCGAGCAGCACGAACAGGTGACGCAGAACGAGACTCAGGCGACACAGGACGAGACTCAGGCTCACGACGCTCCGTAAGACCTCCTGTCGGACCAGTGTAGGGAGAAGGACCAGGGAGTGGCGAGGTAGGCGGTAACTGTGACTGCGACTGGACAGACGGAGGACACTCTAAGGAGGGAGCAGGACAAGGAGGAGGCAGCTGACCAAGAACCTGCTGAAGGAGAGGAACGAAGTACGGCCGCGGTCGAGCAGTGCCCCCAGAACCAGCAGAGACAGCACCAGAACCTCCAGCAACAGCTCCAACTCCTGCAGCACCACTAGCAGCTCCAGTAGCGCCAACACCGGTATCCCCAGCAGCACCAGCTCCAGCCGCACCGTCGGCTCCAGCACCAGGAGGAGGACGAGCGTCAGCGCCTCCAGCTCCAGCCCCTGCAGCAGCTCCAGGAGCACCCCCAGTCCCAGCAGCTCCAGTACCGCCAGTACGAGCACCTCCAGGACCAGTGGCTACAGCACCTCCAGCGCCAACACCAGGGTCAGCAGCGACACCAACTCCAGTAGGCCCGGCGTCCTCAGCTCCAGCTCCAGTAGCACCTCCAGTGCCCACAGCACCACGGCGGCGGCGACAGTACTGAGAGTACCACTCACGCAGCTGCTGGGGAGAGAGAGCGCCCCCAGGCGCAGCACCCCCAGGCTCAGGACCTCCAGGCTCAAGACCTCCAGGCGCAGCACCAGCAGTCTCCTCACCCCCAGGCTCAGCACCCCCAGTCTCAGCACCCCCAGGCTCAGTACCCCCAGTCTCCGCACCCCCAGGCTCAGCACCCCCAGTCTCAGCACCCCCAGACCCAGCACCACCAGGCTCAGCACGCTCAGCACCTCGCGCAGGACCAGAGTCGACAGCTACCTCAACAGGCTCGACCGGGTCTACCTGGGAAACACCTGAGGGAGCAGGACCCTGGGGAGGTAGGGGGTCTACCAAAGCAGCACCTGGCGTGAGGAAGAGCGGCGGGGGGGGGAGCGGGGCAGTGCGGTAGGGGAAGAGACGGTAGAAGGGGACCGACTCGTCAAACGTGACGTCCTGAGAGGCAAAGACACGGCGCGAGGTGGGGTGGTAAAACTGCCAGCCAGGCGCGTCAGGGACAAAGCCAAGGAAGACACAGGGAGCAGCGCGGGCGGAGAGCTTGTCCGCGGACGTATCGCGGACAAAGGCACGAGATCCCCAGACCCGGAACACAGACGCATCGCCAACCTCTCCCGTCCAACGCAGCGTCGGTGAGGTCTCCGGAACGGAGACACGGGGCCAGGGGTTGAGCTGATGCGCGGTGTACCGGACCGCAAACGGCCACAAAAAATGGGGGGCAGCCGCATGGACCAAGGAGGTACGAGCGACCTCCATGACCAAGCCAATGCGGCGCTCAGCAATCCCATTCTGCTGTGGAGAGGTCGGAAGCGTAAACGTCTGCTCAATGCCCTCCCCCTGACAGAAGGCCTCCAAGAGGCCGGAGGAAAACTCACCACCTCTGTCAGAGTGCAGTCGCAGGACGGGAAGGGCCGTGCGAAAGCGCCTCTCCAGCTGGAGACGGGTAGCGCGGATCCAACGGATCAAAACGGCAGCGACCTCTCCCTTGGTGCGCAAGGGGAAGACCGTGGTGTAACGCGTGTAGTCGTCAACTACCAGCAGGAAGTAGCGCTCTCCGCCCTGTCCACGGACGCGGGGTGGGCCCCACACGTCCATGTGAAGGGTCTGCAGAGGAGCCTCCGTCGGGGGGAACTCAGAGGAGTGAGGGGTGGCACGCTGCCGTCCCTCGACACAGGGAAGGCAGGGAAGGGCAGGAGACGGTGGCAGGGGAGGCAGTGACCTGGGGAGACCAGAGACAAGGTAGCGGGAGTGCATGCCACGAAGGCGCTGCATCGAAGGGTGCCCAAGGCGGTGGTGCCAGAGGACCGTCCGGTGCGACAGGGTGCGACACGAGCAGGGGGCGGACAACTGACCTGACGCAGACGCAGACGCCGCTACCTGAGGGGACTCAGTGGTCAGTGTGTACAGGTCCGACCCCGGCTGCCGAGTGAAGGTAGCCAGGTGACGACCCGTCTGGGCACACGTGCAGTGTGTCACACGCTCGTAGGCAGGGGTGAACTGGTGAACACCCGCGTCCTGGAGCGCGGAACCCGCCACCAAGTTCGTAGAGAACGAGGGGAGGTAAAGGCCAGACAGTGTGCCGGACGGGACAGCAGGACAAGGGAGGGCAGTGGTGGAGGTCGCAAGAACCGGACCCCCAGAGGGGTCAGCCAGGGAGACAGCAACCGGCCTAGGGAGCTGCTCGAGGGCAGTGCGATCGCGAAAGAAACAGCAGGAAGCACCTGAGTCCAGGGTGAACGTGTGCAGTGCCTCAGTAGACGCAGTACCTGAAGGCGCAGACTCACAAGCACCTGAGGCAGCAGACACACCTGCACCTAGAGCAGCAGCCTCACCAGGACCTGGGGCAGCAGACGCACTAGCACCTAGAGCGGCAGCCTCACTGGTCGTAATGCCTGGGTCTGGTGGCACACACAAGTAACAGTCACCCTCAACACTAATAGTCAATGCATACATGGCTCCTAGGATAACATCAAAGTCAAGTGCAAAGACATCAATGTTCTTTTTAAGCAGATCAGCCCAGCGGGGCAGCTCAGAGGCCTCAGGGAACTGTGCACGCCAGGCGTCGTCGAGACGGAAGAAGCAGCGCTGCGGCGTGTGGAACCTCCCACACGTCTGACCAGCGCGGTCACCTTTGCAGATGACATACGTGCAGGTACCCCCTCCCCCAGACCCCCCATGCTGAGAGTACCACTCACGAAGCTGCTGGGACGACGGGGTCTCTCCGGGACGCTGCTGCTGGCGCTGGACACCACCCGAACCTCCACGCTGCGCTGGTCCACCCCGACCACCACCCGTGCCGCCGCCACCACGCCCACCGCCGCCACCGCCACCGCCTCCACCCCGGCCTCCTCCACCACCACTGCCGCCACCACCCCCGCCGCTGCCACCGACCCCCCCAGCCCCGCTACCACCCCCACCACCGCCACCACCCCCACCCCCCCCACCGCCCCCACCTCCACCCCCACCTCCCCCGCTGGTACCACCACCACCCTTGCCCCCTTTGCCCTTGCCGCCCTTGCGCCTCCAGCTAGGAGCAGACGCAGCCCGGACTTCTTCAGCACCAAGGAAGTCGACAGCAGCAGCAGAGGCAACCGAGGGGAGAAGGGGGGGAGGGGAACACCCGTCAAAGAAGGGCGTGCGGGGGTCGCCACGAGAGGCACCTACAGCATTGATGCTAGACTCAGCTGCAAGCAGATGCTTCTCTAGGAGGTCAATGGTGAGCTCGGTGGGGCAGAGGGCGAGAAAGGTGTCCCTGACTGCGCGAAGGGAGTCAGGGAGGCGGGTGACTAGGTGGTAGAGAACGAGGTACATCGGGGGGGGGTTCTTGGCGAGGAACTCAGCAGGAAGGGCGGCGCGGTAGCGAGTGTCACTGGTGCGGAGGTGGGTAATGAGGTCAGCGACTGTGTGAAAGGCGGCGAGATCGGGGAAAAGATAGGGCAGCGAGAGACGACCTATCGTAGCAGAGGCAGGCGAGGAGTAGCGAGCGACGACTCCATCGTACAGTGCCTTAGCAGTCTTGTGCTGGCCGAAGTGTGCGCGCTCATCTAACAGCAGGTGGCTGCGAATGGCTAGGCGAGCGTGGGCGTCACGAGTCTGCCACTGGGAGCGGGCTGTACTGTCAGCAGTGTCAGCAGGTGCTAGAGCGGTTCCGGACGCGTGGTCATACAGCGAGACATCATCCTTAGCAGTGATCTGGAGGAAGAGGTGGAGATCGTCGAGCCAGGCATCGAACTGGAGCGGACGGCCCTCAGCATCGAAAGAGAGAACAGTGGGTGTAGCCATAGCGGCAGTAGCAGCAGTAGCAGTAGCAGCAGGAGCAGTAAGAGCAGCAGCAGTAGTGGCTGTAGTGAAACGAACAGCTGGAACAGTAGGAACAGGAACAGCAGGTGTTGTAGGTGGGGCGGCGCGGCTCGGTCTGGGCGGCGCGGCTCGGGGGGCGCGGCTCGGGCGGCGCGACTCGGGCGGCGCGACTCGGGCGGCGCGGCTCGGGCACGTAGGGCAGTGCGGCGGCGGGCCTAGCACGGTGGGCGGCGGTGCCTAAGCTGCAGCTGCGCACAGGCCGCTGCTGGGGTCGTGCTGCAGCAAAACGCGAGCTGCAGCAGTCTACTCACGAGCGTGACTGCTGGCGGGCTGCGACCTGCAGGCGGGCGGCGGTGGGTCGTGCGCCGTCCTAGGGGCGAGCGGTCGGGCTCGGGCTGCAGTCGCGCGCGGGCTGCGGCCTACGAAAGCAGGGGCGGCGACCTACGGGGGGCGACGCGACTTCCTACGGGCGGGGCTGCGTCGCGCTGGAAAGCCAGCCGGGTGGGTCGACGGGCGGCTAGCGGCCTGCTCGTGGGTGGTGCTAGTCGCGCGGGCGGCCTACGGTCGTCGCGCGCGCGATTCGGGCCGCGCGCGGGCTGCTAGTGGGCTGCTCGCGCTAGGAAAAAGAAGGGGGCCGCGCGGGGGGGCGGCTAGCGAGCTGCGCACGGGCAGCGTGAGAGAACGAGGCGCACGAGGGCGCGATAGTAAGGAGGCGCACGAGGGCGGTAAGTAGCGGAAGGGTAGGCCCTGATTTCGAGATGGTCCTAGGTTACTAACCTAGGCTACTGATGCCATGTTAGAACGAGAAGTATGAGTGGATTAGGTGAAGGCTAGGGTACAAGACTAGGGTATCGAGAAAGTTTGTGTACCCCCTAGTGCTAACCCCCATACAGCCTAGATAACCTAAACAAGCAGATATATATAATTTGACACTATCGATAGTTCACCTGTCGATGGTAAAGATTAATCCGCCTGGAGCGGCGCCAGTTGGAAAATACCATCTCTATTCTTCTTTTACGTATGAAGAGTTTGTAGGCGTCGCGACTCGTCCATTCTCCAGATACCGATTGCGGTCCATCGACGGAGATACAGTATTATTACGTCGCGGGGAATGAACGACTTTAGTACGCGGTTCTAAGACGAAGGATGGATTCACAACCTACTTACGCGCTGGTTCTAAGTCGCAGGACGGATCACGACCTTGCTACACGGTTCTAAGTTTCAGAATCGACTAGCGATCTCCAGTATCCGTTCTCAGGACGTACGATGAATTCGGAACCTTTAACATGCGGTTCTAGACCGCCATAGCGATTTTAACACCCGGTCCTTTTCGTCGATGCCGTCCTACCATGCTAGTCACTTCCGTCTCTGCATCCGGCCTTTCATCCAGCCGTCCCAATCGCCGATTTCGCATGCCGGTCGTCAGCTTTCGCTGCCGTTTGCCAAGTTCTGGCCTTTGCCGAGTGTCGCTGCAGTGAACTCGCTGCGGTCGAGTTTCGTTGCCGGTCGCCAAGTTCGCTCCTGTCGTTCGCCCTATTTCGTTGCAATTCGCCATGTTCCGCTACCTTTTGCCGACGGTCGGAGCCGTTCGCCGAGTGTTGCAGCCATTCGCAGCGCTGTGTCCGTTCGCCGAGTGTCGCTACCTTTGCGCTGCTACCGTTCGCCGGGTGTCGCAGCCTTTCGCAGCGCTGCTGCCATTCGCCGAGTCTTCCTGGCGTTCGTCGACTTCCTAGCTTTTGCTGATGTGCGCCGAGTTTGTCTTCCGCCGGTATCGCCGTCTTTCGCTGTCGTTCGCGAGCTTTGCTTCGATGAAAAACGCCAAGGATATAGAAGGTAGGCGGAACGCAGAGCATTGCGACAGAGCGGTCGACTTCAGAGCAGCTGTGTGTGTACGAGCAGTGACGCAGATCTACTCCAGCAGCAGTGGTAAGCGCGGATTCGGAGCAGCGCGGATTCGGAGCAGCGCGGATTCGGAGCAGCGCGGATTCGGAGCAGCTCGGATTCGGAGCAGCTCGGATTCGGAGCAGCTCGGATTCGAAACACCAGCAGCGTGGATTCGAAAGGGTGCGTGTGCGTGGAAAGCAATTGGGGGGTCGAGCAGTCTAGGTCGCCGCGCGGCAAGTCTTAGAATCATTCTTTGTTTCTTTCGAGTCCGTTTCCTTTGCTGCTTCTGACGCTCTCTCCTTTGTGCTTGTTCCTGTGATGTGTATTGCGAGGAGGAACGCGGATTGCGAGGAGAAACGCGCATTGTGCGAGGAGAACGAGGAGGGTCAGACGAACGACATCTGAGCAGCAGCAGCAGCAGCAACAAGGAACAGGGGGGAGAAAGCGGGAGGCGGAAGAGGGACTGTGTTACTGTGCAGTAAGGTAAGCTCTTGACTAAATCTATTGGGGGGGCTTAAACAGTCTAGGTCGCCGCGCGGCAAGTCTTAGAATCAAAATTGTGTTTCTTTCGAGTCCGTTTCCTCTGCTGCTTCTGACTCTCTCTCCTCTCTGCTTGTTCCTGTGCTGTGTATGCGAGGAGAAACGCGGATTGCGCGGAAAACGAGGAGGGTCAGACGAACGTCATCAGAGCAGCAGCAGCAGCAACCACAAGGATACAGGGGGGAGAAAGCGGGAGGCGGAAGAAGGAATGTGTTACTGTGCAGCACGGTAAGCTCTTGGCTTAATCTATTGGGGGGGGGTCGAACAGTCTAGGTCGCCGCGCGGCAAGTCTTGAATCAATTTTTGTTTCTTCCGAGTCCGTTTCCTCTGCTGCTTCTGACGCTCTTTCCTCTGTGCGTGTTCCTGTGCTGTGTATTGCGAGGAAAAACGCGGATTGCGAGGAGGAACGCAGAAAGCGCGGAGAAACAGGGATTGCGCGGGGAAACGCGGGTTGCGCGGAGAAGCCGCGGATTGCCGGCAGAACGCGGATCGTGCGGCGCAGGTTGCGAGGAGAAACGCGCATTTCGCGGACAGTGGGTGGTATCGGCAGCAACAGCGCGGATTCGAAGCACACTGGCAACAGAGCAGCTTTGACAAGGTGCGTGTGCGTGGCACGCAAGTGGGGGCCGCGTAGGACGTAGGAGTCCGCCGCGTAGGTGTCTTGAGTCCGCTATTCCTGCTGTCCAGCGTCTTTTCTCCCAAAGATCTAGGTCTAACCCACGTGTGTGTTCTCCCTCTGCTGTTGCACGTGTGGGGTGGGGAGGAGGAGGAGCACAGGTGAGGAGCCACGACGCGAACAACCTCCGAGCAGCAGCACTAGCAACAACAGGGATACAGGGGGGAGAAAGCGGGAGGCGGACTTGGGGACTGTGTTACTGTGCAGTACGGTAAGCTCTTGACCGAGTCTATTGGGGGGGTGTCGATCAGTCTAGGTCGCCACGCGGCAAGTCTTAGAACCTTTTCTTTGTTTCGTTCGAGTCCGTTTCGTCAGCTTCTTCTGACGCTCTCTCCTCTGTGCGTGCTCCTGTGTTGTGTTGTGTGCTCTGCTCTGGTTCCGATGCCTCCTTGACCGAGGCCCATGCACGCCTCGACACTCCTGCCCGCCAAGGCGTGGTGGTGCGTCGCGTCCCAAGAAGGTGCTAAGCCAGGAGCGACCCGGCTGCTGAGGCGTTTCAGGATCTGCCGCAGGGACGCCCCAACACTCCCGCTGAGCCGTCTCAGAAACTGGCTCATCATAGCAGCACGGTCAGTCATTGGGCGGGTCTATCGGGGGGGCAGAGCAGTCTAGGTCGCCGCGCGGCAAGTCATAGAATCCAATTTTGCATCTTTGGAGTCAGTTTTCGCTGCTGCTTCTGACGCTCTCTCCTCTGTGCTTTTTCTTGTGCTGTTGCGCGGAGAAATGCGGATTGCGCGGAGAAATGGAGATTGTGCGGATTGTGCGAACGCGGATCGTGCGGAGAACGCGGATACTGCGGGCAAACGCGGATTGTGTGGACAGTGGGCGGTATCTGCCGGCAGCGCGGCTTTGAAAAGGTGCGTGGGCGAGTGTTTCATTTACCGGAACGCGTGTGGGGCGCGTAGGACGTAGGAGTCCGCGTAGGTTTCTTGAGTCTAGTGTTTCATTTACCGGAAGTCTTTCTTGTTTCCGTGCTGCTCTCACGCATCTGTGCCCTCTTCTGCCCTCTCCTACTCGTGTGCGCTCTGTGTGCGTGCAGAGAGGGACGAGAGATGGAGCATTGGTGGTGCAGCAAACTGTCTTGCTCAACAACGTAAGCCTGCAGGAGCAGTAGCGGCAGGACCAGCAGAAGCGGCAGGAGCAGATGGAGGAAACTAGCAGCGGGAGAAGTATGGTAAGTTTTTAATCGAATCTATTTGGGGGGTCAATCAGTCTAGGTCGCCGCGCGGCAAGTCTTGGATTCTATTCTTGTTTCTCCCCAGTCCGTTCTCTCTGATGCTTCTAACGCACTCTCCTCTGTGCTTGTTGTTCCTGTCCTATGCTGTGTTCGCTGTTCTGGTTCCGGTGCCTCCTCCTCTGAGGTCCATGCACGCATGGACACTCATGCCTGCCAACGGGTGGTGCTCTGCGAGTGAGGAACCGCCTTCTGAGCCGTCTCAGAATCATTCTCACCAACGCATCATGGTATGTTGTTGGGTGCGTCTGTGGGGGGGGTATAGAAGTCTAGGTCGCCGCGCGGCAAGTCTTAGAAACGGATTCTGCTTCTTTCGAGTCCGCTATTTTTCTGCTTCTGACGCTCTCTCCCCTGTGCGTGTTTCTGTGAGCATTCACGAGGCAACAGTCCTGCCTGCCAACGGGTGAAGCGCTCCGCGGCTGAGGATCCGCCCTTTCTGACGTCTCGGAAATTGAACCACAACGGCAGTATGGTAAGTCGATGGAGGGATCAATCAGGGGGGCAGTGTAGCCTAGGTCGCCGTGCGGCAAGTCTTAGAATCGCTTTCTATTTTTCCCAAGTCCTTTTCGTCTGCTGCTGCTGACACACTCTCTTCTGTGCCTGTTCCCGTGCTGTGTTGTCTGCGCGCTTCCAGTAACGACCCGACTGCTGTGGCGGCTCATAATCTGCCCTACGGACGCCCCAACACTCGTGCCTGCCACGGGTGGTGCCTGAAAGGGAGGGGCTGTGCGAGGGAGGATCCGCCTTCTGAGCCGTCGCAGGAACGGACGCATGCTGGCACCATGGTAAGTCGTTGCTCTCATCTATTGGGGGGGTAAACAAGTCTACGTCGCCGTGCGGCACGTCTTAGAATCAAGGTTTGATCCTCCCGAGTCCGTTTCCGTTGTTGCTGCTGATGCACTCTCTTGTGTGCGTGTTCCCGTGCTGTTTTTGCTGCTTTGGGAGTCTCCCTGACTGAGGCCCAGGAATGTGCTGACAGTGCCTCCCAGGAAGGTACGGTGCGAGTGAGGAAGGAGGATCCCCCTTCCGAGCCGTCACGAATTTTGGCTCACCACGGTGAGTGGCTGCGCGGGTCTCTTGGGGGGGGAGAACAGTCTAGGTCGCCGTGCGGCAAGTCTTAACATTGGTTATAGGTTTTCCTGAGTCTGTTTCCATAGCTGCTTCTGACCAACTCTCCTGTGTGCTTGTTGTTGTTTTGTATTGCTCCCTGACTAGTTGAGATTTCCCTGACTTTGACCGAGGGACACGTCTCAGACGCTGGCAGTGCGTCCCAGGAAGGTGCTGTGTGAGTGAGGAGCGAGGGACCGCCTTCTGAGCCGTCTCAGACGCTGTTGAGACCCAGGGACACGTCTCAGAAACTGGCTCGCCACGGCAGTATGGTAAGTAATCTGGGCGGGCTCATTGGGGGGGCAGAGCCGTCTAGGTCGCCGTGCGGCAAGTCGTAGACTTATTCTCTGATTCTTCTGAGTCTTCTTTCGTTGCTGCTTCTGACGCACTCTCCTTTGTGCATGTTCCTGCGCTGTGTTTGCTGCTGTGGTTCCCATGCCTCCTGCACTGGTTCCTGCCAAGGCCTGGTGCTTCTCAGAGCGGTGCTGTGGGGATCCGTGCTTTTCAGGCCTGGTTCTTTTCAGAGAGGAGAGGTGCGAGTGAGGAGTCGTCTCACAAACTGGCACACCATGGCAGCATGGTAAGCGATTGGGTCGGTTTATTGGGGGGGGTAAGAGCAGTCTAGGTCGCCGTGCGGCAAGTCGTAGAATTAATTTTGTTTCCTTTGAGTCTGCCTCCATGCTGCTTCTGCTGACGAGCTCTCCCCTGTGCTGGTTGCTGTGTTGCATTGGCTGCTGTGGATGATCGGGTGTCTCCCTGACTGAGACCCAGGGACGCTCTGACGTGCTCCCCAACAAGCTGTCATGCAAGTGGGAATCCGCCTTCTGAGTTATCACGGGGTTTCGTCACAACGGCAGAAGGGTGAGTGGCTGACGGGTATATTGGGGGGATAAAGCAGTCTAGGTCGCCGTGCGGCAGGTCTTAGAATCAGTCTTTGTTTCTTCTCAGTCCGTTTCCGTTGCTGCTGCTGACGAGCTCTCCCTGTGCTTGTTGTTGCTGTGCTGCATTGGCTGCTCTGGTTCGCGGTTCTCCCTGAATCAAACCCACGGACGTGCTGGCAGTGCGTCCCAGGAAGGTGTCTTGCGAGTGACGAGTGAGGAGTGAGAATCCGCCTTCTGAGCCATCTCAGGCCCTGGCTCACCAATGGTGAGTAATTAGGCAGGTCTACTGGGGGGGCAAGGGAGTCTAGGTCGCTGCGCGGCAAGTCCTATGATCGATCTTTGCTTTCTTTGAAGTCCGTTTCTCTCCTGCTTCTGACGAGCTTTCGCCTGTGCTTGTTGCTTGTCCCCTGTGTTTGTTGCTGTGTTGCATTCGCTGCTCTGGATCGGGTGTCTCCCTGACTGAGACCCAGGGACCTCCTGGCAGTGCGTGTGCGTCCCAGGAAGGTGCTGCACGAGTGAGGAGGGGGGGTCCGCCTGCTAAGCCGTCTCAGGCTCTGGCTCACCACGGCAATATGGCAAGTGATTCGGGCTGATCTACTGGGGGGGCAGAGTAGTCTAGGTCGCCGTGCGGCAAGTCATAGAATCGAGTTTCTTTTCTTTCGAGTCTGTTTCCGTTCCTGCTTCTGACTCACTCTCCTCCTGTGTGCGTGTTCCTGTCGTGTGTGTTTCTGTTGTGCGGTGTGCTCCTGTGTGTGTTCCTGTCATGCGGTGCATGTGCCTGGTAGACTGAGAGGCGTGGAATGGGCGTCCCATGGACAGGAAGTGTTGCTCCCAGGGGTGGTGCATCCCAGAGACGCACTGGCGTGGCTTGGGTAAACACTAACATTCAGAGGGCGAAGGGCAGTACAGGCAGACTCTCGCATGGGTGAGTGTCTCCTATCCTCGTCCTTACATGCATGCTCTCGAGCACGTGTGTTCGCCCTGCGCTTCACCCTCCCTTCGCTTCCCCCCTCTCTTCCCTCCTTCGCCACCTTCTTCCCTCGCCCCTGTTTTTGCAGGTGCGTGCAATGGGGTGGGAGGAGCAAGGCAGCACAGCAACCGACTGAGTTCTCAGCACGGCACCAAGCGTGTTCTGCACTGCATTGGAAGGGTGTCTCTCTCAGAGGTCCATGTCACAGAGGTACCCGCCATTCTCTTGCATCGCGTCTCTAGTGTTCTTCTGGCTTGGCTTTCTCTGTGTATTTTTTCTGCTGCATCTCTGCTTGCTATGGTGACTTGCAGTTTCCTCCTTTCCCTCCTCCCCACTTCCGTTGTTTCCCTTCTCCTCCTGTGCACCCTGCTACCCTGCAGTCTCTGCAGCAGCAATCGCTGCAGAGGCAACAATGGCCACTGCAGGGGGAGCATGTGGGGCATGAGCCGCATCAGGTGAGTTCCTTCCGCTCCTTCCATCTCCCCTCCGGTCCTTTAATAATACCGCATTTTCTTCTGCCATTGTCCTTGCATTACAGAACATGCCCCTCCCAACGCACTCCGCTTTGCTCCCCTCCCCCCCATCAGGCAACAGGCAAGGTTGTAGCAACACCGTCAACATACATGTGGTAGCACTAGAGGACAGGAAGGGAGGGAAGGATGAAAATGGATAAGCATTGAAGGGCAGAAGTGGAGATGAAATGAATGAAATGCTGGTTACCAACAGGGTGAGTTTTAGCCCCCGTGCTGCACCCACCCACCCATGCTTGCCATGCTGTGTTGTCCACTGAGTCCTTATGCGTTCCAACTCACAATCCACACACCGGATCAAGTTACTCCCTCTTTGCAGTTGCCCCCCTAATCCTATTACGGTTGCCCCCTGTTTACCCCTTCTGTCCAGGTCACTTCCACACTTCGGTCTTCTCTCTCCTACACCCACTTTTGTGTGGATTCGTCACTTCAGTTGCGCAAGTGCGTCACCTCTCGCTGCTTCTCCATGCTCATCCCTGCTATGTCATGTTCCTGCTACTTACTTTCAGCCGGTTTCTGCATGTTTCTCCCTTGTATTTACTTGCCCTGTGTTATCTCCCCAGCTAGAGTCTCCTTCGCGTCTTCATGTATTTTGTTTTCCCCCTGGGGCATTCGTCCTTCCCACTGACATTCCATCCTCCCTGCATTGCCGCCTTCCCTTTGCAGGGCAGCAGGGGGAAACAGGAACAGCGATGCACACCAGCAGTAGTAATGAGAAATAGTAGTACGGTAAATATAATAATTGCTGGCGCATGAAAACGGTGCAAGGTTTAAGGTGAAGGTCTTATAAATAACCTATGTAAGGATGGCGAGGTATGGTGGGGTACTATTTCTGTAGTGTGCTGTAGGTATGGTAAATGATGCTGAGGTATGGTGAGGCATGGTATGGTACAGTGACTCCTCAACCAAACCAGGGAAAAGAATCACTGAACAGAGGAAGCAGTCATGCCTAGTCAAACACAGGTAGCAAGCACCTGTGACAAAGAGTCATGCACAGTGCACAGCACACACATATAGCCGAAGACAGAACCACCCAGCTTAGGGGTGATTGAGTGTAGCCCAATAAAGGATGCAGCCCACACCCAACCAGAGAATCAAGGCCCAATCGCAAAAGGACACCCTGTTTGAAGCAGAATCACATGGCGCAGGTGTTGAATTGAATTGACACAGGTTTTGTTCATTGGGCCTAAACGTGCAGGATAACTGTGATTCTGTTTTCCATGTAGACATTCCGAAGTTTACTGATTACGAGACCTCTTGTGGAATTTATCGTAGGCGGTCAATGTCAACGCTTCGGTGGCCGAAGTCAACGCTATACGTGCCTCGTTAGCCGCTTCCCCGCTGCAAGTAAAATATTCTCCGAGTGGTCTACACTTCACTATTGGCTCCTCTTGCCGCAGGACTGCAGGTGCTCTGGCCCAGAAGAGCATCGCTTTCGGGTCCGAAGTTCCCAAGGTTGGTGCTGGCTGGCTGCCGCAGGCACGGAAATCGGCATTAGTTCGCAGTCTTCCAGATGCCATACTCACCCTGATGCGTTCCAAATAACGGCCATTTCCAGCTATAGGGAGGGCGCATCGTCAAGTAATTAATCAAATTGCTGCCTTTCTAACATTCGCGAGCGTTCATGTCTTTTGTCGTAGGCATTAGCGAAAGAAGGCGCTGGTTCTGCCGGTGACAGCTGGCCACTGGTTCGTAACACGTCGAGCGACTGAACGTTTATATTCTCTTCATGCCGGAGTTTTACTTCTCAGCTTCACACCCCGCGCGTCGCTAATGTCTCGGTAGCTGCCATGGCGTTGCCACAGCGGCGTCGGCGCCTTTACACCTCGGCTCGTAATCGTCACTCAGACTTGTAACTCGATGCTAACATGGCGGCGACTTCGTTAGCTTGGTGCGAAAGCCAGTACCTTTTACTCGGATACTCGAGTTTTAGGTTTCCATCCGTTAGTGAAAGCACTCTTTAATTCCAGTGCTCAGTCTTCCGACTTTTGGCCGGCAGTTTATTACCAGCGGTAACATTAGGTTTAAATTACCTCGGGACAAGACTATTAAGACGCTTTATCGCAGGATACAAGTGTAGCCCTTGGCTCTCCGCCGCTGCGTACCCGGTGCTAGCCACGCTTAGGTTTTCCTCGACTGAGTACGACCTGTTATAAATCTTCACGTATTGAAGCGTGTCTCGCCTCAGAGTGTTTCGAGGCTCTCTCATTCCGCGGGCATTCGGCGTGGCAGTGAGGCGGCAAGATGAATTTCTCGCACGACAAGTTCGACGCGGAGAAGTATGTGGACGACCAGATGCAGATCATGGACGAACGGGTACGTGGCATGAGCATCACCTCCTCTTTCCCTTTCCCTCCCCTCCCCTTCCCCACCTTCCCCTCCTGAACTGATCATACAGTCTTATTTCCAATTTCCTTGTTCATCTCCTCGCGTCCCGTCTTATTCCCGTCCCCGCATCCCACCGTCACCCCCCCCCCCCTTCCGCTCCCTCCCCCCCGCAGGGTGTGCGGCTGCTGGTGGGGGACCTGGCGGACTACAGGCGCGTGTCAGCGGACGAGATGCGCAAGAGCGTGTTCGCCAACTACACGGCGTTCATCGGCACGTCCAAGGAGATCGCCGAGCTGGAGGTGGAGCTGCAGCAGATGAAGAACCTGCTCTCCGTGCAAACCGCGCTCATCCACTCCCTCGCCGCGGATAGCATGAGCAATGATAATAGTAATAGCGCTTCTGGTGGTGGTGGGGGGGGTGGGGGTGGGGGTTCGACGCCTGCGTCGACTACCTCGTCGGTTACCACTGCTGGTACTTCGTCCACCTTCGCTGGTGCTTCGTCCTCGTCATACGCGTCCTCGTTAGCCACCCCGCAGCAGGACGAGGAGGAGGACGAGCGGCTGTGGAGCGTGGAGGTTCCCGAGCCGACAGAGATCGAGAAATACGCGGAGGCGCTCCCGGATATACTGGATATTCTTATAGCGGAGCGCAAGGTCGACCGCGCTATAGAGCTGCTGGAGCAGGGGCAGCAGATTGTGCAGCTGGCGCTGGCGACGGCAGGGGACGGGGCGGGCGGGGGCGGAGGCGGGGGGAAGGGGGGAGGGGGTGGGGCGGGCGGGGAGGACGAGGAGATCCTGAGCGCGGACGCGGCGAACGCGCTGGCGGCGGCGATCGCGGAGAGGCGCGCGTGGCTGATGGCGCAGCTGGAGGAGACGGCGCAGCAGGCGGCTGTGCGCGGACAGGAGCTGCGCCAGGCCGTGGGCGCGCTGTACCGCCTGGGGGAGACCGAGCGCGCGCACCAGCTGCTGCTGGGCGCGTACGGGGAGCGCATCAGGAGCGGATCCCGCCTGCTGCGCCCCCGCGGGACCAGCTTTGGGGGGGCGTACACTGCTGCCCTGGCGCAGGTGAGTGCGTGGGGAGGGGGAGCGTTGGGAGGGGGAGGCCGTGGTGGAGGGGAGGGCGTGAGGACTAGGGGGTGAAGGTCCTGGAATGGTCATGGGTGGGTGGCGTAACGTGTCTTTCCCTCATCCCGTTTCCCCCTTTCCCGATTGCTTCCCCCACTTTTCTCCCCAGGCGGTGACAGCTCACAGCATTTTGTGAGGTCTTGTATCCATTTTCTCACCTCTTTCCCTCCCCTCCCCCGCCCCCCCACCCCTCCTCTCCCCACCTTCCCCCTCCCCTTGCATACCCCCAGCTGGTGTTCTCGGCCATATCTCAAGCAGCCACAGACTCGGCGCGCATATTCGCATCGGACCCGGCGTGTGCGGCGGACCTGCTGCTGTGGGCGCAGAGGGAGACGGAGTTCTGTGTGTCGCTGCTCAAGCGCCACGTGCTCTCCTCCGCTGCTGCTGCTGGCGGGCTGCACGCCGCCGCTGAATGCGTGCGCATCGCCCTGGGTCACTGCAGGTGGGTTGGTGGGAGGTGGGGCTCTGCATGTGGTGGCAGGTGGGAGGGTTTTTGGGGCACCGCAGGTCAATTCGTTGCTGTTCACTCGCTGTTCGCTGCCGCTGCTGACGGGCTGCACGCCGCTGCTGAATGCGTGCGGATTGCCCTCGGCCACTGCAGGTGGGTGGTGGGTGCCTGGGCAGTGCAGTTGTGAGGGTGCTGGGGCAGTCTAGGTGGTGGGAGCTGGCGCAGTGCAGATGGGAGGGAGGGTGCTTGGGACCTGCTGCTGTGGGCGCAGAGGGGGACGGAGTTCCGTGTGTCGCTGCTGACTCCGATGCCTTCCTGTGCCTTACCCTTCCCCTCCTCCCCTCCACAGGCTACTGGAGGAGCAGGGCCTCACTCTTTCACCTGTGCTCTCCAAGCTAGTCCGCCCCAGTGTGGGGGAAGCGCTCGAGTTCAACATCATCCGCATAGAGGACTCCGTCGCCACCATGGTGGCTGTGGACGACTGGCTGCTGCTGCCGCTCCCCCATGCCGTGCTGCCCCTCTCTTTCCACCCCGCCCTTGCCTTGCAGGCTATTGGAAGAGCAGGGCCTCACGCTCTCCCCAGTGCTGTCCAAGCTGGTGCGCCCCAGTGTGGAGGAGGCCCTCGACTTCAACATCATCCGCATAGAGGACTCTGTCGCCACCATGGTGGCTGTGACGACTGGCGGCTGCTGCCGCCGTCCCAAGCTGTGCTGAGCTGACCCCCATGCCATGCTGCCTCTCCCCTCCTCCCTTTCTCCTGCAGGCTGTTAGAGGAGCAGGGTTTGGCCCTCTCCCCAGTGCTCTCCAAGCTGGTCCGCCCCAGTGTGGAAGAAGCCCTCGAGTTCAACATCATCCGCATAGAGGACTCCGTCGCTACAATGGTGGCCGTCGATGACTGGGTGTTGCTGCCGCTCCCCCACGGCGCTGCTGCCACGGGCAGGGTGCGCGCGCTGCAGCAGACGCTGGGCCCGGGGTTGATGCACCTGCGGCTGTCGAGCAGCGGCCAGCGGTTCTATCTCTTGCTCGTGGTGAGTGGTGGGGAGGGTGAATTGAGGGGACTGGGGAGAAACAGGGTGCGCGTGCTGCAGCAGACGCTGGGCCCGGGGCTGATCCACCTGCGGCTGTCCAGTAGTGGCCAGCGGTTCTACCTGCTGCTCGTGGTGAGTGGTTGTTGTGCTGCCTCTAGCCGTTGTTGCTGCCACTGCCCCACGGCGCTGCTGCCACTCCCTCACGGCGCTGCTGCCACAGGCAGGGTGCGCGCTGCAGCAGACGCTGGGCCCGGGGTTGACGCACCTGAGGCTGTCCAGCAGCGGCCAGAGGTTCTACCTCTTGCTCGTGGTGAGTGGTTGTTGTGCTGCCACTGGCAGGCAGGGTGTGCGCGCTGCAGCAGACTCTGGGACTGTGATTAGTGATGACACGGGCTCATGCACCTGAGGTTGTCCAGCAGCGGCCAGCGGTTCTACCTGCTGCTCGTGGTGAGTGGTGGGGTGGCGTATGGATGGAGTCAAGAGAAGGTGCGGGGTTGATGTGTGTGTGTGGTGTGTATCAGCTTGCCAAGGGCTGCTCTTTCCGCTCATTCCACCCTCCACCCACCCCACCCCACCCCACCCCTCCCCACCCCGCACCAGGACTTAGTAGAGGACATATTGCCGGTGATCAGCCTGAAGCTGTTCGGTCGCATCTTGGACCGCCTGGCGTCCCTCTACTCGCCCTCGGTGTCTTATCTATACCCTCTCCCATCCACCCCATTCCCACCCCTCCCCACCCCACATCAGGACTTGGTGGAGGACATACTCCCAGTGATCAGCCTGCAGCTGTTCGGCCGCATCTTGGACCACCTAGCGTCTCTCTTCGAGTCCTACGTCGCCCTGCTGCAGAGAAGGCCTGCTCGTTCCCCTCATTCCACCCCACACCACCCCTCCCTACACCCCCGCCACACACCAGGACCTAGTGGAGGACATTCTGCCGGTGATCAGCCTGCAGCTGTTCGGCCGCATTCATCACTCCCTCCCTTTCCCCCCCCATTTCCTCCCCCCGCCCCTCCCCACCCCACACCAGGACTTAGTGGAGGACATATTACCGGTGATCAGCAGCTGTTTGGCCGCCTGGCGTCCCTTCGTGTCTAAATTGTACCCCTTCCCTTCCCCCCTGCCCCTTCGCCCCTACCCCACATCAGGACTTAGTGGAGGACATTCTCCCGGTGATCAGCCTGCAGCTGTTTGGTCGCATTCTCGACCGCCTGGCCTCCCTCTTCGAGTCCTACGTCGCCCTGCTGCAAAAGGCCCTCCCCTCGCCCTCCGACGACGATGACGAGGAGGACGGGGAGAACGCGGGGGAAGGAGGCAAAGACAAGGGCGGGGAGAAGGGCGGGGAGAAGGAGAACGGGGAGGAGCCGTGGCAGGACGGCAGTGTGCGGACAGCAGAGGACGAGCAGCAGCAGCTGGCGCTGCTGGGGAATGCGTCGGCTCTCGCGGATGATCTGCTGCCGCGGCTGGCTCAGCGGCTCACGCTGGCTGCTGGGGAGGAAGGTGGCGGGGGAGGGGGGCGAGGGGGGAGGAAGCAGGGCGGGGCGGATCCAGACAGGAGGCTGTCTGCTGGCGGACGGTACGCCCCCTCTCTCTCTGAATGCTCTTTCTCTTTTCGGCTCTCGGTCCCCTCTGTTGTCCGGTCCTGCTGTATCGTCTGTGGGAGTGGAACCTCCCTTGGACCAACCAAACCCCAAGCCACGGATTTCTTCCTACAGCCATCCGAATACATACATCTCTCGACAGCGTGGGGCAGCGCACTGGGAGTGGCCCCAGGAACTCACTGTTGAGTCGACTCACGAGTCCCTTGCCCTGCCTCCTGACTCTCTCCCCCTCCTCTTCCCCTCTCCCTCCTTCTCACGGTCGCAGCAATGCGGCGGAGCACACGGAGTGGCGGCCCCTCCTCCCCTCCCCTTAACCCTTTCCCCCGGGCATCCCCCTCTTCCTCCCCCTCCCCCTCTCCCCCTCTCGCAGCAACGCGGCGGAGCACAAGGAGTGGCGGAGGAGGCGGCTACAGAAGGCGGTGGACAAGTTGAGCGACGTGCTGTGCTCAAAGGGTGGGGCCCGCAAGCTCACCCCCCATTCCCTCCCCCACCTCCCCAACTCGTTCCCCCTCATCCCCACGTTCCCCCCCTTCCCCTCTCCTCCCCTTAACCCTTTCCCCCGTGTCCCTTCCCCACCCCCCTCTCCCCCTCTCGCAGCAACGCGGCGGAGCACAAGGAGTGGCGGAGGCGGCTACAGAAGGCGGTGGACAAGCTGAGGGACGTGCTGTGCTCGTGCCTGGTGGCGGAGTTCATGTACGGCCACGACGGCCAGCCCATCCTCACCGCCCACCAGTACCTCCACATGGACGCCAAGATGCGCCCCACCCAGTGGGCGCTCAAACCCCTCCCCTCGCCGCCTTTTCAGGTAAGCGTCTGGTGTCCAGGCCAGGCCAGTGAGTGTTAGTCAGGTCAGTGTTTGCCAGCCTGTTCTCACCGCGCACCAGTACCTGCACATGGACGCCAAGATGCGCCCCACCCAGTGGGCGCTCAAACCCCTGCCCTCACCGCCCTTCCAGGTCAGCATCTGCTCTGTCCAGGTCAGAATCTGCTCTGTCCAGGTCAGCATTAGCCATCCAGGACAGGACTTTGCTTAATACGCATATCCCACTTTCAGGCTCTGCTCTGCACTTCATCCACCCAACTCATCCGCCCCAAACGTACTGGGATGGAATGGGAGGGCGTGACTGCATGGTGACGCTGCTGCATGCTGCCTGGTGCTGCTGTGATGTGTTCACATCCTACCTAACATGCACCTTTCTTTGTTTCATCATCCCACGATCCCTCCCCCCAGGTGCTATACATGGCGCTGCACTCCATTCATTCAACCGCCACGTACGTGCTGGGAGGGCGCGACCGCGTGGTGACGCTGCTGCCTGCCTGGTGCTGCTCTCATGACCTTACCCGCTTCCAAACACGCTCCTTTCTCACCTTCCAATCCCCTCCTCCCCCTCCCCTCAGGCACTATACATGGCGCTGCACTCCATCCACTCAACAGCCACGTACGTGCTGGGAGGGCGAGACCGCGTGGTGACGCTGCTGCTCATGCGCCTCGCCGAGTGGCTCATGATGGGCCTCATGGTCTACAGCTCCTTCTGGGACGAGCTGGAGAACGCTGAATACGCCCTCGGCCCTACAGGCTTGCAGCAGGTGCGTCCCTTGTGTGAGGATGGTAAGGTGGGGGATGGTGAGGAAGGGGATGATACAAGAGTCAGTAGCGGAGGTGCCCGCCTCGCGGAGTGGCTCATGATGGGCCTCATGGTCTGCAGCTCCTTCTGGGACGAGCTGGAGAACGCTGAATACGCTCTGGGGCCTACTGGCCTGCAGCAGGTGCGTTGATGTTTGCTCGTGTGTGCGTGCGTGTACAAAGAGGTGCTTGCCTGGTGCAGTGGCTGATGATGATGGGCGTCATGGTCTACAGCTCCTTGTGGGACGAGCTCGAGAATGCAGAATACGCCCTCGGGTCGGGCCCACTGTTCGCGTTGTGTGTGATTATGTGGGCTTCACGAGGGGGGCCATGATGTGCTGCACCTTGCATCCTTGTACGTGTGGTTGTGTGGGCTTCAGCAGGGAGGGGTGCGCGTGCAGGTGGGTAAGTTATGCAAGCACTTGTGCGGGCAATTCACACATCTGGACTCACTCACTCATTCTCCTTCGCTACTGCTGTCCTCCCCACCCTGACCTGCTCCCCCTCTCTCCCCACTTCCACACCAGCTGGTGTTTGACATGTATTTCGTGATGCAGGTAGCCAAGGCGGGCAAGTACTCATCCAGGGCCATGCGCAAGGTGGCAGAGGACAGCGCTACTAAGGCTATTGTGCTCTACACTGATCAGACGGGAGGGGACCCCAACAGGTGCGTGCTGCCAACAATCCAATTGCTCAGTGCAGGGGGACAAGGGGGACAAGGGGGACAAGGGGGGCAGGGCCATGCGCAAGGTGGCAGAGGACAGCGCCACCAAGGCCATCGTGTTGTTCACAAATCAGGTGACTTGTGGGTCGACTCAAAAGTCACCTTGTTCACGAATCAGACCAGGGGGGACCCCAACAGGTGTGTGTGTGTGTGTGTTTTGCCATTGATCCAATCCAAGCAATGCACACTAGTGTAAGGTCGCTGCAGGGAGGGCAGGGCCATGCGCAAGGTAGCAGAGGACAGCACCACCAAGGCCATCATGTTGTTAATGGATCAGACTCGGGATGACCCCAACAGGTAAAGCCTCAGTTTCAGACAGGTGCCCCATGTTCTTCCTGTTGCCCCAAGTGTGTGGAGGCCAGAGAGTAGCTCGCAGCACCCGCTCTCCCCTTCATGCATCTCCACCATTTCCTGTCCCCCCGATCCCTGGCCGCTCTCTTCTCCTTTCCCCCACTTCTCCTGCCCCACAGCCTCCTACAGGAGGACTGGTGGTGTGTGTGGAGGCAATAGAGGAACTCACATCTCCTCAGCAGTCTGCCTGGCTTTCCACCCCCCCTCTCTCCCCCGTCGCCCTTACTTTTTTCTTCCCCTTCTATCCTGTGCAGTCTCCTACAGGAGGACTGGTGGTACGAGCATAAGTGTGTGGAGGCAATAGAAGAACTTGCAGCAGCAGCCAGCCCAGCAGCGTCCCCTACTGATTCGCCCAGCCGTCACCGCCGCTCCTTCTCCCAAGAAGACCCTGACGACCCACTCGCCGCCGCCCCCTCTGCTGCTGCTCCTGCCGCTGCTAGTCCTGCTGCTCCTGCTGGTGCTGTTGGCACTGGTGCTGCTGGTGGTTCTACAACTGCTGCTGCCTCGTCTCCTACAATACCGGGTCTGCAGCAGCAGGGGGATGGGGGGTTGTCCCAACAGCAGCAGGGCTTGGGGAGAGGTGGGTTGGATGAGGAGAGGAGACCAGCGGCAAAGGGACAGTATGATATGTATGATGATGATGGGGGGGTTAGGAGTGCGAGACCAGGAGGCAGGGGAGCAGTCCGAAGCCCTACGGGTGAATCAGCAGGAAGGGGGGCGAGGAGCAGAGGGTTTTCAGAGGATGATTATGGGAGCGGGGGCGGCAGGAGTGAGTATGCGGGGCGGGATAGGGGGGATGGAAGGGAGTATGGGAGGGAGTATGGGAGGGGGGACAGTGTGGGGAGCAGGGAGTATGGGAGGGAGAGGGATGGTGCAGGGGGGTGGGAGTATGGGAGGGATGACGGAGGGAGGGATTATAGGGAGAGTGGTGGGAGGGATTATGGGAGGGAGAGAGATGGATCGTATAGAGACAGGGATGTGTCGTATAGGGAGAGAGATAGGGATGGGTATGGGCGGGATGAGAGAGGTTATGCGGGGCGACAGGCACAGAGGCGAGGAGGGTACTGATGTGAGAGCGGAGGGAAGAGGAGGGTAGTGATGTGAGAGTAGAGAGGAGGGGTTTGATGCGAAAATGGAGAAGGAAATTGATGGGTTGAGTTGGTGGAGAGAACGTTGGTCAAGGAGGCTGCCCCCTGCGAGCTCCCAATGGGCGGGGAAGAAAACAAGGGGACGACAACGAGGCTGCGAGGTGGGATTCTTGATAATGGAAAATCCCTGTTATGGGAGTCCCTTCACATGCTTCTCTTTGCTAGGGAAGGGTTGCAGAAGGGCTTTGTCTGTAGCAGGGAAAGATGTTTGTGGAAAATGCTTGTCGCAAGTAGCAGCAGAAAAATGAGGCACCTGATGCCTGAAATTATGTCCCACGTAGGTGATCTAGTTCATGTGTGTTTTTATGTGTAACTAAACGCAAAGAATTTTAGGACGAAAATAATCTTCACGGAATTCATCCTCGTTACAACCCCGTTTCTTCGCCCTCTGTTCAGCGACATAGCTACTCCGAGAACAGAAACTAGTTTCGAGTCCTCCTCGTCCCTTCCATTGGGCCAAGGGTTGTGCGTTGCAGCGAAACAAGTCCTGCTGTTGCTCCCGTTTCTCTCTGATTTCCTTTCCAGCTTCATCCCAGCGGGTCCGCACCGCAGTGGTCGTGACAGCGTAGCAGCTCATCTAGGCAATTCTTGACGCGTATCGTGAGCCTCGGGATTACTTGAAGCGAGCCGTGCTAGTGGGGAGAATGGGAAGCGCGGGGAAACTTAGAAGCGGCCGTGCAGCCATGACGTCCGTAACTTCCTCGAAGGTAGGGAGGGGGAAGAAGAAGGCGGGAACTGCATCTAACCGGGGTGAGCCGAATTCAACCGAGCCTCCAGCGACGCTGGCTACAGTGCGTGACGATGACGTCGCAAGTGCAGGTTTCGCAGCTGAAGCCGCAGCGGTCGCAGACGTGACGGCGACAGCACACCCTAACTCGGCGTCGCAGGCGTCGCCGCCTGGAGGCACGCGGAAGCGAGCGGCCGGCGATGATATCGACGCGATTTTTAACCAGGCGAAGCAGAGCAAGCAGCATGCGGCGGCGGGCAGCGGGCAGAAAGGAAAAAACGGCAAAGGAAGCGCGAAAGACCAGGGCAGCGAAAAACCACCGGGGGAGAAAAAGGGGAAGAAGAAAGGTAAAGCTGGTGGAAGTGGCATGGATTCAGATAGCAAGGCAAGGCAGCGGACGGAGGAGGGGTACAGGGTTTACAAGGAGGATGAGCTAGGGTGGAACAAGAAAAGTTCTGGGGGCACTGCGCAGTGCCCGTTCGACTGCGACTGCTGCTTCTGACGCCTGGCTTGCGGCGCTTAGGGAAACGTCTCAGTGCATAGGCTATAGGGTTAGAGGGGGGTTAGTGGTTTACGAGGAGGAGCTTAGGGTGGAACAAGAAGAGTGCTGGCGGCACTGCGCTGTGCCCAGGCCCTCAGATTGGTTTCAGGGCATGCTGATGGATCAGCGTGCCCTGCCCAAAGTAGTGACCAAATCAGCGTTGGGGATGAAGTTTATGCTGATTTTGTCAGGGTAAAATTTCATGGCTAACTGATTTCTCAGTGTAAAAATCTATTTGAACTTCATAACCACTACTTTTAACGTAGCTGTAAGGTTTCGTCCAGTTATTAGAGAGGTCGCGGGTGCAAGTCCCGTGACTGAGAGGTTAACTAGTGGATGGCGATAATTCTGGGCCTAAAGCCCCACGTCCGCGCACTCATGTCCTGAACCCTATGCATTTTGGTAAGTCCGAATCAGTGTGACTCGGTACACTATACTGATGGTTCAGTGTAACTGGTACACCAATACACTAATTCGTCAGGGTAGTCCTACACTTTAAACTGAAAAATCAGTGCAAATATAAAGAAGATACTGAAATTTCAGGGAAAACGAAAATCACAGCTACAAAATCAGCCTAATCAGCGTGTTTTACGCTGATATCTGAGGGCCTGGCTGTGCCCCTTCAACCGCGAGTCTCTAGCTGCTGAAAGAAGGATGCTGGTGGGTCTCGAGTTGCCCAGCAAGGATTTCAGGTTTTATCCATGCAGGCAATGCAGAAGAAGGATGCTGGTGGGTCTCGAGTTGCCCAGCAAGGATTTCAGGTTTTATCCATGCAGGCAATGCAGAAGAAGGATGCTGGTGGGTCTCGAGTTGCCCAGCAAGGATCTTTTGGGTAGTTAAATAGAGCAATGCAGGAGAAGCCATGCAGCAGTCTCAAGCTGTCGATGCTCCGTAAGGAGGAGGCTATTTTCTTCCATTCGTCATGCATGCTAAACAACCACCGCAGCTCCTGAACTTGATGCAATAAACACTCAGTGTACTGTGCTACATATCAGTTCAATGTACTGTAGCAATGACTACACTACACCGTCCTTCCTCCTGCCCAAAGCACACATGCCATCCTCCACACTCCCAGTCCCTACTGTACACAGCATGCTCATGTGCCATCATATGGGATCATGTGGCATCAGCATCCCATACCACACACCCCATGACCACCCCGCCTGGCGACACATACCCACTCCCCCTAACCACACCCACCCACCCCGTTAAACTCCCTCGGGCCTAGGCCTCGGCACTCTCCGCAGCCTTGCTCTGTTCCTGCAGCAGCTTCTGCGCTGCGCTCTCATACGCGGCATCGGCGTCCCGCAGGGGGATGGAGCCAGCAAGCAGGTGCAGGGGCGTCTTGAGGCAGTAGCCGCAGCACTTGCCTGTGCACTCACGACGCCGCCCGCACTCGCGGTTGTACCTGGGATAGTGCAGTCGAACAGGGTCAGGGGAGATGAGAGGGTGGGTTAGGGTAGGGGAGAAGCGCAGGGGGATGGATGGAGCTGGCAGGCAGGTGAAGCGGGGTTTTGAGGCAGTAGCCGCAGCACTTGCCCGTGCACTCCCCGCCCACACTCGCGGTTGTACCTGGGGTAATTGGGTGTGGGGAGTAGGTGAGGAGGGCGGGGGGAGTGGGTGATGTATGTGGGAGGGAAGAGAAGATGGAAAGGGTGCAGGCAGGGGGATGGAGAGTGTGAGAGGGTACGGGAGAGAAGGCAATGGGAGGAGGGAAACAAGCAAGGGGACAGGAAGAGGAGAAGGTGGGTCGGATTTCTGAGGCACCTCGATAGTGGTGTGGAGAGAGGGTGAGATTTGTCCTAGCTGTTTTGCACTAGTGAAAGATGATTGCACAGGTTCGGTGCAACCATACCTGCACATGTAGCATCGGGGAGCGTCGATGCTGTCTTCCGAGCCTGGTCCCACAGGCCATGAGTCTTCAAAGGTCTTCTCGAAATTGGCGAGCACCTGATGGGGCGAGGGACAGGGGGAGAGGGCCGACAAGGGAGAGACAAGGAAAAGGAGTGGTTTGAGTCAAACCGTTTGACCGTGCTGTCATTGTGAACTCACGTCCACCACAGCCAGCAGACCACTCATCCCCACCCCCACCCACTAACGTCAAGCACAGCAAAGTGGGTGTAATCGTAGGAGCAGCAGCGCATCCTCATCGCCACCTCCCCAAATGACCGTACCACCCAACTATGCCCCTACTTAAACGTATCAAGCACAGCGCAGTGACTCAAATCCAGCACCATGCCAGTGCTCACATCAAGAACAGCGAAATCAGTGTAGTCATATGAGGGCAGCAGCGCGCCCTTATCGTTCATATCGTTGCCGTCCTCACCACTCCCTCCTGCAGGCTTGCTACTGGCCCCAACAGCACCCACTCACATCGAGAACAGCAAAGTCGGTGTAGTCATATGAGGGCAGCAGCGCGCCCTCGTCATCCATGTCGTTGCCGTCCTCTGCTGGACTCGCGCCCGCTCCCGCCAGGCACGTCGGGTAATTCACCCCCTCGGTGGCGGGGAATTTACCCTCGAAAATGAGGTGCACCTCGTAGCTCATCCCAAAGTCGTACTGGTAGACCAGCAGAGGGTCTGTCTTTGAAAACACAGCCCCCACTTCAAACGCCCTCTCGTCCAACACCTGGCATGGAAGAGAGAGAGGGGAGAGAGGGAGAAGGGAAGCATGGGAGCCGGAGCAAGAGTGGGAAGAGAGCAGGAAAGGCGGAGACGGGGGGGGGCAGAGGGGGAGAGCATGGGAGGGGGAGCAGATGAGGGGGAGCAGTGGGGAAACAGGAAGGGGGGAGCACGGAGGGGAGTGGAGGTGGGGCAGGAAAAGGGAGAGCAAGTGGTTGGGAAGCAGAGGAGGGGGACAGGGAATGAGATTGTGAGGTGGTGCACACATGACCCTCTCCTCCACATTCCCTTCCCAAACCTCCAAACATCCCCCTCTCCCACCCTACATTCACAACTCCTCTTCCCCACTCTCCCCTACTCTCCCCACAGCCCCACACTCCACCCTCCTCACTCTCCTCCCTCCCCACACTCCCTCCTTCCCACACCCCTCCCTCACCTCGCCAGGTCCAGTCAGCACCGCCACCTCCTTCCCTTCTCCCGCCGCTGCCACGTCAGCATGCTCCACAAACACCACCTCAGCACTGCCGCCCAAATCCAAACTGGCCGGCGTCAGAATCAAATCGTCCGCCGCCTCCTCCTTGGCGCCCGCTACAGTCTTGAACGTGCGCGTGAACCCGGGCGGCAGAGAGTCCAGATCCAGCTGTAGCAGCTCCGCTACAGCCGAAAGATCCGTCCGGCCGAACCCGCGGTACTGCGTGTCGGGGAGCGGCGGGAGAACAGCCTCGGATGTAGCAGATCCGATGATGCCGGCCGCGGCGGCTGTAGCGGCGGCTGTAGCGGCGGCGGTTGTAGTGGGCTTGGGTTTGGTTGTAGCGCCCTCGGTTTCGGCCTCGGAATCGGTGATTTCGTCTGCAAGGGCGGCGGCCGGGTCGAGCAAGCGGCGCCACGCGTGGCGGCGCGGCTGGGTGAAGTCGTGCAGATGCGTGTCCTCCCAGTCGAACGCGTTCTGTCATGGAGAAAATGGGGGGAGCGGACGGGGGAGGGGGGAGGGCGTGAGAAGGAAGAGCAGCGACGCGGATCAGAGACGCGGCTGGGTGAAGTCGTGCAGGTGCAGGTGCGTGTCCTCCCAGTCGAACGCGTTCTGAAGTGGAGGGGTGGGTGAATGGGGGAGCGATCAGGGAGAATGACGGATGGGGGATGGGGCAGCTTCGGCTGCTATTGTAACCATATGACACACAGCCACTTTCGCCTGGCCTGTCAACGATGCGACTGGCGAATGTCGCTGAGAGGAAGAAGCTGTATATAAACGCGCGCAAACGCGATTTATCTATATTCCATCATAACTCGACAAATTTTCTTAGGACACGAATCGAATCGCTAGCACGCGAACCGCCGCTTATTGAATGTTCGCAGGGATCATTCCGAAGACGCAATCTCGTTTTCCCACACTCGCTCTGCTCCGTTCCCCTTCCCTTCTCTTCTCCTCACTTCTCTTTTCGTGATGACTCACTAACCTGCAGCGCGCCAATCTTCTCGTCTCACCTGCAGCGCGCCGATATACTCAAACCTCACCTGCAGCGCGACGTGCAGTTCGAGCAGCGAGAAGTCGGCGGGCACGGCGATGCGGCGCCAGATCTTGCGCTTCCGCAGCACGTCGCCGTCGTCCAGACTCAGCACGCACAGCAGCATCACCACCTCCTCCTCCGCCTCCGCCCCCGCTTCCGCCTCCCCTTCCGCCTCCCCGCCCTCCTCGTCGTCGTCCTCGTCGTTATCCTCCTCCGCCGTCTCCTCCGCTTCGGTGTCCTCCGCCTCTGTTTCCGTCACCTCCGCCTCGGAAGCTTCCTCGATCACCTCTCCTTCTGCCGCGCCGGCCTTTGCCACCAGCACTGCTGGGAACGGAGATGGGGGGAGACCATGGGGGAGAGGCCACGAGGGAGAGGTTGGGGTACAGATGCGGGATGAGAGCGGAGAAATGGGAGGAGAGGGAGGGAGTAACAGAGGGCGTGAAAGGCCGGAGATGTATGAGTCGAGTAAAAACATAAGGGAGGGAAGGAAACGGGTGAAACCTGGCGGGGGTTGTCTCCGGTGTCACGAATAAAGTTTTAAAGCACTCGGAGAAATGAACAATAAAAAGGTGTTTCACTGCAACGAGAGGAAAAACGGGCTCAATGAGGAAAAGGGGAAACTATCTATGCACTGAGAAAAAGGGGAAAGTGGTTCATGATGAAATTGTTGCACCTAAAAGCAGGAAGCCATAACCTACCCTTTTCCTCCTCGGACTCGGACACGAAGGCTGACGAAGACTCATCCTCAGACGCCATCCCGCACCCCGCGACTTCGCGACTGGCTCGCGCCGGAAAGAGACGAAGTGAAAAGACTGCACGGAGGAAGGAAGGGCGGTGGAAATCGTACGAAGCCGCTGATGTCGCGGCGTCTAGCCCGAAAAACAAGGCGCTTCGGTGGAGAGCAAACAATCTGCAGCTAATTTAGCTAGAATGGTGATGTGATAGCTGGAGGGGCACGAAATGGATGGAGCCCCGTGAGATCTAGATTTTACAACATTGCGCAGCTATTCAACAAGCAGTTGAAGCCTGCAGCTTACGTGGCCGATATGGATACAACACTGTACAAATCCATCTTCAGCGTCAGTCCCCGTCATTTCGATAAATTCCCAAGTGGCAAGCTCGTATGTATGTAAGAGAGAGGAACTGTAAAGGGTATAACGCAGGAGCGAAACTAGAGATGTGATTGTAAGGAGCTAAAACGATTCTGCTTTGTGATTGGGCGGAATTCGTGACTGCATCCACCGCTGCCTTCACAGCCAATCCAGCTTAACACACGAAGTTCCAGGCACGCACGGGCCAATGAGCTCCTCTAAATGTAGTGCGGTAGGGCAAATGGTCCACCCACTCCAACCCCAGCCAGACCGAAGCACCCTGGTTTGGCTTGCGTTGCGGGAACAGCCAATCAAGCTTGAGAGTCGCGCGCGCGTACAGCGCAAGTCGCGGATGCTGTCGAGGGGAATTGGACACCGCCTTGCCGATTTGACAGCCCACACTCCCGCCGCCCTCACTCCCACAGTGCGGCGAGGCGAGGCAAGTGCAGCCCATGGCCCATTGGACCTGTCTTGCCGAATGCCGTGATTTTATTGAGCTTTTGATTTGTTTCAGAAATGGCTCATTCATTTATCCGCTCCGTTGCCTTTCATATCACCTCAAGAGAAACACGGAGCCAAGCTAGCAATTTGAATCCTAAAAACGATGCCTAGTTCTCCATTCAGAATCGTCTTTGTTGCGTGCATTCAGCAAGTTGGATGAATGCACGGAGCCCTTCCATTCTAACGTTTCACGGTCTTTGTTTCCGTGCTTCAACGACGTCATTTCTTCGCGGAAAAGGGAAATGCTATCTTGTTAGAAAATTAATTCCTAAATACAGTATCAGACGCCATGGAAGGCAGGGAGTGCTGCAAGCTTTTTTTAGTACTCAGCCAGTAGCGGAGCAGTTGTCGAGTTTAGAGCGGGAAAATGTCGTGGGAGGGTGACAATAACGAGCGGGTTCTGGTGCCTGTAGGCAATGACGCGTGTAGCAAGGACGCGCTGCGGTGGGCCGTGGCGAATAAGATCTCGCATCCTGACGACCTGCTCGTGCTGCTCCACATCGTCACCAAAGCGCCGGGTAAGTCTCCTGGTGACGCGAGCAGTATAGTTTTGAGGCGCCTCAAAACTTGTCCTGCTTCACATCGTCACAAAGCGCCGGGTAAGTCATCTCAAGTGACACGAGCAACGGGTCAAGTGAGACGGCCTTTGCGACGGGTAGGGACGTGTCAGGAGAGTTTTGAGGCGCCGCAAAGGCGTCCCGACGACCGGCTCGTGCTGCTTCACATCGTCACTAAAGCGCCGGGTAAGACGCGCCTAGCGAAACGGGTAAGAGGCGTCAGGTGAGGCGAGCTGTGCGCCGGGTAAGACGCGTCTAGTGAGGCGGGCTGCGCGCCGAGTAGTAACATCCCACAGCAAGGAGGAAAGTTCGTCAGAGGCACGAATCGAGTAGGTCGCGTCCGGCGGGTGAGGAACTTGGTTCTCTCCGGAGTGGCGGTTGAGTCAAGCGCCTATAGCGGTGACCATGTGTAAACACGGGCAGTTGGGTTGCAATAACTCCGACATGATACCTACATTGTTATGTTCCAGCCAGGAGCATACCGAATCTTGGACACAGAATCGAGCTTTTTGTGTCTTGCGTTCCGGGTTTGCTTCGGTTGTGCTAAGTCAGCCGTGACTCGGATCAGATCTCATCCATGCGTGCACATACGCGGCTTTGTCAAGACGGTTACGACTGAAAGACGTGTTTTTATTTATCTATTGATTTCTTTGTTTGTTTGTTTGTTTTGATGACTCCAATATCTGCGGCAGGTCCGGATGGGTACGACGTGGCGCAGAGCGCGGTGTCAAAGACGGCGATCGTGCAGCACGTGCGCACCGCCATCATGCCCATGCTCTCGCAGCTTAAAGCCGGCATTGACGCCAAGGTGAGACCAGACCCTCTTTGCGCTTCCCCTCCATAGTGCTGAGCTTTCTGTTCCCCCCATTCCCCCGGCCGCCTCCCCCGTCCGCCTCCTCCTTCCGCCTCCTCCTTCCGCCTCCTCCTTCCGCCTCCCCCATTCATTTCCCCCGCAGGTGCGCTTGGAGCTGTGGATCACACGCCTTGCGCTTCCCCGCTAATCCCTCTCCCCATTCCCCCATCTGCTTCCCATCGTTTCCCCCTCAGGTGCGCCTGGAGCTGCGCGTGGGGCGCAACGACTCGCGGGACGCGGGGATCATGGAGGGCCAGACGCCTTGCCTTGCTCCCCATTCCCCTGACCGTGTCCCCCATCCGCCTCTCGCCCCCATCAGGTGCGCCTGGAGCTGCGCGTGGGGCGCAACGACTCGCGGGACGCGGGGATCATGGAGGAGGCGAAGAAGCTGCAAGCCACGTGCCTCGTGCTCGGCACCAAGAACCGCGGAATGTTCACCATGTAAGGGGGCTATTGTGAGACGCATACGAGGTAATGAGTCGTGTCAAGAGACAGGGGGATAATGGAGGAGGCGAGGAAGCTGCACGCGACGTGCCTCGTGCTCGGCACCAAGGGCCGCGGGATGTTCACCATGTGAGGAGGAGTGTGTCCGTTATTGGGCTGTCTTATAGATAGAGACGTCTTAAGACGCGGGGACCATGGAGGAGGCAAAGAAGCTGCAGGCCACGTGCCTCGTGCTCAGAACCTCGGGATGTTCACCATGTGAGCAGTCTGTCTGTTGTTGAGCCTGTCGATGATCTATCTGTAGGCAGATACGGCTCGCGGGACGCGGGGATAATGGAGGAGGCGAAGAAGCTGCACGCGACGTGCCTCGTTCTCGGCACCAAGGGCCGCGGGATGTTCACCATGTGAGGATGTTATTGATATTATATTCACATGAGAGGTAATGAGGCGTCTCAAGACGCGAGGATAATGAAGAGGGGATGAAGTGCTGCAAAGTCCCACGGATCAGTGCTCATCAAGAAGGGCACGGATGAAGTGCTGCAGTGCAGGCCAGGCCACGTGCCTCGTTCTTGGCACCAAGTGTCTCGTTCGGGCTGTTCACCATGTGAGACACACGGTGCCGCCGAGGGGAAGTGAGAAACTCAAAATCCGCTTTAGCATGTGGAAAGTGTGGCATGTGGCATGTGGCATGTGGCATGTGGCATGTGGCATGGTCGCTGCCTGGTCCGCCAAAGGCTAGACAACATGCCTTTGGCGCATGCCAAATCCTGCACCACAGCCTCCTACTTTCCCCTCACCTTCTCCTTCCTCCCCTACCTCCCCTCCCCCTCCCTCCCGTTTCCTCTTCTCCCCCCCCCTCTTTTCCCAGTTGCGGCAAGCTATCAGGCAGCACGAGCGCCTTCTGTCTCAAGAGCCGCTCCCCTGCTCTCTCCCTCACTATCAGCCCCCTCCCCTCTTCCTCTCACTTCCTGTCCCCCCTCCCCTCTTCCTCTCACTTCCTGTCCCCCCTCCCCTCTTCCTCTCACTTCCTGTCCCCCCTCCCCTCTTCCTCTCACTTCCTGTCCCCCCTCCCCTCTTCCTCTCACTTCCTGTCCCCCCTCCCCTCTTCCTCTCACTTCCTGTCCCCCCTCCCCTCTTCCTCTCCCTTCCTCTCCCCCCTCCCCTCTTCCTCTCCCTTCCTGTCCCCCCGCCTCTCCCCCCCTCCCAGGCGCGGCAAGCTATCAGGCAGCACGAGCGCCTACTGTGTGAAGAACCGCCCTCCCTCGCTCTCCGTGATAGTCGTTTCTAAAGACAAGGTGCTGCTGGTCAAGCAAGGCGACGCCACTCCCCCCGACCGCTCTCCTGCTCTCTCCCTCACCGGCAGCCCCCTCCCTGGCGCCTCCTCCCCTGCCATCCCCTCCGCTGGGTCCTCCCCCGGGGAGAGCCGCCGGAACAGCGAGAGCCGGAGCGGTGAGGGCCGGTCGGATGCGGTGCAGGTGGCACAGGAGAGTGACGGCGGTGGGAAAGTCAGTGGGAGTGGGAGTGGGAGTGGTAGTTTTGGCAAGGGGAGTTTCGTGCGTGCTGGTTCGACCCTGTCGGATCGTTCTGCGGTTTCGGATGGGAGTAGCAGCAAGGAGACTGGTGAAGAGAGTGGTAGCCAGCAGACGGGTGAGGAGAGGGGAGGGGACAGCAGCAAGCTCTCAGCTGATGCACTGACTGTGGCAGATGCTGCTGCCTCAGGGGAGGAGCGGGGCAGCGGGGACGGGCAGGAGGGGAGGGGGAAGCGGACGGGGGAGGAGAGGGGAGTGGATAGGGAGTTGCAGCAGTTGCGGGAACAGCAGCAGCAGCGGCTGATGCAGCACCAGCAGCAGCAGCTACAGGCAGCGACCAAGCTGGCTGCTCTTATGGAGGGCGTCAGTGTGGGGGGGGGCGCAGGGGGAGGGGGAGGAGGGTGGGGAGGGAACGGATTTGGAGGAGTGGGGAGAGGGGAAGGGGGAGGAGTGAGAGGAGGGGGAGCAGGAGGGGAGGGTGCTGGTGGGGACAACACAGGGGGCAGCGGTGCGTGGAGCGATGATCATGACTCTGCGTCGGCAGTTCATGCAGTGGCCAGGTCACAGCAGCGCATGGGCATGGCGCATGAGAGCACAGGCATGGGCAATGCTGCTAGTGCGGCAGGCACGGGATTCCAACCAGCCAGCAGCGGTGCCAGCGGTGGTTCTAGCGGTGCCAGCGGAAGCGGTGGCAGCAGTGGTATCAGCGGTGTGAATGGGAGCGGGGGCAGTGGCAACAGTGGCGGGTTCAGCCTGGCGAGCAGCACAGGGAGCACGTTCACCATGGGGAGCAGGAGCGGTGCGAGCAGCAGGGCGGGCAGCGGGGGGGAGCCCACCACCTCTCCCATCACTGCCGGCACTGGCACAGGCAGCGGCAGTGGGAACGGCGGTGGGATGGGTGGGGGTGGAGGGAAGGAAGCAGGCATGGTGGCAGCTGCGTCTGCTGTGGCTGGGGTGAAGGAGGCCGGTGGGGTGGGCGAAAGTGGGGGGGCAGCAGCAGCGGCAGGGGGAGAAGTGCTCAAAGCGTCCAGTGGAGTGTACTGCCGTGTGTACTCTTATGAGGAGATTCAGGTATGCCTGTGTGTGTGTGTGAGCCTTTAAATTGCTCTATACGCTTTGAGTTTCTGAGGAGAGCTGGAAGCGGCCAGTGGGGTGTACTGCCGTGTGTACTCTTATGAGGAGATCCAGGTGCGTTGACTGTGATTCGAGGCGCGCAACAAGTGTTCCGCCGTATGTCCAAGCCAAGTGCAGCGGTGGCAGGTGTGTCGTCCTCTTGCTGTCGTCCTCTTGCTGTCGTCCTCTTGCTGTCGTCCTCTTGCTGTCGTCCACATTGTTCTTCTGATTGCCATACACTCCCGTCTCTCGCCTCTCCCTTCCCCACTCCCCCCTCTCCCACACACCAGAGAGCAACCGACAATTTCTGCCCCCAGCTGGTGCTGGGGGAGGGCGGCTGCGGCACCGTCTTTTCTGGGATGCTGGGCGGCAGCAAGGTGGCAGTGAAGGTGATAAAGACGGAAGACGCCACCCGGGCTGCCAAGGAATTTCAGAGAGAGGTGAGCTGCTGTTGTTTCCAATCCGGTCGAAGCTGCTATCTCATGTTTTTTTTCTACTGTATTTTCTGCCCGCTTCACTATCTTCTTCCCATTCCTTCTCCATTCCTCCCGCTTCCGCATGCATGAAACATGTCTTCAGTGTCATGCGTTTGTCCTTCCAGCCTTCGTTTGCACCGCTCACTCCTTCTTTATTTGTCGTGTTCTCCTTTTTTATTTGACTCAACTCCTCAGGTGGAGCTACTGAGTCAGATCAACCACCCACATGTGCTCTCCCTGCTGGGGTGCTGTCCGTCGCACCACTGCATAGTGTACGAGTTCATGGCCAGCGGCACTCTCGAGGAGCGCCTGCTCTGCGCCAACAACTCGCCGCCCCTCCCCTGGTTCGCCCGCCTCCGCATCGCCGCTGAAATCGCCTCCGCGCTCCTCGCTTTACACTCTCAGCCAAAACCCATTATCCACCTGGACTTAAAGCCCGCGAATGTGCTTTTAGACGAGCGGCTTGTAGTGAAGCTGGCAGACGTGGGGGTCGCGAGGCAGATGCCGGGGACCGGTGGTTCGGACCAGGGCTTTAATGTTACGCACGCGCACACGTCTATGCCGATCGGGACCGTTGCTTATGTCGACCCGGAGTATCAGCGAACGGGCGATTTCAGCCCGAAATCGGATGTGTACGCCCTCGGGATTATCCTGTTTGATTTGCTGACCGGACGGCAGCCGGCTCTGTATGAGAGAATAGAGGATGCGGTGGATGAGGGGAATGAGGTGGCGTTGGGGAAGTTGCTGGATGGTAAGGCAGGGAAGTGGCCCGTGGGGTTGGCTATGGAGGTGGCGAGGGTTGCTGTGCGGTGCAGTGAGATGAAGAGGAAAAAGAGGCCTGATTTAGGGGAAGTGGTGATGCCGGTGCTGATGAAGGCACAAAAGGAGGCGGTGATTTTGATGGAGAGGATGATGGCTGGAATGTGATGGGGAGACTGGTAACTCGGTGATGAGAGTGTTTGATAGATACCGGTATGGAGATATGTGACTGACAGGTGAATAACCAGAGAAAATAAAACCTGGTGAACAGTTGCTTTCAGGTGCATTTTATAGGAGAAAATATAGGCTAGTGTTGGTAGATCTAATGCTAGTTGGCTAAAGCTTACCAGAGTAGCGATGTGTGCTTGCAAGGAGCTGTCGGCTGTGGTTGGCACTTCAAACACACCGACGACTTTCGAGACGTCTCAAAACACATCGACGGCTAGATTCCCTACAGCAAATGCCGCGGCAGCATTGTCAGGGGGGGCAGCATTGGGGTCCGCGCGTCTCCGATAATCTTCACGGATTCGGGCAGAGAAAAGTACAAGATCCCATTCACGACAATTCTCGCTGTACAAAACGGCCTCGTCAACTTCAAGAATGCAAATCGAAAGCAACTTGTGAATAATCCTGCCGAACTTGGTCTGGGATGGAAAAGATTTCCATTCCCGTGGGCAGCGAAACGGACAGTAAAGTGGCAGCATCGATTTCAGTTTCGGTATGACAAATCAAACATCGAGAAAAGAGGCAGTTTGGCAGCCCATGCCTGTGTGCGTGAGCGCTGCACCACTTCTGTACTGGCAGTGGAGTGAAGGATGGATTGGTGGACAATAGGACACGACGACGACACGAAACGAAGCCAAGCAGCCAAGCCCGCCTTCCTTCTTTTCGTGACTGGAAAGCCAAGCAGCAGAGCAGACAGACACAGGACAACAAGCAGCATTTTCCCCTAGCATTGGCCCCTGAAGACAAGTTGACGAAGCTGGACCTCCATTCATGTCATCGTTTTCTCTCTGGATTTCACGTTGTGGATCAGCAGCAGCAACTCGGAGGACCAATCAGCCGCCTAGGAAACACAGAAAAAGGCGGCGCACGCAAGTCCTGCTTGGACGTGTATCTTTTGCGATTCTCCTTTCTTCCGACAAACCCGGCTTCAAAGTCCTTATTTTACCTCCCAACAAAGCCTCAGTGGTCCTTAGTTAATAATTTGACGTCAACGCATACCACCCTGACCAGCGAACCAGCTGATTCAAAAGCAATTGCACAACACTTTTGGGTACTCGAGACTTTCGATGAGTTGGGGGCATTTTAGGTTTGGCTCCGAACCAAGTTTCCAAGCCTAGATGGTTCGGTTGCCCCCAGCGATTTACTTTCGCTTCGCACCCCTCGCTTCACCCCACTTCGAACCTTACACCTCGCCAACCAATCAAAGCCACACTTTCACCAACAATTGCAAAGCACTTGTAGTACGTGAGACCCTGGTTGCAAATTCAAAAGCTCTAACTTTTCCGCATTCCGAGAAGACGTGAGAGGAAGCGAGAGGGAGCGAGGGGAAGCGAGAGGACGTGAGCAGTCGCGAGCGGGACAATTTTGAGTATTTAAAGCGACAAGGCTTGGAGGTTGTCAGGGTTTCATGATGGCTCCCTTTAGCGGGGGTCCGGAGCGAATAGTCGTGGCCGTGAGCAAAGACCCGTCGAGTCGCGACGCCATAAAGTGGGCGGTTCGGAAGAAGATGAAGCGCGCCGATGACATGCTCATCCTCCTCCACATCGTCTCCAGGCTTCCCGCTCCAGGTAGGCTCGGTACGGGAGGCTCGGTATGGGAGGCTCGATACGGGAGGCTCGGTATGGGAGGCCCGGTATGGGAGGCTCGGTATGGGGGTCACACAGTCTCATGCTTTGCACGGTAATATAACCGAAAGGTATCGCTGTAGCAGCGAGCAACCGTGCTCACCGTAAAACGCGGCGGTGACAGGGTTATACTTTTTCCCCACGTCGTTCCAAAGGTTCCGTGTCGCGGTATCCCCTCCTCCTGGTATAACCCTCTCCCCTGGGTTAACCCGTGTCCTTGAAGTGACATTGTGTGCCGTCAGAACCCCCTCACAATCTGACAGCCCCAGTCATGTAATCGATATTTGTCCCGGAAATTGATATTCTGGGTCCCCTAGCAATCTCAGCGCAAACAAATGTAAAACTTTCTGGGCAAGTGATTCGTTTTGTCGTTTTTTTGTGTCCTCGTTATTGCGTCGATAGTTTAAGATGTTATCGCGTTCGAAGTTTGATTCGCCATTGCGTCCGCCATTTTGCTGCCTCAAAATCAAATGAGTCAGGCTCTTGAGTCTCAAAATGCCCCTCTTTTTCCCCTCATTTCGCCCCGGGTAATCCCTGCATGCGCGTACGGCAGCGTGGGTTCAAGCAGGGAGATCTACCAGAGCGAGAAGTCGCCTACCACGTTCGTGGCGTACCTGCGGGCCACACATGCCCCCTCACATGCCCCCCTCTTTCCCCAAAACCCATCCCTGGTAATCCCTGCAGGCGGGTATGGTGGTTGGGGGCCGGGCGGCGAGATCTACCAGAGCGAGGCGACGACGGCCGCGTTCGTGGCGTACCTTCGGGCCTTCGGGTCCTCACGTTCCTCCCTATTTCCCTCCGTCTCATCCCCCTTCTCCTTGCAGGCGCGTATGGCGGCAGCGCGGGGGCGGGCGGGGAGATCTACCAGAGCGAGGCGACGACGGCCGCGTTCGTGGCGTACCTGCGGGACGTGGTGAAGCCCATGATGCTGCAGCTCAAGGCCGCCGTGGATCCCAAGGTTAGGCTCTCTAAATGTCACAGTGACTTTTGTGTCAACTCAAACTCGCAAGTAAGGTACCTACCTGCGGGACGTGGTGAAGCCCATGATGCTGCAGCTCAAGGCCGCCGTGGATCCCAAGGTTAGGCTCTCTAAATGTCACAGTGACTTTTGTGTCAACTCAAACTCGCAAGTAAGGTACCTACCTGCGGGACGTGGTGAAGCCCATGATGCTGCAGCTCAAGGCCGCCGTGGATCCCAAGGTGAGCTCCCGTGGGGATGTGAGGATGTGAGGATGTGAGCACATTGTGTCGCCCCAGCAACTTGTTCCCTCCTCTTCCACACCCCCACACTCGCCTTCATCCTCCCCATTCCCCACTCCCCCTTTCCCCCTCCCCCAGGTGCAGGCGCGTGTGGAGCTCAAGGTGGGGCGCAGCAACTGGCGCGTGAGAGGCATTCTGGAGGAGGCCACGCGGCTACAGGCGTCCATACTCGTCATCGGCGCGCAGCCCAGCCTGTGAGTCCCTTAGACACGCCTCAATACACGCCTCAGAGAACACGCTTTCATTTATAAAACAGCTGGACAGATTAAAAGATTGACAGAGACTCATGTCACAATGAGACAAAGACTCGCCACTCTGCTTCCTCCCCTGCCTCTTCACACCCACGCTCTGGTGCCACACATGTCCGTGTATGTCCTTCAGGCGGGCAAGCTGCTGCTCAGCCACTCACCCCTCCAGTACCCCGCTGTCTATCTCTTCCCCTTCCTCACATGTCAGCAACAAGCCGCCGCACATGTCAGTCTACGTCATTCAGGCGGGCAAGCTGCTGCTCAGCCACTCACCCCTCAATACCCCCCTGTCCCCTTCCTCTCCCCTTTCCCATTCCCGTTTTCCCCCATCCCCCTCCCTGCCCCCCACCTCTTCTCCATACATCAGCCACGGCGACTCCTTTGGCACGGGGGCGTATTTCATCCGCAACAAGCCGCCACACATGTCAGTCTACGTCATTCAGGCGGGCAAACTGTTGGTCTGCCACGAGGCAGACGGGCAGATCACCGGCTCGCCTGCTGCCTTAGACGCCCTTGCTCTCGAAGCCGCAGCTGCAGAGGCAGCAGGGGGAGGCGGAGGCGGAGGGGGAGGCGGAGCGGGAGGGGGAGGCGGAGGGGGGTTTGCAGACGGAACGGGGGCGCTGTTAGGCATGTCTCCGGGTCAGTTTGAGGGCGGAGGGCCCCTATTGGTGGATCAGCTGCTGGCTGCCGGCCTGCGATTGGACACGCCGGCTGCTGAGCTGGCGGCGCTGCGGCTGCCTGCTGAAGTGTTGGAGCAACTGCTGGCCGCACAGGTGGCAGCTGGTGGTGAGTCCAGGTGGCATGCAGTGAGTGGAGGTGGCATGTGGTGTGTGGGGGTGGCATGTGGTGTGTGGGGGTGGCATGTGGTGTGTGCAGGTGGCACGCGATTGTAGGCAGGCAGGTTCAGTAAGCTGATGTAAGATACAATAAAAAACACAGAGATTGCTTTGAGGCACATATTTTCTATGTCCCTTTCTGCCATTTCCCCTTTTCCTTTAATAACCCATGTTTTCTCACGCCCTGTGTGTCCTACGCGTGCCACGTGTCCCCCACACGCCACCCTCCTCACCTCACCACGTGTCTGGCACGTTTCAGGCAAGTCAGGGAAGAGCAGCCGGAGGAACAAGAGTCCGCTCCCCGCCGCCCCACCCCCGGCGCGCAGCAGCAGCAGCAACAACATCAACATCAGCAGCAGCATGAACATCAGCGGCAGCAGCAGCTTCAACAGCAGCAGGTCTGAGGAGATCTCTCTCTTTGGTAGCAGCCCAGGAGGGGACCCAAACCAGCAGCTGCTGCTCCTGCAGCAACAGCTGCAGCTTCAGCACTTGCAACAGCAACAACAGCAGCAGCAGCAAGGGGCAGAGCAGCAGCAGCAGGAGGGCGAGAAGAGAAAGTCTCGATCCAAGTCTAAATCCCGCAAGAGCAGCCGCGACCAGCTTGCTTTATCATCTGGCCTTCCTTTTGAGGTGCCCCAGGGGTCACTGGAAGGCACAGGGTATGATGGCATGGGGTACAGTCACAGTGGGAGTGATATTCCTATTGGTATTCCTCCTGCCACAATTGCCAATACCAATGCTAACGATACCAACGCTGCCAATGCCAATCGGCTTGGCCAGTTCCTCACTCCGCCTCGCTCCCGCAGCGGTATGGATGCTTTTGCGTCTGTCCTCGCTAGAGACAGCCTCACTAGTAGCTCTGGCCCGCTGCCGCGCCTCTCGCCTTCGTTTAAGCCGTCCAGAGGGCGATATGAGGGAGGGCGATATGAGGGAGGGGGATACGAGGGAGGGGCGTATGAGGGAGGGGAGTATGGGAGCACTGGTACCTCTCCTGCTGCGGGGAGGAAGCTGAAGGCGAGTCGCAGCAGCGTTGGCAGGCACAGAAGGGAAAGGAGCGGCGGTGCTGGCAGTGCTGGCGGTGGCGGTGTTGACTTTGCTGCCATGGCTGCTGCTGCATCTGGTGTGGGAGACGCTGCTCGAGGGGCAGGGCGTAAGGTACGGCCTTGTGTGTGTAAGGTACGACCTTGTGTGTGTAAGGACGTACGGGCGTAAGGGCGTAAGGACGACCCTTTGTGCGTATTTTTGCAACTGTGAAGCGTGTTTGTCGTGAACCGTATTTTTGCAACTGTCGTGTACGTGGGTTTGCCAGCCCTCAATCGCTTCTTTTCTCAGCTTTCCTCTTCCCTCTATGTCCATCTTCCTTCTGCTTCCCTCCTCTCTGCGTCCCTCCTTCCTCCACTCCCCCCCTCCTCATCTCCATCCATCTTCTGTCCGTCCCCACTCCTCCTGTGAACATCAGAGTGCAGCAGCAATGGAGATAGAGCAGATGCGGGTGCAGGCAAAGGAGGCGGAAACAGCCAGGCTGAATGCAGAGAGGCGGCTGCTGCAGATGCGCGTGCAGGCCCAGGCAGGGCGGGGGGAGGCGGCTACTGAGGCGAGCCCATGGGGAGGGAGGGGGGATGAGGGGGCAGGGCAGGTGAGGGGAGAGGGTGGAGTGGCAAGGTGTGGGAGCGAGGGAGAAGGGAGTGGGCAGTCACAATACAGCTATGAGCTGGCGCAGTCGCAGAAAGAATTTGAAGCTGCCCGGATGAAGCTGGCCTCAGTGGAAGCAGCTTTGGCCCGGGCAGCGGGCAGAACGAAGCAGGAAGATGGTGGAGAGAGAGGAGCAGGAGGAGCAGGGTCAGGAAGGCGAACGGGGCAATCGGGGTTGTCTGTCAGTGGTGGTGGCGGCAGCAGAGGTGGTAAAGCAGGGGGAGCAGAGGCGTCAGTTGCAGCGGCGGCGGCTGCGGCAGCAGCAGCGGCACAGAGGCTAGCGCACAGAGGAGGCAACCCGCACCAGAGATTCGAGCAAGGGACCAGAGAAGGCCTAAGATGGGGGGAGACAGGAAATGGGAGGGAAGAGGATGAGGGGCAGGAGAGCGGGGAGGAAGACGAGGAAGAGGAGGAAGAGGAGGAGGAAGAAGGAGAGGAGGAGGAAGGGGAGGAGGATGACGAGTTGCAGATTGATATATTGAGTGCGGCTGGGAGTGGTGTGGTTGGGTTCATAGATGGATCCTCCTCCACATTTGACCTAAGCTCCCTATCCCCTCGCTCACTCCACGGCGCAGACTCAAACAGCCGCCCACCCTCTGCCAACACCCGTGGCCTAACCAAAAAACAGCAACATTCCCAAAATAGCAACCTTTCCTTTACTGGAGGTTTTGAGGGCTCTTCCAGCGATCTCCAGGTCGACCTTTTGGGCGGCAGCTCGCTGGGTATGGACAAGGGAACGGGCGGCGCAGAGGGCGGGGAGCAGCCAGATGATGACGTGGATTTGTCTCTTTCCATGTCAGAGCTCCAGATCGACCTGCTTAGCCCTGGAGAGAACATGAGGAGGGGGGATAAGCATGAGAAGGAGCAGGAGGAGTGGAAGCGGGGAAAAGAGAGGGGTGGAGGGGAGTTGGGAGAGGTACAGGAAGATGAGGAGGAGCTTGATTTAGGGCTTAGTCTGGTGGGGGGCTCTGAGCAGGATGTGTTTGGAGATAATGGCAGGGGCAGGGAGGGTGGCGACAGCAATGGTGGTAGCGGCAGCGGCAGTGGCAGCAGGGGTAGTGGCAGTGGGAGTGGCAGCAGGGTTAGCGGTAGTAGTGGGAGTGTGGGTGAGATTGTTGAGGAGAGGGAGAGGGAGGGGCAAGGGAGGGGAGAGGCGAAGGAGAAGGGAGGGGAGGGAGAAGGGAAGGGTAAAAGAGCTGGAGCTGTGAAGCATGTGATTGGTCGAGGGCAATACCGTGTGTACAGTTATGAAGAGATTCAGGTGGGTTGCCTCTAAGGTGGGTTGCCTCTAAGGTGGGTTGCCTCTAAGGTGGGTGGGGTGATGGGAGGATAAACGGGTTGGACGTTTAGGACGTTCAACAGCATGTGATTGGTCGAGGGCAGTACCGTGTATACAGCTATGAAGAGATTCAGGTGGGTTGACTCTGAGGGCAGATGGGGTGAATCTGAATCCACATAGCTTCAGATTCAGGTGGGTTGAACCTAAGCCGAATGGGGGTTGTTTTGAGGCGCCTAGAATACGATTGGGCGAGGGCAGTACCGTGTGTACAGTTATGAAGAGATTCAGGTGGGTTAACACTTGGAGCGGAAGGGGTGAAATTGTGGTCAGTTGGGTAAACTTGATTCCCAGATGCAGGGTCTTCGAATCTCTATGAGCGAGTTTACCATCTATATGCACCTCTTCAAGCACAGTTCCTGTTTCTCCCCCATCACAGGCCGCAACGGACAACTTCAACCAGAAGAACCGGCTGGGCGAGGGCGCGTTTGTAGCAATAGCTCATAGATGGTGCACGTCTTACACCAGATTCCTGTTTCCCTCCCCGTCACCCCACTCACAGGCTAGGGGGCGTTTGTAGGCCGTTCCTCAGGGACAGCTCCTGGGAACACCTTGTTCCTCTTCCTCCCCCCGTCACCTGCTCACAGGCCGCAACGGACAACTTCAATTAGAAGAACCGGCTGGGCGAGGGCGCGTTTGGGGGCAGTTTTTCAGAAACAGTTTGTTACAATTTTATATCGTATTTCTCTTCTTCCTCCCCTCGTCACCCCGCTCACAGGCCGCAACGGACAACTTCAACCAGAAGAACCGACTGGGCGAGGGCGCGTTTGGCACGGTGTATGGGGGGCGGCTGCACCACACTCGTGTGGCCGTGAAGGTGCTTAAAGCCACAGACGTGGTCAAAGCCACCAACGAGTTCCAGCAGGAGGTGAGACAGTGGGAGGGGGAGTGCGATGGGAGTGAGGGGTAAAGTGAACCACACGCGCGTGGCGGTGAAGGTGCTTAAAGCCACAGACGTGGTCAAGGCCACCAACGAGTTTCAGCAGGAGGTGCGATGCAGGAGGGGGTGGAAGGGGTGGAGGGGGTGCGGGGGAAGGTGCTTAAAGCCACAGACGTGGTCAAGGCCACCAACGAGTTCCAGCAGGTGAGGTAGAGGTGGGTTGTTGGGGGGCAAAAGCGGGGACGGCTTATGGTCATCAGTTTCTCCCATCAGTTTCCCCATCAGGTTCCCCATCAGGTTCCCCATCAGGTTCCCCATCAGGTTCCCCATCAGTTTCCCCCATCAGTTTCCCCATCAGTGTCCCCATCAGTTTCCCCATCAGTTTCCCCATCAGGTTCCCCATCAGGTTCCCCATCAGTTTCCCCATCAGGTTCCCCATCAGGTTCCCCATCAGTTTCCCCATCAGGTTCCCCATCAGTTTCCCCATCAGTTTCCCCCATCAGTTTCCCCATCAGTTTCCCCATCAGTTTCCCCATCAGTTTCCCCATCAGCTTCCCCATCAGTTTCCCCATCAGTTTCCCCCATCAGTTTCCCCATCAGGTTCCCCATCAGGTTCCCCATCAGTTTGCCCCATCAGTTTCCCCATCAGTTTCCCCATCAGTTTCCCCATCAGTTTCCCCATCAGTTTCCCCATCAGGTTCCCCATCAGTTTCCCCATCAGGTTCCCCATCAGGTTCCCCATCAGGTTCCCCATCAGTTTCCCCATCAGGTTCCCCATCAGGTTCCCCATCAGTTTCCCCCATCAGTTTCCCCATCCGTTTCCCCATCAGTTTCCCCATCAGTTTCCCCATCAGGTTCCCCATCAGGTTCCCCATCAGGTTCCCCATCAGGTTCCCCATCAGTTTCCCCATCAGGTTCCCCATCCGTTTCCCCATCAGTTTCCCCATCAGGTTCCCCATCAGTTTTCCCATCAGTTTCCCCATCAGGTTCCCCATCAGGTTCCCCATCAGGTTCCCCATCAGGTTCCCCATCAGGTTCCCCATCAGGTTCCCCATCAGGTTCCCCATCAGGTTCCCCATCAGTTTCCCCATCAGTTTCCCCATCAGTTTCCCCATCAGGTTCCCCATCAGGTTCCCCATCAGGTTCCCCATCAGGTTCCCCATCAGTTTCCCCCATCAGTTTCCCCATCAGTGTCCCCATCAGTTTCCCCATCAGTTTCCCCATCAGGTTCCCCATCAGGTTCCCCATCAGTTTCCTCATCAGGTTCCCCATCAGGTTCCCCATCAGTTTCCCCATCAGGTTCCCCATCAGTTTCCCCATCAGGTTCCCCATCAGTTTCCTCATCAGTTTCCCCATCAGGTTCCCCATCAGTTTCCTCATCAGGTTCCCCATCAGTTTCCCCATCAGTTTCCCCATCAGGTTCCCCATCAGGTTCCCCATCAGGTTCCCCATCAGGTTCCCCATCAGGTTCCCCATCAGTTCATGGCCAGCGGCACTCTCCCCCCCACTCTCGAGGAGCGCCTGCTCTGCTACTGGCCCCAACACGTGGTGGTGCTACTGGGCTGCTGCCTGCCCCCCAACCGCACGACAGCTCTCTGCTCTGCTCCCTCTCTGACGCTCCTCCTCTCTCTCCCTCCCCCCAATCTCACAGGTGGAGGTGCTAAGCCAGATCCAACACCCGCACGTGGTGATGCTGCTCGGCTGCTGTCCGTCGCACCACTGCATAGTGTACGAGTTCATGGCCAGCGGCACTCTCGAGGAGCGCCTGCTCTGCGCCAACAACTCGCCGCCCCTCCCCTGGTTCGCCCGCCTCCGCATCGCCGCTGAAGTCGCCTCCGCGCTCCTCATTCTCCACGCGCGCCCCATCCCCATCGTGCACCGCGACTTAAAGCCCGCCAACATCCTTCTAGATAAGAACCTCGTAGCGAAGCTTGGCGATGTGGGGCTGGCAAAGCTGATGCCGGGAACAGGGTCGCAGGTGCACACACACGCGCATGATTCCGTGCCTGTGGGGACTCTGGCTTACGTCGACCCGGAGTTTCAGCGAACGGGGGACTACGGGCCGAAATCCGATGTGTACGCGCTCGGGATTATTTTGTTCGATATTCTGACCGGGCGCAAGCCGACGACTTATGAGGAGTTAGAGGAGGCTGTGGATGAGGGGGACGAGGAAGCTTTTGGGAAGCTTCTGGATGAGAGGGGGGGCGAGTGGCCGATAGGGTTGGCCATGGAGGTGGCAAGGATGGCAGTGCGGTGCAGTGAGATGCGGAGGAAGAAACGGCCGGATCTGGAGAGTGAGGTGATGCCGCTGCTGGCGCGGGCGAGGGATGAGGCTGCAGAGGCAGAGGAAGCTGCCGGGAAGGAGGGTGGGCGGTCGGGAGGGAGCGGGGATGTGCCCAAGGGGTTGCTGTGCCCGATCAACAAGGTGGGTGAAGGCTTTGGGAGGAATGGTATTTGTTTTTTAGAATTCTCAAAAAACAGATTTGGGAGGGAGTGGGGATGTGCCCGAGGGGTTGCTGTGCCCGATCAACAAGGTGGGTGGGTTGGGAACTTGGTAAGGCTCTGAAAGGAAGGGGTCCTGGAAAAGGCTTGAGTGTGCAGGTTGGTTGGGAGGAAGAGAGCCTTGGGAGTGCAGGCATGGCGTTACATGCCAAGCATGGTTGTGGGTGATGTGGGCATGCGGCATGACTATGTTTCACCACCCCTGGTTGCGCTGCTTGTCCTACACATCTCCATAACAACCCATCTAATCTTTCCTTGTACACTTGTCCATGCAGAAAATAATGGTGGAGCCGGTGTTAGCAGCAGATGGGTACACTTACGAGAAAGCAGCCATTCAAATGTGGTTGGAGCGAGCCGACCTATCCCCCATAACCAACGAGCCAATGCCTCACAAGCACCTCATGCCGAACCTCGTGGTTCGGGATTTGATAGCTGACTGGACCAAGAAGAATGTAAAGACTGAAGCTTGAGTTGGGAAAAGTGAATTCGGCGAGTGCCCACACTTTCACACTTTCAGATCAGAAGAGAGAATTTAGATATGTGTGGGATTTAGCCACTATCTGTCCATACTTGTTCAGTTAATCAAGGTGGCACTTGTGGATGCTCTGATCTTTTTCTGTAATTATGATATTTAAACAGGTTAGGTGGAGGTGACTCCTACTGTACGATTATTACAGTAACGTAACGACGGAAGAAAACCCAGAACGAGTAAAGCCAACTTCTTAGCCCCCGCGCCAACCTTTGCCAACCCTCTTCCCCTCTTCCCGCGCAACCCGTCAAAACCCACCAGCTGGCTGCGCAGCTACAGAGAATCCCCCCAAACCTCAGGCCAGCCACATTCAAATCATTTCCACCCCAGCTCACCGCACCTCGTCCCATTCCACCGCACGTTTAGCTCTCCGCCTACTAATGTCGCATCGCAGCTCTCGCACGCCACACCAGGAGGGAGTAAAGTCAAACCATGATGACTTGACGTGACCTGTCAAATCAAATATCGTTTGAAATTCGTCCCAGCCTCCCGCAAATGGCGGCGCAGTAAGCTCTCTCCTCCATACCCTCCTAACGTGTATTTATTTCCTGTATTTCACGACGGCGCTGCAGCTACCGCGCTCAGCTAGGTTCTCGTTTCTTAGGCAGGTCGCTCGCAACGTCAGCATTCAGCCATCCTCATCCCCACTCCACTAGCCTCTGCGGCCCGCATTTGAGCCAGAGCTTTGAGCATTTCTCTACATTATTTTAGGCGCACCCGAAATCGTTTCCGTCGGCCTCGCTCACCTCTCGACCTTCCGTTTAGTGCTGCGCCGTGCATTATTGCGGCAGGGTTTCGTTGTGCCTGTCGACGAACCAACGGCGAATCCGAACCGTCCAATGCGTTGCTGAGATCTCCGCATGTCGCGCTTGCCTTGCCCCACTGTAGCAGCCTCGACCAATGGGCGTCAAGCTTCAGATTCAGCTTCTCGAGGCGCGCGGCCTGCCGCCCAAGGACAATGGCGGCGCGAGAGACGCGTTCGCGCGGCTCCAGATGGGCGCCTCGAAGGCGCGGAGCAGCACTGTACCTAAGGACAACGATCCGACGTGGCAAGAGGAGTTTTTCTTTTCGGTCAGCGACGCGGAAAAGGACGAACTGCTGGTGACGGTGTGGGACAAGAGCGCCTTCCTGGGGGAGGAATTTCTCGGGCAGCTTGTGCTGCCCGTGCGACAGGTGCTGGCGTGCGACGGCTACGAGCTGCAGGCGACGTGGTTTCCGTTACAGAACAGGCTCGCGCGACCGCGCGCGACGGTTACAGGCGACGTTCTGATTTCCGCCAGCCTGTGGGGGGTTTCGTCGTTAGTGGCGGAATCCGCCTCCCCCTCCACTTTGCCATCCAGCCCAATCCTTCCGCCCACTCCTCCCCTCTCCGCCCCTTCCGCTTCCCCGTCTACTTCCCCCCTCGCCGCGCCTTCCCCCGCGCCTTCCCCCTCCCTCATCTCTACAGTCAGCTTCGCCTTTCCTAAACCTTCTTCCGCCCATCCCCTTTCCGCCCCCACTCCCCCTTCCGCCACTCCCCGTTCCGCCACTCCCCCTTCCGCCTCTCCCCCTTCCGCCCCTCCCCCTTCCGCACCTTCCCCGTCCGCCCCCGCCTTTTCTCTCCCCCTCAAGCCCGCGCTGCGCCGCCATACAGGCCCGTCCGATACAGTCGCACCTGCTGCTCTCTCCCCGTGCAAGGAAACGGACGAGGGGGAAGCGTGGGGCGGTGGGGGGAAGGAGGGACGGGGAGACGGGGCAACGGAAGGGGAAGGAGGAGGCGAAGGAGGAGCGGAAGGGGAAGAGGTAGGGGAGGAGAACGGGGAAGGGGAAGTAGAGGGGGAAGGGGAGGGGGAAAGGGAAGGCCATGAGGCATCCGCTGACCTTCAAGGTAAAGAGGAGGAGGGCGCGAACGGCACAACAACAGCAGCAGCACCGGCAGCAGCAGCCGTCGCTAAGCCGCGGCACCAGATCCTCCAGTCGCTCTCCGAGTCCTTAAAGCCCAAGCCGCAGCAGCTGCAGCAGCTGAAGCAGCGCCTGCATGCGTCCAAGCTATCCGCAGCCTCAGCCATCAGGTCATTCGGGCACGCCGTTGAGAACAGCGTTGCCAAGGCCGGGCAGACCGTGCGTGCCGCCAACGCCAAGGGCGGTGGGGGTGGGGGTGCGGCCGGGGCGACTGCACATGCACGTGAAGGGGGAGATGAGGGGGAGGGGGAGTCGCGGAGAGGGTCACTGGGGGAGGGTGACGGGGCGAGCGGAGGAGGGAGTGGGGAGTCCGGGGAAGGGGGTACGGGGGAAGCGGGGAAGGTGAAGGTGCCGGGGGTGTGGTGGGAGCAGGATATGAGGGACGTGCCCAGTGCAGGGCCCATGCCGGGTGAGCTACCTGGTGGCGGAGTGCTGGTGGACCAGGCCTTTGATGCCGCCCCACACGTGCTCTTTGCGGCCATCTTCAAGCCCGGCTCGCCCTTCTTCCAAGAGTTTGCAAATGGTGCGTTTTGAGTTTTGAGCTGATTCAAAAAACTTGGTGGCGGTGGTGCTGGTGGAGCAGCCTTTGATGCCGCCCCACACGTGCTCTTTGCTGCTATCTTCAAGCCCGACTCGCCCTTCTTCCAAGAGTTTGCTGCAGGTGCGTGCTGACTTTTGAGCCGCAAGGTGCTTTTGAGATGTCTCAAAGACACCATTCTGGGGGAACTAGTTGGCGGTGTGCTGGTTGAGCGTTCGTTTGATGCCGCCCCGCACGTACTCTTTGCTGCTATCTTCAAGCCCGACTCGCCCTTCTTCCAGGAATTCGCCACTGGTGCGTGTTGAGTTCTGAGCTGACTCAAAAAGACTTGCGATTTAGGTTGTGTCCCACGTCTCTCCCGTTGTTGCGTCTATCCCCAATGGCGTCACACATCTCCCCGCCCGCATTATCCCATCTCTCTCCATTATCTCATCTCTCCCCCCATTGTCCCAACTCTACCCATTATCACAACCCTTTTGATGTGTTGAAGTCGACTCAACAACCCCAGTTTCCCCAACCTCCCCCCTTCTTCCTAACAGAGCGCAAGCTGACTCAAGTCAACATTGGTCCTTGGTTTTTCGCCGACAGCAGCAGCAGCAGCAGTCACAGTGCAGCAAGGCTCAATCGCAGCACAGCACACAAGGGCATCAAGCCTCCCACCAACCTGCCTCCCGCTGCTGCTCCCAAAGGGGGCGGAGGGGCGGAACAGCAGCAGGAAGACACAGGCACCGTGATGCACCGCACTGTATCGTACATGACCGCGCCGTCCTCCTTGGTAAAATCAGTGCAAGCGACAGAGGAGGTGCTGTGTGTGCGGGCAGATGCGGGCGGTTTCCTGGTGGCTGTGACAGCGAAAACCCCTGACGTGCCGTATGGAGGCACGTTCGAAATACACCTTCAGTTGTGCATCACTCCGCTTACAGAGGAGGGTGTGGGCGCAGGAGGAGGAGCAGGAGAAGGAGGGAACACAGGCGAGCAGAGCAGTAGAGTCCCGGCTTCTGCAGCAGCTGGTGATGGGAGAGAGACAGGTGCAGAGGGGTCAGGCAGTGGGATGAAGAGCCGGCTGCGAGTGTCGTATGAGCCGCATTTCCTGCAGAGCACCATGATGAAAGGCATGATAGAGAACGGCATGCGCACCGGCCTCAAGGAGTCATACGCCACCTTCCTCTCTGTGAGTGTCCTTTTAAGAGTCGGCTGCGAGTGTCGTATGAGCCGCACTTCCTGCAGAGCACCATGATGAAAAGCATGATCGAGAATGGCATGCGCACCGGCCTCAAGGAATCCTACGCCACCTTCCTCTCTGTGAGTGTCCTTTTGAGGCGCTTCCTGCCTCGTCTCGTCTCACTTGTGAGCCGCATTTCCTGCAGAGCACCATGATGAAAGGCATGATTGAGAATGGCATGCGCACTGGTCTCAGGGACTCTTAGACCACCTTCCTCTCTGTGAGTGCGAAATAGGTTGTTCTTGATGCGTATGCACACTCAGATGCAGATCAACTCTTGGTCCTGCTTGCATTGCTGCTCTGTAGCTTTGCCTTCCTCAGTTCAACCTTCCACGCCTGCTCTCCCAAGGCCGCTCAGTTCTCGAAATCCCACATTTTGCCTCTCTCCTGTCTGCCTCTCTCTCTCTCTCCCGTTTGCCATTTGTGTTGACTTCTCCATCTACTCCTTCTCCCCTACATCCCCTCACTCCCCCCCCCCCCCCCCCCCGCAAAAACTCTCTCTCAGGTACTCACAAAGCACGTGCCTCCCTTCGTCTCCACTGCACCATCCACCTCCCTCTCCCAACCCTCAACCTCCCCTCCTCCCTCCTCCCCACTCGGCCGTCTCCTCTCCCGCCTCGGCGTCCCCCCCCACCTCATCCCGTCAAAAACGGCAATCGCCGAGGCTGCACTCCGGGCAACAGGCCCACTTGCGCTCTTTGTCTTTTTCCTCGCAGTGGTCTTGCTACCTACACACCTGGTGCTGGTGGCACGGGGTGGGGCGGGGGTGGTGCTGCCGCTACTAGACCTTCCTGATAGCCTGTTGGAGCTGCTATGGTGTGCCGTGATCCTGGTTGCAACCAACCATGTGGTTGCCATGGCACGAGGCATCATTGTATCAAAATACATCAAGAGTGAGTGATGGGGTAGCAAGGGAAGAGGGCGGTGGGGGTGGTGGAAGGGCAGAGCAATGGAGGGGAGAGCATCATAAAGCCGCACGCTCATCAAATGCGCTTGTCTCAATATCCCTTCTCTCCCTTTCCCCCTGCTACCATCCCTCTGTATAACTCAGAGGGCGACCACGGGAAGAAGGCGGTGGGGGAGGGGTGGCTGCTGACAGTATCGCTAGTCGAGGGGGAGAGCATAGGGGATGCAGGCGTGGTGATGAAGGCGGACCCCTTTGTGGTCTTTGCTTGCAGCGGCAAGACGCGCACCAGCTCTGTGAAGCTGCAGACCAACATGCCCAAGTGGAACGGTGAGTGCAAACCAGGACAGTAGAGGGGGAGAAGAGGTGAGCTAGCAGCAGTGTCACTGGTGGAGGGGGAGAGCGTAGGGGACGCGGGTGTGGTGATGAAGGCGGACCCCTTCGTGGTCTTTGCTTGCAGCGGCAAGACTCGCACCAGCTCTGTGAAGCTGCAGACCAACACGCCCAAGTGGAACGGTGAGTGCAGGGGAGGTGTGAGAGCAGAGCAGAGCAGGTCTGTCTGAGTGCAGAGCAGGTCTGTCTGAGAGCAGAGCAGGTCTGTCTGAGTGCAGAGCAGGTCTGTCTGAGTGCAGAGCAGGTCTGTCTGAGTGCAGAGCAGGTCTGTCTGAGAGCAGAGCAGGTCTGTCTGAGTGCAGAGCAGGTCTGTCTGAGAGCAGAGCAGGTCTGTCTGAGTGCAGAGCAGGTCTGTCTGAGTGCAGAGCAGGTCTGTCTGAGTGCAGAGCAGGTCTGTCTGAGTGCAGAGCAGGTCTGTCTGAGAGCAGAGCAGGTCTGTCTGAGTGCAGAGCAGGTCTGTCTGAGAGCAGAGCAGGTTTGTCTGAGAGCAGAGCAGGTCTGTCTGAGTGCAGAGCAGGTCTGTCTGAGTGCAGAGCAGGTCTGTCTGAGAGCAGAGCAGGTCTGTCTGAGAGCAGAGCAGGTCTGTCTGAGTGCAGAGCAGGTCTGTCTGAGAGCAGAGCAGGTCTGTCTGAGTGCAGAGCAGGTCTGTCTGAGTGCAGAGCAGGTCTGTCTGAGTGCAGAGCAGGTCTGTCTGAGTGCAGAGCAGGTCTGTCTGAGAGCAGAGCAGGTCTGTCTGAGTGCAGAGCAGGTCTGTCTGAGAGCAGAGCAGGTCTGTCTGAGAGCAGAGCAGGTCTGTCTGAGAGCAGAGCAGGTCTGTCTGAGTGCAGAGCAGGTCTGTCTGAGAGCAGAGCAGGTCTGTCTGAGTGCAGAGCAGGTCTGTCTGAGTGCAGAGCAGGTCTGTCTGAGTGCAGAGCAGGTCTGTCTGAGTGCAGAGCAGGTCTGTCTGAGAGCAGAGCAGGTCTGTCTGAGTGCAGAGCAGGTCTGTCTGAGAGCAGAGCAGGTCTGTCTGAGAGCAGAGCAGGTCTGTCTGAGAGCAGAGCAGGTCTGTCTGAGAGCAGAGCAGGTCTGTCTGAGAGCAGAGCAGGTCTGTCTGAGTGCAGAGCAGGTCTGTCTGAGAGCAGAGCAGGTCTGTCTGAGAGCAGAGCAGGTCTGTCTGAGTGCAGAGCAGGTCTGTCTGAGTGCAGAGCAGGTCTGTCTGAGAGCAGAGCAGGTCTGTCTGAGAGCAGAGCAGGTCTGTCTGAGTGCAGAGCAGGTCTGTCTGAGTGCAGAGCAGGTCTGTCTGAGTGCAGAGCAGGTCTGTCTGAGTGCAGAGCAGGTCTGTCTGAGTGCAGAGCAGGTCTGTCTGAGAGCAGAGCAGGTCTGTCTGAGAGCAGAGCAGGTCTGTCTGAGTGCAGAGCAGGTCTGTCTGAGAGCAGAGCAGGTCTGTCTGAGTGCAGAGCAGGTCTGTCTGAGTGCAGAGCAGGTCTGTCTGAGTGCAGAGCAGGTCTGTCTGAGTGCAGAGCAGGTCTGTCTGAGAGCAGAGCAGGTCTGTCTGAGTGCAGAGCAGGTCTGTCTGAGAGCAGAGCAGGTCTGTCTGAGAGCAGAGCAGGTCTGTCTGAGTGCAGAGCAGGTCTGTCTGAGTGCAGAGCAGGTCTGTCTGAGTGCAGAGCAGGTCTGTCTGAGTGCAGAGCAGGTCTGTCTGAGTGCAGAGCAGGTCTGTCTGAGTGCAGAGCAGGTCTGTCTGAGAGCAGAGCAGGTCTGTCTGAGTGCAGAGCAGGTCTGTCTGAGAGCAGAGCAGGTCTGTCTGAGAGCAGAGCAGGTCTGTCTGAGAGCAGAGCAGGTCTGTCTGAGTGCAGAGCAGGTCTGTCTGAGAGCAGAGCAGGTCTGTCTGAGTGCAGAGCAGGTCTGTCTGAGTGCAGAGCAGGTCTGTCTGAGTGCAGAGCAGGTCTGTCTGAGTGCAGAGCAGGTCTGTCTGAGAGCAGAGCAGGTCTGTCTGAGTGCAGAGCAGGTCTGTCTGAGAGCAGAGCAGGTCTGTCTGAGAGCAGAGCAGGTCTGTCTGAGAGCAGAGCAGGTCTGTCTGAGAGCAGAGCAGGTCTGTCTGAGAGCAGAGCAGGTCTGTCTGAGTGCAGAGCAGGTCTGTCTGAGAGCAGAGCAGGTCTGTCTGAGAGCAGAGCAGGTCTGTCTGAGTGCAGAGCAGGTCTGTCTGAGTGCAGAGCAGGTCTGTCTGAGTGCAGAGCAGGTCTGTCTGAGAGCAGAGCAGGTCTGTCTGAGAGCAGAGCAGGTCTGTCTGAGTGCAGAGCAGGTCTGTCTGAGTGCAGAGCAGGTCTGTCTGAGTGCAGAGCAGGTCTGTCTGAGTGCAGAGCAGGTCTGTCTGAGTGCAGAGCAGGTCTGTCTGAGAGCAGAGCAGGTCTGTCTGAGAGCAGAGCAGGTCTGTCTGAGTGCAGAGCAGGTCTGTCTGAGAGCAGAGCAGGTCTGTCTGAGAGCAGAGCAGGTCTGTCTGAGAGCAGAGCAGGTCTGTCTGAGTGCAGAGCAGGTCTGTCTGAGCGCAGAGCAGGTCTGTCTGAGAGCAGAGCAGGTCTGTCTGAGTGCAGAGCAGGTCTGTCTGAGAGCAGAGCAGGTCTGTCTGAGTGCAGAGCAGGTCTGTCTGAGTGCAGAGCAGGTCTGTCTGAGTGCAGAGCAGGTCTGTCTGAGTGCAGAGCAGGTCTGTCTGAGTGCAGAGCAGGTCTGTCTGAGAGCAGAGCAGGTCTGTCTGAGTGCAGAGCAGGTCTGTCTGAGAGCAGAGCAGGTCTGTCTGAGTGCAGAGCAGGTCTGTCTGAGTGCAGAGCAGGTCTGTCTGAGTGCAGAGCAGGTCTGTCTGAGTGCAGAGCAGGTCTGTCTGAGTGCAGAGCAGGTCTGTCTGAGAGCAGAGCAGGTCTGTCTGAGAGCAGAGCAGGTCTGTCTGAGAGCAGAGCAGGTCTGTCTGAGAGCAGAGCAGGTCTGTCTGAGAGCAGAGCAGGTCTGTCTGAGAGCAGAGCAGGTCTGTCTGAGAGCAGAGCAGGTCTGTCTGAGTGCAGAGCAGGTCTGTCTGAGAGCAGAGCAGGTCTGTCTGAGAGCAGAGCAGGTCTGTCTGAGAGCAGAGCAGGTCTGTCTGAGTGCAGAGCAGGTCTGTCTGAGAGCAGAGCAGGTCTGTCTGAGTGCAGAGCAGGTCTGTCTGAGTGCAGAGCAGGTCTGTCTGAGTGCAGAGCAGGTCTGTCTGAGTGCAGAGCAGGTCTGTCTGAGTGCAGACAGGTGGGGGCGCTTTGGGAGGTCTCAAAGGCCATGGAGGACGCTCCTTCCAATTTCGACATTGAGCTCATTCGAACAACACTGATTAACTTTCCGCTCCCACCCCCCGACTCCCTCAACCCCCCCACCCACCACCAGAGGTGCTCGAATTCGATGCTATGGAGGACACGCCTTCCATCCTCGACATCAAGCTTATTCAGAGAACCCTTTTTTAATCCATTGTCTCCTTCCTTCCCCTCCTCCCATCCCTCCTCCAACCATCCTCAAACCCCAACCTCACATCACCAGAGGTGCTCGAATTCGACGCCATGGAGGACGCGGCTTCCATTCTCGAGATCCAGCTCACTCAAAAGAGCTCTTCTTCAATCCAGAGTCTCATTCCTTACCTTACCCTCCTCCCACCATTCCCCCCTCCCTCCCACACCAACCAGAGGTGCTCGAGTTTGACGCCATGGAGGACGCGCCTTCCATTCTCGAGATCGAGGTTTTCAACTACGACGGACCCTTCTCGGAACCTTCCCTGCTCGGCCGGGCAGAAATAAACTTCCTCCGGCAGTCGGCGCAGGACCTCGCGGACCTCTGGGTGCCGCTAGAGGGCAGGCGGGCGAAAGTTCAAGCTGCCCGGATCCACGTTCGAGTGCTTCTGACCAATACCTCTGAAGCTGCGGCTCCTCTGGTGCTTCAGAAGATTAGCAAGGAAGTGGGCAGCAAGGTGAGGGGGGAAGATGAGGGAATGATTGACTGGATGAATGGGTGAGTTTTAGAAGGACTCCCGTTTTCTGCTTCTCACCCCCTCCTGCAAGAAAGAACTCCTTACAGCTAGCCACTTACCTTAATCTACTCTTGCCTCCCCCTCCCCTTCCCCATCCCCCTCCCCCTCCCTTTCTCCCCCTCCCCCTCGCCCCACCAGGGTGGCGTGAGGGAGTTTTCATTGCAGAAGAACCTGGCCTTCCAGCGCCTGTTTGATGTGCCAGACAGCGAGTGCCTCATAAACGACTTCTCCCCCACTCCCTCCCCCTCCCTTCCCCCACTCCCCTCCCCCTCGCCCCACCAGGGCGGTGTGAGGGAGTTTTCATTGCAGAAGAACCTGGCCTTCCAGCGGCTGTTTGATCTGCCTCGTCGCCGTGCCTTCCAGCCAACTTTTTTTTACCCTCCCCCCCTCTTCCCCCTCCCCCTCGCCCCACCAGGGCGGTGTGAGGGAGTTTTCCTTGCAGAAGAATCTGGCGTTCCAGTGGCTGTTCGACCTACCGGACAGCGAGTGCCTCATAAACGACTTCTCCTGCATTCTCAGGAAAGGGCTGCTCTGCTCTCCCAGGGCCGCCTTCACAGGGGCGCCTCTTCCTCTCCCCGTCCCCCTCCCCGTGGACACTTGCATCAAACTCACCCTCCTCTTCCGTCCCCCCACCTTCCCCCCCTCTCTCCCCTTTCCCCACTCCCTTCCCCCTCGCCCCACCAGGGGGGTGTGAGGGAGTTTTCATTGCAGAAGAATCTGGCCTTTCAGCGCCTGTTCGACCTACCAGACAGCGAGTGCCTCATAAACGACTTCTCCTGCATCCTCAAGAAAGGGCTGCTCTCCCAAGGCCGCCTCTTCCTCTCCCCGCGCCTCCTCGCCTTCTACTCTTCTGTCTTTGGCACGCGCATCAAATTCACTCTCCTCTGGGAAGACATAGACGAGATTGACGACAGCGTGCCGTCTCTCTTCGACCAAAAGGAGTCCCAAAAAGATGCCAAGTCTCAAACGGCCCAGGCTTCATTGACTAGGTCGCAACCGATCAAGAATCAGACGGCCGCCGCCGCCCAGAAATCCTCCATGACGACCTTCAAGCGCATGCTCAACCCGGCGATCACCGTCTTTGTCAAAAAGGACAAAGGGACGGCGGAAACCCGGGCGGCAGCGCACGGCGTGGACTCGCACGGGCGGCTGAAGATCCGATTCCAGTCGTTTGTCCGGCCAGGTGTGGCCTTCCGTCTCGTCCTTGCCTTATGGCGCAACCGCAACCTCCCCACTGACCAGCAGCTAGCTAGAGCCAAGGAGGAGGGCGATGCAAGTGACAGTGGCGGGGAGAGAGGCGAGGGTACCAATGTGGGGAGGGACGGGGGAGCTGGGGCAGCGACAGGAGTATCCAGCAGCAGAGGCGATTTTTGGGGGGCGAGAGGAGGGATGGGAGGGTATCGGGAGGTGACCGATTCGAGAAGGGAGTCTATAGCGGTGGAGGACGGTGGAGGGGCGTTTATGGGGGTGGAGACGCGGGAGGTGATAGATGACCAGCTAGTAGGTGTACCGATCACAGTGCAGCAGTTCCTGGCCTCGTTTGATGACCCAGCAGCCACTGCTGCCATGATGGAGAAGGCAGGGCAGATGGGTGCGGAGATTGGCGAGTGGGAGGCGGTGGAAGTTGGTATGGGGGACGGGGTGGGGCAGCTGGAGGGCCGGGCGGCGGGAGGCAGAGTGGGCGGCGTTCTTCGGCGCCAGCGCAGCGTCAAGTACCGATTCTCTCGGCAGGTGAGGGGAAGTGAAGTGGGCCACTGGTCAGGGGCAGGTGAGGGGAAGTGAAGTGGGCCACTGGTCAGGGGCAGGCGAGGGGAAGTGATTCACCTCTTCTTTCTTCCCTTGGCCTCACAACGCCCCCGCCTCACCCCTTCTTCATCGCGCCAGTCTCTCCCTTCTTGAAGATCCGGGGCTAGTGTTGAGCTGTCAGCGTTGGTTGGCAACAGTCAGTGTTGGTGCTTTCACTTGGCCCAAGGTAGTTGTCCCACCAGCCGCCCGCCTGTCTCTGTCTAGCCCATCCGTCCCATGACCACCCCCTTCCCCTGTTTGTATCTCAATCAATGCCGGCCACCGGTCAGGGGCCACGCCAGCGAGCGTGTATTCTTCTTCCACCAACAAATCGCCTCCCTGCCTCTCCCATTGCTCCCCTGGGCAGGTCCCTCTCCTCTCCCCAACTGTGACAGCAAGCAGCAGATGAGTTTTGAGAAGTTACGAGTTTTGAGTTTTGAGACGTCTCTAAACCCAACAAATCTCCTCCCTGCCTCTCCCATTGCTCCTCTGGATAGGTCCCTGTCCTCTCCCCAACCGTGACCGCGGTGCAGCAGATGACTCAGGAAGCCAGCACCCCGGGCAGCATCCCGGGCGGCATCTCGGGCGGCACCCCGGGCGGCAGCCAGGACGGCGGTATCCAGTGGGCGTGTTTGGAGCAGGTGCTCACTCTCCACAGAGTCCCCTTCGGCGACAGCTTTCAGGTGAAAACAACAGAAGCTTTCAGGGGGATTAGCAGAATTTTGTCAGGTGGGTGGGAGAGAACGAGTAGTCTGGCGAAACAATCAGGTAGCTTACCAGGTGGCAGGAGCAAGGAGTTGCAGCTGAGGTAGATTTGAGCCTGCTCTATTAACAACTCAAACCCTCTCCCTCTCACCTCCTCAGAACACTCGTCCTCTTCCCTCACCCCTTGCCTCCCCTCGAGTAACCCTGTCAGTTAGAGTTTTTTCAAGAGATCAAGGCCAAGGAGATATTCTCCCTGCCAGGAGCAGCAAGCACGGCAGCAGGTGCAGCAGCAGCAGACGTGGGAGCAGGCAAGAGCAGCGCAGCAGATACGGCCTACTCGTCCTCTAGCCCAGCAGAAGCTGCTGCTAGCGCGGCCAGGGGAGCAGCCGCTGTCGCCTCCGCACTGGTTGCCGCTGCAGGCGCACTCAAACTCACGGCACGCGGGGCAGCAGCAGCAAGCGGTACGGCCACAGGTGACGGAGGAGGAGCAGGTGAGGAGAGAGGAACAGCAGGCGGTACAGCAGGAGCAGCAGGGGGGACGGCATTGGGAGCGAGTGGGTTACAAGAGGGGGTGTTGCAGGATGACAGGGTGCGATCGGTGCTGCACGTGCGAATGGCGATTGCATGGCACAAGGAGCTTAGTGAGGCGACACGCAGCAAGATCAAGAGCAGCATTGGGCGATTCTACAAGCAGCAGGCACGCCGCGTGGTTGAACTCATGGCTGCTCAGGGGACCTGAAAAGGGGACGTGCTAGCTGCTGTATGGAGACTTCTTTTGAGATGACTCAAAAGTTGACACGGGCCAAGATCACGAGCAGCATCGGGCGATGCTACAAGCAGCAGGCTCGGCGCGTGGCGGAGCTTATGGCTGTTCAGGGGACCTGAGAAGGGGACGTGCTAGCTGTTGTATGGAGAGTTCTTTTGAGATGACTCAAAAGTCGACACGGGCCAAGATCATGAGCAGCATTGGCCTATACTAGAAGAAGTAGCAGGCACGCCTGTGGGGAACTTTGAATAATTTCTGATAAAGTCCAAATCATACCTGTGGGGAACTTTGAAGGGGCACTTACCTGAACTGTTACTTGAAAGGACGCCTGAGTGAGAGAGCACCTGAGAGATGCCTGATGGGGCACCTGAGAAACCACATGAAGGCGTACCTTTGGAGTCTGTATGGGACTTGGGAGAGAACACATGGACAAGTGCATCAGCCCGCATGCTGCTGATACCTTGATGCGTGTTTGCATGCATGCGTGCAAGTGTGCGCGTGTGCACGCATGTGTAAGGATGAAAGACTTGTCATGGGGAGGCATGTGCCCGAGAGCATGCATGCAAGGCCAAGGAGAGGATGCGCTCACCCATGTAAGGATGCCAATGACCACCCACGCCACGCCAGTGCATGCGTCCCTGGGACGCCCCACCCCTGGGAGCAGCACTTTCAGTACCTGGGATGGGACGTCCATTCCACGCCTCTCAGTCCGCCAGGCACCCCCACAAGAGCACACACCACAGGAACACGTTCGTCCGAGGCAGCAGAGGAACAGACTTGCAAGAAGCAAAGAACGATTCTAGGACTGGCCGCACGGCGACCTAGACTGCTTTATCCCCCCCAATAGACCTGGCAGCAACTTACCATGCTTCCGTTGCGACGAAACCGCATGAAGCCTCAGAAGGCGGATCCTCAATCCTCACTCGCACCTTGTTGGAAAGCACGCCAGTGCGTGCTTGGGTCTCAGTCAGGGAGACTCCCGAACCATAGCAGCCAATACAACACAGCAACAAGCAGAGAGGACAGTTCGTCAGAAGCAGAACCGGAAACAGACTCAGGAGAAACAACATTTGATTGTATGACTTGCCGCACGGCGACCTAGACTGCTCTTACTCCCCTGATAAACCAGCCCAAGCACGTACCGTGCTGCCATGGTAAGCCAGTTTCTGAGACGACTCCTCACTCACTCGCACAGCACCGCTCTGAGAAGCTCCAACCCTTGGCAGGACTCAGTGCATGGGCCTCAGTGCAGGAGGCACCACCGGAGCCACAGCAGCAAACACAGCACAGAAACGAGCACAGAGGAGAGCGCGTCAGCAGCAGCAGAGGAAACGGACTCGGAAGGAACAGAAATTGTTTCTAAGACTTGCCTCACGGCGACCCAGACTGCCTTACCCCCCCAGTATACCCGCCCAGCCACTCACCGTCCTGCCGTGATGAGCCGAATTTCGTGGCTCCTTAGAAGGCGGATCCTCACTCTCACTCGCACTGCGCCTTCCTGGGACGCACTTCAGCGCGTCCCTGGGGCTTAGTCAGGAAGACACCCCGACACAGAGCAGCGAACACAGCACGGGAACAAGCACAGAAGAGAGTGCGTCAGGAGCAGCAGACGAAGACAGACTTGGGAAAAGCATAAAGTGATTCTGAGACTTGCCGCACGGCGACCTAGACTTCTTTGCCCCCCGAAGATAGATTTGGCGGACAACTTACCATACCGCACAGTGACACAGAGAACCAGTATACTGCCTTGTAGCGCCTGCGTTCCCGCTGCTGATCCCTCCCCTGCCTCCACCTATCAATCCCGTAGTCGTGTCCATGCGCCTCAGTCAAGGAGGGACCGAACAGAGCAGACAGCACAACAGAAGAAGAAGATCAATCACAGAGGAGACTGCGTGAGAAGAAGCAACGGGAACGGACGCAGAAGAAAACATTCACGTCTACGACTTGCCGCACGGCGACCTAGACCTAGACTGCCTTGCCCTCCCCCATGGACCCACCCAAGCACTTACCGTTTCGCCTGGTGGTTCAAATCCCGAGACGTCAGAAAGAGAGGATCCTCACTCACTTGTAGAACCCCTCCCTGGGACGCACCACCTTGTCGGGGGAAGGCTTGTTGTCTCGTGCATGGGCCTCAGTCAACACATTACAGCAACAAGCACAGGGGAGCGAGCGTCAGAAGCAGCAGAGAAAGCAGACTCGGAAGGTGCAAAAACCCAAATATTTGACCTGCCGCGCGGCGTCCTGACTTCTCTGCCCCCCCTCCCCCCCCCCCCCCCCCCCAATATATCCCCCCAACGACTTACCAGCCTGCAATGATGAGGCAGTTCCTGAGACGGCTCAAAAGGCGGATCCTCACTCGCAGAGACTGTCTGTTGATGCGTGCATGGGCCTCAGGAAAGGAGGCATCCGAACCAGAGCAGCACACAACGCAGGCACAGGCACAGAGGCACGAGCGTCAGAAGCAGCATAGAAAGTGGACTCGGGATAAGCAAAACCGGATTCTGAGACTTGCCGCACGGCGACCTAGACTGCTCTGCCCCCCCGATAGATCCGCCCACCAACTTACCATACTGCCATACTGCTCTGAGACAGCTCAGAAGGCGGATCCTCACTCGCAGAGCCCTGCCTTAGGACGCACCACCCTGGGGCAGATTCTGAGACGCCTCCGCAGTCGGGTCGATACTAGCGGAGCGCCACCTTGGAACGCGATGCACCAGCATGCCTTGACAGGCAGGACTGCTTTTGAGTCGACTCAAAATTAGACGCCTCCGCAGTTGGGTCGTTACAGGAGGAGCGCCACCTTGGAACGCGATGCACCACCACCACGCCTTGGCGGGCAGAGTGTTGAGGCGTGCATGGGCCTCAGTCAAGTGAGCATTGGAACCAGAGCAGCGCACACAACACAGGAGGGAGCACAGAGGAGAGAGCGTTAGAAGCAGCAGAGCAAGTGGACTCGAAAACAGCAAAGCTAGATTCTATGACCTGCCGCACGGCGACCTAGACTGCTGTGCCCCCCTAATAGATCCGCCCAGCAACTTACCACACTGCTGTGGTGAGGCTGTTTCTGCAACGGTTCAGAAGGCGGATGATTCTGCCACTCCTCACTGGCAGAGCCCCTCAGTGAGGCGAACCACCCTTGACAGGCACAAGTGTTGCGGCGCCCATTGGGGCTGATTCTGAGACGAATCCGCAGTCGGGTCGTCACGCGACGCACGACAACACAGGAGGAAGCACAGAGGAGAGAGCGTCAGAAGAAGCAGAGCAAACGAACTCAGAAAAAGCTAGACCTGATTCTATGACTTGCCGCGCGGCGACCTAGACTGCTCTGCCCCCCTGAATAGATCCGCCCAGCAACGTACCATGCCGCGGCGGTGAGGCAGTTTCTGCGGCGCCTCAGAAGGCGGATCCTCGCTGCTCACTCGCAGAGCCCCTCCCAGGGCGAGGCACCCCTCGTATTCTCGTATTGGGTGGCAGGACTGTATTCTCGTGCATGGGCCTCAGCCAACACATCACAGCAACAAGCACAGGGGAGCGAGCGTCAGAAGCAGAAAAGAGAGCGGACTCGGAAGAAGCAAAATCGTTTTCTAAGACTCGCCGCACGGCGACCTAAACTGCTCTACCCACCCGATATCTCCGCCCAACGACTTACCATGAAGCGGTGGTGAGCCTGTTTCTGAGGCGGAGGCGGATCCTCACTCGCAGAGCCCCTCTCTGGACGAACCACCCGTTGGCAGGCAGGCAGGAGAGTTGGCGTGCTTGCGCCTCAGTGAAGAGGCACCGGAAACAGAGCAGCGAACACAGCACAGCACAGCACAGGAACAGGCACAGAGGAGAGCGCGTTAAAAGCATCAGAGAAAATGGACTCGGGAGAAACAAGAATTGATTCTAAGACTTGCCGCGCGGCGACCTAGACTGATCGACCCCTCCAATAAAATCGACCAAGAACTTACCATACTTTTCCCGCTCCTGATTGCCCTGCTTCTGGTCCTGCCGCTACTGCTCCTGCAGGCTTACGTGTGTCGACCAAGACAGTTCGCTGCACCACCAATGCTCCATCGCTCCTCCCTCCCTGCACGCTCACAGAGAGGGCAGAAGAGGTACAGATGCGTGAGAGCAGCACGCAAACACTCGACTCAAGACACTTACGCGACGCGCCCCCCACTCGCGTTCCAGGCACACGCACCTTTTTTAAGCCGCGCTGCCGGCCAATACCACCCAGTGTCCGCGCAAACCGCGTGCCCGCGCAATCCGCATTTGTCCGCGCAATCCGCGTTTGCCCGCGCAATACGTGTTTCTCCCCGCAATCCGCGTTTCTCCTCGCAACAGCACAGGGACAAGCACAGAGGAGAGAGCGTCAGAAGCAGCAGGGGGAAAGAGACCCGAAGAAACTAAATTTGATTCTAAGACTTGCCGCGCGGCGACCTAGACTGCTCGACCTCCCCCAATGCATTCGGTCAAGAGCTTACCATACTGCACAGCAACACAGTCCCATTTCCGCCTCCCGCTTTCTCCCCCCTGGATCCTTGTTTTTGTTGCTGCTGCTGCTCGGAGGTCGTTCGCCTGACTCTACTTGCCTCCTCTCCTGTGTTCCTCCTCCTCCACACCCCACACACGCAACAGGAGAGGGAGAACACACACGTGGATTAAACCGAGATCTTTGGGAGAAACGACCCTGGAGAGCAAAAATAGCGGACTCAAGACACCTACGCGGCGGACTCCAACGTCCTACGCGCCCCCCCATACATCCCTTCCACGCACACGCACCTTCGCATGTCGCTCTGCTGCCGTCAGCATGTATCGAATCTTCTTCGAATCCGTGTTGCTCTCCGTTCCGCCGTGCTTCTGTATCCTTCGCCGTCATTCCTCGAATCAAAACTCGCGAACGGCTGCGAAAGTCGGCGAAACCATCGAAACGTGACGAACGGTGCAGAAACTCGGCGCGCAACAGCATCGGCGAACGGCAGGAAATTTAGCGAAGACTTGGCGAACGGCAGCGCCTTTGCGAAAGGCAGCGACACTCGGCGAACGGCACCGAAAGTCAGCAAACGGAAGCGGAACTCAGAAAATGGTAGAGAATCTTAGCGAACGCCGGGAACGAACTTGACGAACATTGGCGAAGGGCAGAGAAACACCGCGAACGGCGGCAGCGAACCCGGTTAACCGCAGACTCTCCACGAAGCGCAGACAGACTCGACAAACGGCAGCGAAAGCCGACGACGACGAAATGGGAGGGCTGAATGACAGGTCTCGAGCAGAGACGGGACCGAGCAGCACGCTGGAAGTGACCAGCCGGACTGCGTGGTGGTTCAGGTTGTCTAGGGCCGCATCAGGAAGGTTAGTATCTGAGTGTACTACCTAACAACGCATTTTAGAAGTCGCTAGTCCATCATTCAGCTTAGCACCGCTTAATGTCGTTAATCCATCCTGCGTCAGCCGCGTACTATGGTCGCGAATCCCTCCTGCGCTTTAGGTAGCATGATTGCTATTCCATCCTTCGTTCTAGGACCGCATTTCTGTATCGGAAGGATGGCTTCAAAATAGAACCAGGATAGACGCGACTCAAACTCGAATTTATGACCGTAATAGAAGAGTCAGCTGTCCCACATAAGGCGGAATCGGAAATTTTTATCTCCTACCGAGAAGACTGCGAGCTAGCGTCGTTTCAGGCGGAATCTTCTCTATCAACCAAAGTCCTCTTTGGTTGCTGGGGTGACAATGGGACTAGAGCTGGGAGAGCTGGGAAAGAGCGAGTGTTGCTGGTCGGAAACAAGAATCGCTGGCCTGAAGCACGCGAAGGAAAGATGTTGGGAGAGCGAATAGAAGGTTGTGTCTGGGTCCAATTTTTTGCGTCAGGGCGGCACCTCTGACAACCTCGATGGAATTTGGCGGCAGAATCGAGGCGCAAAGTGGTGGAAAGCTGAAGTGCATTCCCACAGGCGATCCCGTTTACGTATTAACCAGAATTGATAATATAACAGAAACAATAATTTTGCATCCCCTTTATGCCAAACTTATTGGTATAGAGGCCATAAACATTACATTAGCTGCTGATGGAAAGATCCCGAGCTCTCAGATTTCAAATAAAACAATATCTGCTCAAACGTACGCCAAATACAAATAGCATAACTTTGTTTGTATACTAGTTTTCCTCCTTTTATCACCCCACCCCTTTTTCACTATTTTCGTTTTTTTAAGCTAATTTTGTATACATTTTTATGATACTATGTCGAAGATTTCTGTTGTCGTACATCAAGGCTCGAACAAGAACATTTAAACTGTAGTCCATGATATAATTGTAGCTTAGATTCTTTTATACAGCAGTGACACTTATTTTGAAAAAAGAACTGGGTATCAGGCATGACCCAGTGGTGGCGAGCTTGTCGCGACAAGAATGTTTGCCGTTGAATGCGTACGACCGCGATTCCGCTGTACCTGATTCCATTTGTTACGCTCTCGTCGGACTCTTACTCGTCGTGGAAAAGCGAGCGCTTCGCCATGGCTGTCGCTGTCTCAGCTCGATCTCACCAAGTCAGTAGCAGCCTTCCCGCTGATTCAGCAGCTACTGCCTCGAATGTGTCAACGTCACAATCGTCCAATCCCAGCCGTTCCTTACACGATGCTGTATCCTCATTCGCGGATCTTGTTCTCGGCGCTTCCAGCAATCGCGCTGTACAAGAAGCACGGCCTGACGGACACTCCGCATCTCAAGCCGGGATTTCCGGACAAACCTTGGCTCGTGAAGTAGCTTCTCCCGAAGCTGACCTGTCAGCACAGCTGTCCGTCGCGGACCTGCTGACGTGTCTCTCGCGGATTGAAGAGCGGTCCGAGCAGGTAAAGGCGGAGATCATACAGGAGGTGGAAGGCAGACACGAGGAGCTTCGGCAGCTGATGTGGCACGCGTGCCAGGCTGGCGATGACGTAGCGGTTCTGCTAGCTGAGGTGGATGCCCTGGCTGCCAGCGTGTCACCAGCAGAAGCTACCGAATCCGGACCTAGCGGAAAGGGGGGAGGAGGGAATCATGATCCTGGCTCGGGACCAGCTTCGGTAACAGGCTCGGGGATAGGTCTAGGCTCGGGAGCAGCACTAGGGTTTGTGGGGGAGGTGGTAAGGGCCACCAATGAGGTGCGAGCGTTGAATCAAGCAGCCAATGAGAAAGCAGAGATTCGGAAAGCAGTGGAGGAGATTGTTCATCTCCAAAGGAAGAAGGCAGAGATGCAAGTGCTGCTGGGGAGAGGAAAGCTCCTGGAAGCTGCGACTCTTGCTCGGGCTCTTAAAGCCTCCTTCGTGGAGGGTGATAAGGCTGATATGGGGAGGCCAAAGGAGGGGAGGGACGGGGAGGGAGAGGGGGGTAAGCAGGGCGAGGGAGAGGGGAAGGGCGGAGAGGAGGAGCAGGGGGAGGAGCCTGTGGTGGCGACTCTGCTGCGGCAGCAAGTGGACGCCAGCTGTAAGCAGGTCTGTGTGGTTTTGGATGCTACGCAAAACTATAGGAGTCATGCGGTAGTATTCTGAAAAAAGACTTGTAAGGGGCGAAGCCTGTGGTGGTGACTCTGCTGCGGCAGCAAGTGGACGCCAGATGTAATCAGGTCTCTGTGTGGCCCACCAGTTGCCCTACGTTAAAGGTGTGGAACCATTTCCTGAAATCCTGATGGGTCCGGAGGGGCTTGTCTCCGGCTGCCCTGGACCGGCCGCGTAAACCGGCCCCAGTTCATTCACACCCCCTGTGAACCGGCCCCAGTTCATTCACACCCCCTGTGAACTGGCCCCAGTTCATTCACACCCCCTGTGAACTGGCCCCAGTTCATTCACACCCCCTGTGAACTGGCCCCAGTTCATTCACACCCCCGGTGAACCGGCCCCAGTTCATTCACACCCCCTGTGAACCGGCCCCAGTTCATTCACACCCCCTGTGAACTGGCCCCGGTTCATTCACACACCCTGTGAACTGGCCCCAGTTCATTCACACCCCCTGTGAACTGGCCCCAGTTCATTCACACCCCCTGTGAACTGGCCCCAGTTCATTCACACCCCCTGTGAACTGGCCCCAGTTCATTCACACCCCCTGTGAACTGGCCCCAGTTCATTCACACCCCCTGTGAACTGGCCCCAGTTCATTCACACCCCCTGTGAACTGGCCCCAGTTCATTCACACCCCCTGTGAACTGGCCCCAGTTCATTCACACCCCCTGTGAACTGGCCCCAGTTCATTCACACCCCCTGTGAACTGGCCCCAGTTCATTCACACCCCCTGTGAACTGGCCCCAGTTCATTCACACCCCCTGTGAACTGGCCCCAGTTCATTCACACCCCCTGTGAACTGGCCCCAGTTCATTCACACCCCCTGTGAACTGGCCCCAGTTCATTCACACCCCCTGTGAACTGGCCCCAGTTCATTCACACCCCCTGTGAACTGGCCCCAGCTCATTCACACCCCCTGTGAACTGGCCCCAGTTCATTCACACCCCCTGTGAACTGGCCCCAGTTCATTCACACCCCCTGTGAACTGGCCCCAGTTCATTCACACCCCCTGTGAACTGGCCCCAGTTCATTCACACCCCCTGTGAACCGGCCCCAGTTCATTCACACCCCCTGTGAACTGGCCCCAGTTCATTCACACCCCCTGTGAACTGGCCCCAGTTCATTCACACCCCCTGTGAACTGGCCCCAGTTCATTCACACCCCCTGTGAACTGGCCCCAGTTCATTCACACCCCCTGTGAACTGGCCCCAGTTCATTCACACCCCCTGTGAACTGGCCCCAGTTCATTCACACCCCCTGTGAACCGGCCCCAGTTCATTCACACCCCCTGTGAACCGGCCCCAGTTCATTCACACCCCCTGTGAACTGGCCCCAGTTCATTCACACCCCCTGTGAACTGGCCCCAGTTCATTCACACCCCCTGTGAACTGGCCCCAGTTCATTCACACCCCCTGTGAACTGGCCCCAGTTCATTCACACCCCCTGTGAACTGGCCCCAGTTCATTCACACCCCCTGTGAACTGGCCCCAGTTCATTCACACCCCCTGTGAACCGGCCCCAGTTCATTCACACCCCCTGTGAACTGGCCCCAGTTCATTCACACCCCCTGTGAACTGGCCCCAGTTCATTCACACCCCCTGTGAACTGGCCCCAGTTCATTCACACCCCCTGTGAACTGGCCCCAGTTCATTCACACCCCCTGTGAACTGGCCCCAGTTCATTCACACCCCCTGTGAACTGGCCCCAGTTCATTCACACCCCCTGTGAACTGGCCCCAGTTCATTCACACCCCCTGTGAACTGGCCCCAGTTCATTCACACCCCCTGTGAACTGGCCCCAGTTCATTCACACCCCCTGTGAACTGGCCCCAGTTCATTCACACCCCCTGTGAACTGGCCCCAGTTCATTCACACCCCCTGTGAACCGGCCCCAGTTCCCACCCCCTGTGAACCGGCTTGGGAACTGGAGCTGCAGTCCCGGCTTGGGGACTGGAGCTGCAGTCCCGGCTTGGGGACTGAGCTGCAGTCCCGGCTTGGGGACTGGAGCTGCAGTCCCAGGTGCGGGACTGGAGCTGCAGTCCCAGGTGCGGGACTGGAGCTGCAGTCCCGGGTGCGGAACTGGAGCTGCAGTCCCGGGTGCGGGACTGGAGCTGCAGTCCCGGGTGCGGGACTGGAGCTGCAGTCCCGGCTGCGGGACTGGAGCTGCAGTCCCGGCTGCGGGACGGGAGCTGCAGTCCCGGGTGCGGGACGGGAGCTGCAGTCCCGGCTGCGGGACGGGAGCTGGAGTTTCGGCTTGGGGACGGGAGCTGCAGTCCCGGCTTGGGGACGGGAGCTGCAGTCCCGGCTTGGGGACGGGAGCTGCAGTCCCGGCTTGGGGACGGGAGCTGCAGTCCCGGCTTGGGGACGGGAGCTGCAGTCCCGGCTTGGGGACGGGAGCTGCAGTCCCGGCTTGGGGACGGGAGCTGCAGTCCCGGCTTGGGGACGGGAGCTGCAGTCCCGGCTTGGGGACGGGAGCTGCAGTCCCGGCTTGGGGACGGGAGCTGCAGTTCCAGCTCACACTCCCTGTGAACCGGCCCCAGTTGCTTCATGTCCTTCCTGCTAGCTCATCTGCATATCCGCCTTCCCATGTTTGCTGTGTGAAACAATCTGAGTTTACTTTTGAGTCGACTCAAAAGTCGGCTCTTTCTCGTGCCTTGCTTCATGTCCTTCCTGCTAGCACATCTGCATGCCCGCCTTCCCATGTTTGCTAATTTAGACACTTTGTTTGTGTTGAAGCCGAATTTCGTCGCCTTCCCTCTAACTCCGTCACACCCTTCCACCCCTCTCTATACCCCTCTCCACCCCTCTGCACCCCTTCAGCTGCAGCACACCCTGGAGCAGCAGCTGTGGCAGATGCTGGTGATCGACCCTTCCAGCCACTCCATCCGTATTGTCACATCCGCTGCACTCACACCTGCCATCACCAGTGCCTCTTCTGCTTCGTCTCCTGTTGTGCATTTACCAGAGGTGCTTTCTGCACTAGAAGTGCTGACATTGCCAGTGCTCCCACCACCATCAGCACCATCAACGTCAGCAGCAGCACCAACAGCATCAGCACCATCAGCCTCACTGCCAGTAGCAGCAGCGCCGCTATGGTCCAGAATAGCAGCATCCATCCATTCAGCCATCGTGCTGCCGCTGCTCTCCTCCCCATCCGCCTCCCTCATCGCCTCACCACCTGCTGATGCCAGCCCTGCTTCCCCAAGGGACGCTGCCTCTCCCCCTGCTGTTGCTCTGATCCATGTGCAATTCGAAACCTCCACTACACAACCAGCAACACATGCGGCACCAACTGCAGCACATTCAGAATCTTCAGCAGCAGGAGCAGCAGGGGCTGCAGTACAAGAGCCAGTGACGCCATTTCATCTGTACCCTCTCCTCCTCGACCTCATCCGCTTCCTCAGCCGCCACCTCGCCTGCAGTGGGGATGGCAGCAGCACCATCCGACTGCAGCGCCTAGCTGCTGCCCTGTGGCCGCGCATGGCAGACAGCATCATCGAGAGGTGTTTGGCATTGGTAAGCTGTTAGATTTCAGTGAGTAGGACGCCATCTCATCTCACATGGGGGGTTAGGGTAGCACCATTCGACTGCAGCGCCTGGCTGCTGCCCTGTGGTCGCGCATGGCCGATAGCAGCATTGGCAGGTGCTTGGCATTGGTAAGCTGGCTGGAAGTTCGCTGGTAAGCTGGTGATGTGGGTTTTGTATGTTCCATTACTCTGCACAGCTATCTGCTGCCCTCTGGCCTTGCTTTCAGGAGGTGCTGCTGCTGAGGTTATGGAAGGAGGTCACTCGCTCGCTCAAACAAACACGGTCTCAGCACGCAGTTGTTCCTCTCTCTTTCTCCATCCCACGCCCCCGTCAGGCTTTGCCACAGGAAACGAGGAAGCTGACTGAGTGGCCTTCAAGATGTGGTGGAGGGAGGGTACACTTTCGTGTTCAGTGAACGCCCCAGAACTTCCCCACCCCCTCCCCTCCCCCCCCCCCCCCCTTTTTTGTTTGGTTCTCATTTTTTCATGTTCCTCCTCAGGCCGTGCCTCAGGAGACGAGGGAGCTGGCTCGCTTTCAGGAGGTGGTGGAGGTGACACGCGCGTTCGAAGCAGCCCTTCGAGCGGAAGGGTTCCTCGCGCCCCTTCCTAAAGGTACGCGTCTCCTCACGTTTATAAGGTACCCCTTCTGTGTTTTAAGGGTACCAGCAGCACCAGTGGGGGACAGGCTGATGGCGTATGCTGCAAACTGCACCCCCGTTCTTTCCTTCCCCTCCTCTGGCTCTCCGCGCAGCCTCTGCAGCACTCAAGGGCGTAAAGCTGCAGGCAGGAAGGGCAGTGAAGAGAGCAGCAGCAGCAGCGGTGGGGGACAGGCTGATGGCGTATGCGGCAGACGTGGACGTGCATTTTGCAGAGAAGAAACGAGTGGCACGCACTCCCCATTCCTCCCTTCCTTCTCCCCCCCTTTGCTGTCCGCCCAGCTTCTGCAGTACTCAAGGGCGTAAAACTGCAGGCAGGGGGAGCAAAGAGAGCAGCAGCACCAGTGGGAGACAGGCTGATGGCGTATGCGGCAGACGTGGACCCGCCATTCCTCCCTTCTCCCCTCTTACTTTCCACCCAGCTTCTGCAGCACTCAAGGATGTGAAGGCCCGGGCAGGGGGAGCAAAGAGAGCAGCAGCACCTGTGGGGGACAGGCTGATGGCGTATGCGGCAGACGTGGACGTGCACTTCGCAGAGAAGAAACGAGTGGCAGCTCTGGCGGCTGTGCGGCACCTGCTGCTCAAGGGAGACTTCTCAGCCTCACGGCTTGTGGTGAGTAAGTGGTTGTGTTTTCGAGTGTGGTGAGCGTGAGTGGGCTCAAACGAGTGGCGGCTCTGGCGGCTGTGAGGCACCTGCTGCTGAAAGGAGACTTTTCGGCTTCACGTCTTGTGGTGAGTAAGTGGTTGTGTTTCCGAGTGTGGATGATTGTGCTTCTGAGTGTGAGTGGGCTCAAACGAGTGTCGGCTCTGGCGGCTGTGAGGCACCTCTGTTGCTCAAGGGAGACTTTTCAGCCTTACGGCTCGATGTGTTGAGCCTACCTGAGAGCCGAATGATGTGAGGCATCTTGGGTTTCTCCATTCGGGGAGCCGGCTTGATCTCCACCCTCATTCATTCATGCCCACCGCTTTCTCACCCACACACCCTTTCACCCCCACGCCCCTCTACTTCACTCTCAGGTGACTCCTGTCAGTCCAGACGTGAGCAATGTATCGCTACAGCCAGCAGTGTTTGGTCAACAGCTGCTACAGCTGGTGGTGGGAGAGGCAGGCACTGCTGCTGCTGCTGAAGTAACGTCTGACTTGGTGAGAATAGCCTTTTCAATTCTAGCCCTTTTCCAAGGGTTTTGTCACAATAACCGTGCTTTCAACTTTTTAGAAGCATATACAAGTTTATGGCTCTGTCCATGTAGTGTCGCATTGTGATTATCTTGCGGTGATCATCCCGGCACGAAAAAAGGTTATCACGCAACACATACGACTGCCACGTCATCATCATCCTCTCTGCAGGACAACTCGGTATTCTTCTGGGAGCCGTGCCACGTCAGCGAGCCAGTGTGCAAGATACTCGAAATCGTTCACAACACCATGGAGGTATGTTTAGACGCCATGGTTGCATGGAGGTATGATATGCAAAGTGATGTGCATGAATATGCTCTGCTCGTCTGGGAGCTTGCTTGCCTTTTGAGACGTCTCAACAGTCAGTGTGCAAGATCCTGGGAATCGTTCACAGCACCATGGAGGTACTCTTTCTACCATTTGCTCGATTTGAGTCTTGACCTGCCTGGCCTAAACCTCATGGTAATTGTATTGCATGCTTTCCCTGTTCCATCTGCCTTCCAGGAAGCTTCCCAGTCCACGGATCGTACGGCCATGGAGCTCTATCGGGCAGCACGAGACATCTTCACCCTCTACCGTGCCCTGCCATCCTCCGCTGTGAGCTCTCTGAACCACTTTGAACCGCATCTGTACCGCACTGTACCACTTTGTACCATACTGTGACTGGATCGAACGGCCATGGAGCTCTATCGGGCAGCACGAGACATCTTCACCCTCTACCGTGCCATGCCATCCTCCGCTGTGAGTCTTATATACCACTCTGTACCACTTTGCACTCCTCTGTACCACTTTGTACTCCTCTACACCACTTTTTACCGCTCTGTACCACTTTGTACCGTTCTGTACCACTGTACCCCTGTATGACTGCCTCTCCAAGGCGCCCCTGCGATGGCTCAAGTCATCATCACTCCTCCCTCCTCCACCATCTCCGTTTGGTCCACGGGCGCGCCTTGGTCCACGGGCGCGCCTTGGTCCACGGGCGCGCCTTGGTCCACGGGCGCGCCTTGGTCCACGGGCGCGCCTTGGTCCACGCGCGCGCCTTGGTCCGCGGGCGCGCCTTGGTCCACGGGCGCGCCTTCGTCCACGCGCGCGCCCTGGTCCACGGGCGCGCCTTGGTCCACGGGCGCGCCTTGGTCCACGGCGCGCCTTGGTCCACGCGCGCGCCTTGGTCCACGCGCGCGCCTTGGTCCACGGGCGCGCCTTGGTCCACGGGCGCGCCTTCGTCCACGCGCGCGCCTTGGTCCACGGGCGCTCCTTGGTCCACGCGCGCGCCTTGGTCCACGGGCGCGCCTTGGTCCACGGGCGCGCCTTGGTCCACGCGCGCGCCTTGGTCCACGCGCGCGCCTTGGTCCCCGCGCGCGCCTTGGTCCACGCGCGCGCCTTGGTCCACGGGCGCGCCTTGGTCCACGGGCGCGCCTTGGTCCACGGGCGCGCCTTGGTCCACGCGCGCGCCTTGGTCCACGCTCGCGCCTTGGTCCACGGGCGCGCCTTGGTCCACAGGCGCGCCTTGGTCGACGGGCGCGCCTTGGTCGACAGGCGCGCCTTTCTCCACGGGCTCGCCTTGGTCCACGGGTGCGCCTTGGTCCACGCGCGCGCCTTGGTCCACGGGCGCGCCTTGGTCCACGGGCGCGCCTTGGTCCACGAGCGCGCCTTGGTCCACGCGCGCGCCTTGGTCCACGCGCGCGCCTTGGTCCACGCGCGCGCCCTGGTCCACGCGCGCGCCTTGGTCCACGCGCGCGCCTTGGTCCACGCGCGCGCCTTGGTCCACGGGCGCGCCTTGGTCCACGCGCGCGCCTTGGTCCACGCGCGCGCCTTGGTCCACGCGCGCGCCTTGGTCCACGCGCGCGCCCTGGTCCACGCGCGCGCCCTGGTCCACGCGCGCGCCTTGGTCCACGCGCGCGCCTTGGTCCACGCGCGCGCCTTGGTCCACGGGCGCGCCTTGGTCCACGCGCGCGCCTTGGTCCACGCGCGCGCCTTGGTCCACGCGCGCGCCTTGGTCCACGCGCGCGCCCTGGTCCACGCGCGCGCCCTGGTCCACGCGCGCCCCTTGGTCCACGGGCGCGCGCCTTGGTCCACGCGCGCGCGCCTTGGTACACGCGCGCGCGCCTTGGTACACGCGCGCGCCCTGGTCCACTGGCGCGCCCTGGTCCACGCGTGTGCCTTGGTCCACGGGCGCGCCTTGGTCCACGGGCGCGCCTTGGTCCACGGGCGCGCCTTGGTCCACGGGCGCGCCTTGGTCCACACGCGCGCCTTGGTCCACGGGCGCGCCTTGGTCCACGGGAGCGCCTTGGTCCACGGGCGCGCCTTGGTCCACGGGCGCGCCTTGGTCCACGCGCGCGCCTTGGTCCCCGCGCGCGCCTTGGTCCACGCGCGCGCCTTGGTCCACGCGCACGCCTTGGTCCACGGGCGCGCCTTGGTCCACGCGCGCGCCTTCGTCCACGCGCGCGCCTTGGTCCACGGGCGCGCCTTGGTCCACGGGCGCGCCTTGGTCCACGGGCGCGCCTTGGTCCACGAGCGCGCCTTGGTCCACGCGCGCGCCTTGGTCCACGCGCGCGCCTTGGTCCACGCGCGCGCCCTGGTCCACGCGCGCGCCTTGGTCCACGCGCGCGCCTTGGTCCACGGGCGCGCCTTGGTCCACGGGCGCGCCTTGGTCCACGCGCGCGCCTTGGTCCACGCGCGCGCCTTGGTCCACGCGCGCGCCTTGGTCCACGCGCGCGCCCTGGTCCACGCGCGCGCCCTGGTCCACGCGCGCCCCTTGGTCCACGGGCGCGCGCCTTGGTCCACGCGCGCGCGCCTTGGTACACGCGCGCGCGCCTTGGTACACGCGCGCGCCCTGGTCCACTGGCGCGCCCTGGTCCACGCGTGTGCCTTGGTCCACGGGCGCGCCTTGGTCCACGGGCGCGCCTTGGTCCACGGGCGCGCCTTGGTCCACGGGCGCGCCTTGGTCCACACGCGCGCCTTGGTCCACGGGCGCGCCTTGGTCCACGGGAGCGCCTTGGTCCACGGGCGCGCCTTGGTCCACGGGCGCGCCTTGGTCCACGCGCGCGCCTTGGTCCCCGCGCGCGCCTTGGTCCACGCGCGCGCCTTGGTCCACGCGCGCGCCTTGGTCCACGGGCGCGCCTTGGTCCACGCGCGCGCCTTCGTCCACGCGCGCGCCTTGGTCCACGGGCGCGCCTTGGTCCACGGGCGCGCCTTGGTCCACGGGCGCGCCTTGGTCCACGAGCGCGCCTTGGTCCACGCGCGCGCCTTGGTCCACGCGCGCGCCTTGGTCCACGCGCGCGCCCTGGTCCACGCGCGCGCCTTGGTCCACGCGCGCGCCTTGGTCCACGCGCGCGCCTTGGTCCACGGGCGCGCCTTGGTCCACGCGCGCGCCTTGGTCCACGCGCGCGCCTTGGTCCACGCGCGCGCCTTGGTCCACGCGCGCGCCCTGGTCCACGCGCGCGCCCTGGTCCACGCGCGCCCCTTGGTCCACGGGCGCGCGCCTTGGTCCACGCGCGCGCGCCTTGGTACACGCGCGCGCCCTGGTCCACGGGCGCGCCCTGGTCCACGCGTGTGCCTTGGTCCACGGGCGCGTCTTGGTGTCCACGGGCGCGCCTTGGTCCACGGGCGCGCCTTGGTCCACGGGCGCGCCTTGGTCCACACGCGCGCCTTGGTCCACGGGCGCGCCTTGGTCCACGCGCGCGCCTTGGTCCACGCGCGCGCCTTGGTCCACGCGCGCGCCTTGGTCCCCGCGCGCCTTGGTCCACGCGCGCGCCTTGGTCCACGGGCGCGCCTTGGTCCACGGGCGCGCCTTCGTCCACGCGCGCGCCTTGGTCCACGGGCGCGCCTTGGTCCACGGGCGCGCCTTGGTCCACGGGCGCGCCTTGGTCCACGGGCGCGCCTTGGTCCACGCGCGCGCCTTGGTCCACGGGCGCGCCTTGGTCCACGCGCGCGCCTTGGTCCACGGGCGCGCCTTGGTCCACGGGCGCGCCTTGGTCCACGCGCGCGCCTTGGTCCACACGCGCGCCTTGGTCCACGGGCGCGCCTTGGTCCACGCGCGCGCCTTGGTCCACGGGCGCGCCTTGGTCCACGGGCGCGCCTTGGTCCACGGGCGCGCCTTGGTCCACGCGCGCGCCTTGGTCCACGCGCGCGCCTTGGTCCCCGGGCGCGCCTTGGTCCACGCGCGCGCCTTGGTCCACGGGCGCGCCTTGGTCCACGGGCGCGCCTTCGTCCACGCGCGCGCCTTGGTCCACGGGCGCGCCTTGGTCCACGGGCGCGCCTTGGTCCACGGGCGCGCCTTGGTCCACGGGCGCGCCTTGGTCCACGCGCGCGCCTTGGTCCACGGGCGCGCCTTGGTCCACGCGCGCGCCTTGGTCCACGGGCGCGCCTTGGTCCACGGGCGCGCCTTGGTCCACGGGCGCGCCTTGGTCCACGGGCGCGCCTTGGTCCACGGGCGCGCCATGGTCCACGGGCGCGCCATGGTCCACGGGCGCGCCTTGGTCCACGGGCGCGCCTTGGTCCACGCGCGCGCCTTGGTCCACGGGCGCGCCTTGGTCCACGCGCGCGCCTTGGTCCACGGGCGCGCCTTGGTCCACGGGCGCGCCTTGGTCCACGGGCGCGCCTTGGTCCACGGGCGCACCTTGGTCCACGGGCGCGCCATGGTCCACGGGCGCGCCTTGGTCCACGGGAGCGCCTTGGTCCACGGGAGCGCCTTGGTCCACGCGCGCGCCTTGGTCCACGCGCGCGCCTTGGTCCACGCGCGCGCCTTGGTCCACGGGCGCGCCTTGGTCCACGGGCGCGCCTTGGTCGACGGGCGCGCCTTGGTCGACAGGCGCGCCTTGCTCCACGGGCTCGCCTTGGTCCACGGGCGCGCCTTGGTCCACGCGCGCGCCTTGGTCCACGCGCGCGCCTTGGTCCACGCGCGCGCCTTGGTCCACGCGCGCGCCTTGGTCCACGCGCGCGCCTTGGTCCACGGGCGCGCCTTGGTCCACGGGCGCGCCTTGGTCCACGCGCGCGCCTTGGTCCACGCGCGCGCCTTGGTCCCCGGGCGCGCCTTGGTCCACGCGCGCGCCTTGGTCCACGGGCGCGCCTTGGTCCACGGGCACGCCTTGGTCGACAGGCACGCCTTGCTCCACGGGCTCGCCTTGGTCCACGGGCGCGCCTTGGTCCACGCGCGCGCCTTGGTCCACGCGCGCGCCTTGGTCCATGCGCGCGCCTTGGTCCACGCGCGCGCCTTGGTCCCCGCGCGCGCCTTGGTCCACGCGCGCGCCTTGGTCCACGGGCGCGCCTTGGTCCACGGGCGCGCCTTGGTCCACGGGCGCGCCTTGGTCCACGCGCGCGCCTTGGTCCACGCTCGCGCCTTGGTCCACGGGCGCGCCTTGGTCCACAGGCGCGCCTTGGTCGACGGGCGCGCCTTGGTCGACAGGCGCGCCTTTCTCCACGGGCTCGCCTTGGTCCACGGGCGCGCCTTGGTCCACGCGCGCGCCTTGGTCCACGGGCGCGCCTTGGTCCACGGGCGCGCCTTGGTCCACGAGCGCGCCTTGGTCCACGCGCGCGCCTTGGTCCACGCGCGCGCCTTGGTCCACGCGCGCGCCCTGGTCCACGCGCGCGCCTTGGTCCACGCGCGCGCCTTGGTCCACGCGCGCGCCTTGGTCCACGGGCGCGCCTTGGTCCACGCGCGCGCCTTGGTCCACGCGCGCGCCTTGGTCCACGCGCGCGCCTTGGTCCACGCGCGCGCCCTGGTCCACGCGCGCGCCCTGGTCCACGCGCGCCCCTTGGTCCACGGGCGCGCGCCTTGGTCCACGCGCGCGCGCCTTGGTACACGCGCGCGCCCTGGTCCACGGGCGCGCCCTGGTCCACGCGTGTGCCTTGGTCCACGGGCGCGCCTTGGTGTCCACGGGCGCGCCTTGGTCCACGGGCGCGCCTTGGTCCACGGGCGCGCCTTGGTCCACACGCGCGCCTTGGTCCACGGGCGCGCCTTGGTCCACGCGCGCGCCTTGGTCCACGGGCGCGCCTTGGTCCACGGGCGCGCCTTGGTCCACGCGCGCGCCTTGGTCCACGCGCGCGCCTTGGTCCCCGCGCGCGCCTTGGTCCACGCGCGCGCCTTGGTCCACGGGCGCGCCTTGGTCCACGGGCGCGCCTTCGTCCACGCGCGCGCCTTGGTCCACGGGCGCGCCTTGGTCCACGGGCGCGCCTTGGTCCACGGGCGCGCCTTGGTCCACGGGCGCGCCTTGGTCCACGCGCGCGCCTTGGTCCACGGGCGCGCCTTGGTCCACGCGCGCGCCTTGGTCCACGGGCGCGCCTTGGTCCACGGGCGCGCCTTGGTCCACGCGCGCGCCTTGGTCCACACGCGCGCCTTGGTCCACGGGCGCGCCTTGGTCCACGCGCGCGCCTTGGTCCACGGGCGCGCCTTGGTCCACGGGCGTGCCTTGGTCCACGGGCGCGCCTTGGTCCACGCGCGCGCCTTGGTCCACGCGCGCGCCTTGGTCCCCGGGCGCGCCTTGGTCCACGCGCGCGCCTTGGTCCACGGGCGCGCCTTGGTCCACGGGCGCGCCTTCGTCCACGCGCGCGCCTTGGTCCACGGGCGCGCCTTGGTCCACGGGCGCGCCTTGGTCCACGGGCGCGCCTTGGTCCACGGGCGCGCCTTGGTCCACGCGCGCGCCTTGGTCCACGGGCGCGCCTTGGTCCACGCGCGCGCCTTGGTCCACGGGCGCGCCTTGGTCCACGGGCGCGCCTTGGTCCACGGGCGCGCCTTGGTCCACGGGCGCGCCTTGGTCCACGGGCGCGCCATGGTCCACGGGCGCGCCTTGGTCCACGGGAGCGCCTTGGTCCACGGGAGCGCCTTGGTCCACGCGCGCGCCTTGGTCCACGCGCGCGCCTTGGTCCACGCGCGCGCCTTGGTCCACGGGCGCGCCTTGGTCCACGGGCGCGCCTTGGTCGACGGGCGCGCCTTGGTCGACAGGCGCGCCTTGCTCCACGGGCTCGCCTTGGTCCACGGGCGCGCCTTGGTCCACGCGCGCGCCTTGGTCCACGCGCGCGCCTTGGTCCACGCGCGCGCCTTGGTCCACGCGCGCGCCTTGGTCCACGCGCGCGCCTTGGTCCACGGGCGCGCCTTGGTCCACGGGCGCGCCTTCGTCCACGCGCGCGCCTTGGTTTACGGGCGCGCCTTGGTCCACGGGCGCGCCTTGGTCCACGAGCGCGCCTTGGTCCACGCGCGCGCCTTGGTCCACGGGCGCGCCTTGGTCCACGCGCGCGCCTTGGTCCACGGGCGCGCCTTGGTCCACGCGCGCGCCTTGGTCCACGCGCGCCCCTTGGTCCACGGGCGCGCGCCTTGGTCCACGCGCGCGCGCCTTGGTCCACGCGCACGCCCTGGTCCACGCGCGCGCCTTGGTCCACGCGCGCGCCTTGGTCCACGCGCGCGCCTTGGTCCACCACACGCACGCCTTGGTCCACCACCGCCTGCTGCTCAGCCACGTGTGCCTCCTCTACTGCTAAGATCATCACTGCTGCTTTCCTTGCTCTCCACTCATACCCCATTTTCACCCATCCCTCCCAAGCAGCCTGTGGGCGTGGCGCAACTGGCAATGGTAGCAACCAACCGCCGCCTACTGCTCAGCCACGTGTGCCCCAACAGGGGTTTGACCCTTTGCGTTCCTTCCCTCCCTCGCCTTCTCCCTCCCTCCCTCCCTTGTGTTCCCTCGTTCCCAGCCTGTTGACGTGGCACAGCTGGCAATGATAGCAGTCAACCACCACCTACTGCTAAGGCGAGGCTGCCTCTCCAATTGCTCAGCTTTTTTAAGCCTCGGTTTTCTCCCCATTCCTACTTGTCCCACAGCCAGTGGACGTGGCACAGCTGGCAATGATAGCAGTGAACGATCGCCTGCTTCTCAGCCACGTGTGCCTCTCCCTCGCGCTGCAGTACCGCGCGCGCCTGCCAGCTGGCGTGCGCCACGTGGCCACCTTTGCTGACGTGGCGCCGTTCCTGCGCCAGCTGGCGGAGGAGCAGATGCAGCGCGTGTTGGAGAGGCACCACGGGTACCTGATGGAAGCATTGGACGGGGCGCAGGGGTTTAGGAACACGGATGAGGAGGAGGTTTATCGCTCTGCGCTGCGGGCTCTGAAGCAGGTATGACTTCTTGTTCCATGTCCCATCCACGGCACCACGGGTATTTGATGGAGGCATTGGACGGGGCGCAGGGGTTCAGGAACACGGATGACGAGGAGGTTTATCGCTGCGCAGTGCGGGAGCGACACGACACCACGCACAGGTACTTCATGGAAGCATTGGATGGTTTGCTGCATCCGCGGTACGGCACCATGGGTATCTCATGGAGGCGTTGGTCGATGGGTGCCTTCAGCAGCTATGCATCGATGCTCTGATGCAGCGTGTGCTGGAGAGACACGACACCACGGGTACTTGATGGAGGCACTGGATGGGGCCCAGGGGTTCAGGAACACATATGAAGAAGAGGTGTATCGCTGTGCACTGCGGGCTCAGAAGCAGGTATGACCCCTTGTTCCATGTCCCATCCACGGGGCACCACGGGTACCTGATGGAGGCTTTGGATGGGGCACAGGGGTTTAGGAACACAGACGAGGTGTATCGCTGCACCTTGCAATCTCGCAAGCAGATGCGTGGGTTCCTAAGTATCCTTGTGAGAATTGTCAAAACATGTGTCCTTGCTGTCACTAAAGCAAGTGTGCCACTGCACAGCCCCCTACCCCCCTGCAGTGCCTGCATGCACCACAGGTTCCGTATGGGGCACAGCGGTTTAAGGTGGTTTAAAGAGCATCCTTTTCCTCTTCTCTCCCCCCAGGCGGTCCACCATCTCGCCCGCCTCTCATCTGTCTGGCGGCCAGTCTCACACCGCCCATCTTCTACCTCCTTACACACGTCACACTAATCCCTTCCCACCACTCACCCCCACCCACTCCCGGCACATCCCCCTCCCCTCGCCCCTCTCTCCCTTTTCGCAGGTGGTCCACCATCTCGCCCACCTCTCCTCTGTGTGGCGCCCAGTCTCACCGCCCTCGCGTTACCTCCGAGCCATGAGTCGTCTCGTCTCTGCTGCACTCTCCCGCTGCTGCGCGCATGTGCTCGCCCTGCCAGACATCTCAGTGGATGAGACCGAGCAGGTGAGTAGATGAAACTTCTGCTGCATCTTTTGCGTCGTTCTGCTGTACATAGTATACCAGCGCCATTCCCATTTTCCGCCTCTCCCCTTCCGCTCCCCCTCTCCCTGCTCTTGGATTTCCTCGCTTCCCATCTCCCCCTCTCCCACCTCGCACCCTCCCTCCTCTCTCCCCCTTCCGGTTTTCAGCTTCGCAAGCTCTTTGCAGGGATGCTGATTCGTCTGCCTCCTCTATTCCCTCCCATCCTTACACCCCACACTTGTGTCTCTTCCCCTTCTCCCCCTTCCCCCCCCCCCCCCCCCCCCTTTACCCCTGTCAGCTTCGCAAGCTCTTTGCAGGGATGCTGACTCGTCTGCCTCCTCTATTCCACGTGGACCTCTCAGGAGCCATTGGCAGCGCCCATGGCGCCACGTCAGCATCTGTAGCTGCAGCTGCTGACCTGGATGCTGACGTGTCAGATGTCGTTGCTGACACAGCAACACTTGAGTCTCTTGTTCCTGTATATCGCAAGCTGAAAAGACTAACAGGTAATTATCGCCTTTTCTTCGTGCTATCACCTCTCAGACTTGCCATACAAAGCAACTGATGAGTGATACACCACCCACAGAACGTACCGGTACATAGGGAGTGTCTTTTCCTCAATCCCCATTTGCCTTCCTGTTTCTCATCCTTCCACTGTTCCACCCCCCCAGATTTGCTTGACATGCCACTAGTGGCAATCACACAGGCATGGGAGAGTGGGGACCTGTGCCGCTGTGGTTTCACCTCTGATGAGGTAACTTCCATAACACTTTCCATGGTGTTCACCTGTGGTTTTTGCATGGCTACACTCAGCTAACTGTGGTTCACAGGTTGCTGCCTCCCGAGAATTATGACTCTGAGACCCTTCGTCTCTTGACATCGGCTTTTCCATCATGCTTCCCCAACCCAACTACCCCTACCCTCTCTCACAACATTCCAAGTTCCACCCTCTGCCATTCTGTTTGCCCTTTGTCCAGGTGCAACGAACCATTCGAGCCATTTTCTCAGACACCCCTCTTCGTCGGAACTGCATTGCCAGGGTGGCAGCTACGATGCCTCCCACTGCCTTCCAATGAGAGTTCCGTGTAGAACAGCAGCACAACCTGATCTGCCGTTGTGTATCAATCCATAGCACCTTATCAGCAATTAGTAGGGTTTGCAGTCCAGTGGCTTGTGCAGAGTCATCAGGACTGAGAGGCAGAAGATTTTGGAGGCAGCAACTGCTAGAAGTTCACTGCAGTATCACCATTCACCAGCAGCCTCACCACTCGCACAAATCAAGCATTTTTCAACGTCTGCTCTGCAGCAAAATCATCCAGCATCAGTAAGGACTCCTTCGCAAGAAATTCCACCTACTGTGCGTCTGTGTTGGCCCCCACCACCATGTGATTCACAACGCATGGCATCAGCACAAATCAGGACGCAAGATGTTCAAACGAATTTCTGAAGCCCATGATAGATACTTGCCACCATGTACAAGCCTGAACAATGACAATGAACTACGCTTGCCGTGCAGAAGCCCCGAAAATGGTACAGAGAGCTTCAATGGCTGCAAGTGACACTCCTTCTCCACACCAAATTGAAGTACCGTACACGAATTATATCAAACCAGCCAGAAAGAACCCCGAGCCTAGCTAGAATTAGACATCTACGAGACAAAAAGTGTCTTATCCAAACAGATCACTTGGCGGAAGAATAACCGTAGAGCTTCCCAACAACGTGCAAGGCGGTGACGAATCCAATGAAGCAGAGGCTCATCACGAGAACGACGGTCGGAGTGATCTTCAGGCCTGGAGCGTCGTCCGTGTAAAATCGCAGCATGTTATTCGCAGCGCTTGAAGTTGCTGCCGCTGTTGGCCGTCTCCTGCGGAGACCTGCTGATCCTACTCCCTTAGGTGCTCCTCCAGCAGCAGCTCCTCTACTCACAGCACCACTTCCGCCGCGTGCAACCGATGTGGACGCCTGGCTGACTGAACCCTTAGCCATGGTGTCTAATGGAGAATCGACTAGAATTAGTAGTAGACTGAACGGATCGCACCAACAGAAACGATGGATCTGGATCAATTTGCCTAGGCACAAAATAAGTGCTAACTGCTAAGGACGAAATAAGTGAATGGAGATTTGTCAACTAACTTGAAGCAGGCAGATCCGAGATGAAGAAAATGCGATGAGAGAGGGATGACAAAAGTGGGTTTCCAACTGCAACATTGAGGTTGGGTTGGTGACAGCGGTGGTTCAATCCGTTTCAGATGGTTTCCTCTGGGTCAGTATGGGTAGGAATACTGGGGTATTTGTTGGAGAGTAGATCTGCAAGTGGTGCTGTACTGGCACAGGCACCGCCAGCGCCTGACAACGCGTACGCAGAAGTTGCCGAGTGGTAACCACGCCTCTGTTTCGCCATCCCAGTTTGATCAACGCGAACCAGCATTCCCGGTTGCTCACAAGCGTCCTCGATATATAGTACTGCGTAATAGATAAGTGAGGAGGTGAAGCTGTGGAGATTAGTATACCGTAATATGATCGTAAATACCACGCTGTGAAACCCCGAAACCGTACTGAACCAAACAGAAGTAAGATCTGACAACCCCTTGCAACAATCAATCAACTTTTGTTCTGGCACCTTCCCTTCTCATTTAGCTGAGACTCTTCGACAATGGCAGCCGACGTTGAATCACGAAGAACCGAAGACAAAGAAGGATCTTACTGATAATACATAATGCAGCGTTGAATCCTTCTCGTCGAGTGTCTGTGAGACACGGATTGTGCCTTACGCAAGCGTTGCCGATCGAATTCATCTTTTATAGCGTTAGAAACCACAGAGCCGTTTTAGACAGAGGCGTGCGACTTACCGAAATTTATTTCCTGCTGTTCTTCGTGTATCGCTAGGCCATAAGCGGGATTCACGCTTGCTTACTAGTTTCTCTCTTTTATACCGATTCTCAACCATGAAAGAGAGCGGAGATGACCCATCCAAGGACACAGGATGGCCAAACGCCATTCCCTACGTCCTCAAGCTCGGAACCTTCATGGAAACCTCGTGGAAGCACTCAGTATCCGTCCAAGCTTCGACATTCTACCTCACCATCTTAGTAGGCCCGTTCTGCCTCGCCGTATCCATCTTCCTCTGCCTCCTCCTCTCCCTCTTCCACCTCCAGGCGAACCACACCGGCTTTCCCACCTCCCCCTCCTGCAACTTCCCAAGTTTCACCTCCCTCGTTGCTTCGGTCTTCAATCAATGCTCCACGCTTCCACCCACCCCGAAGCCATGGACGCCGGACGGCTTTCTCGATGATCCCGAGATGGCTGCGCGGAGACCGGAAATGGACGCTACCTGTGATCTGTGGGAGGGGAAGTGGGTGTACGAGCCGGAAATGTATCCGTTGTGGAGGACCGGGTCTTGTCCGTGGGTCGAGACTGGGTTTGAATGTGAAGCCCTGGGTCGGCATGACACGGATTACGTGAAATTCAGATGGCAACCGCATGGTTGCAATCTACCAAGGTGAGTTGCTGGGTTTCTTTCTCAAACCTCTCTGTCCGTGCTTCCGGTGACTTTTCGTCTCCTGCCTGGTTTCTCGCTCTTTCCATATCATGACCTTTGTACGTGTCCAGATTCAACGAATCTGGCTTCTTGGATGGTCCCCGCGTGTTATGTCCAGGTTCAATGCATCCGAAATCCGAAGGCGGCTCAATGGGCGCCGGCTGGTGTTTGTGGGGGACTCGTTGTGCCGCAATCAGTTCGAGAGCGCTCTGTGTCTCCTCGGCATTGATCTTCCCGATGTCTCTGCTGTTGTCGAGGTGCTGCTATTACTTCCAAGCAAATGAGCTGATTTTCCAGGCAATTCAGAATCCGCAACCGGTTTGAGAGCGCGCTGTGTCTCCTCGACATTGATCTTCCTGATGTCTCTGCTGTTGTCGAGGTGCTGCTGCTGTTCCTCCCTTGAAAATCTATGCATGCTGTCACCATGCGTGCATTATGGCTATCGTTGAGGCGACTCAAAGAGCTTTCCTGCTCTTATACTTGACTGGCCAGCTGAATTTACTAGTTCAGTCGGCAACAGCACACACCATGCTGGATGCAACTCCATGCTTCGTGCATATTCCCTTCCAACTGTCGGATTTGTAACTCTTTTCCCGCACATTATTCCGCTTCCCCATTTCCTCTCCCCACCCCCCTCTCTCACTCCATGGCAGCGCACGGGCAACAACCTGACCAGGAAGGTGGATACGATGGTGTATGATTTCACTCAGTTCAACTTCACAGTCGAGTACCACCTCTCACACTTCCTCGTGGGATTCCATCGCGCCCCCCCTGATGCGCCACCTCACGTGAGTGAGTCACAAAAAAACTGAAGGCTCCTTTGGATTCCGTTGAAGGCTCCTCTGGATTTCTATAAGCCTCAGCAGCTCCCGTCAGCACATGTCAGTCCCCGTCACATACCCCTACTTCGGATTACCTATCTCTTGTCTGAGGATTGGAGCAGGGTCAACTCAGACACAGCGGACTCTTTCCTTGCAGGTTCTTTGACGGTTGGCCGAAGGGGTTGATTCTCATGCTCAATGCAGGCCATTGGTTCACTCGATTGCCCTTCTCCACTTCTTTCTTCTGCTGCACCCGTTCCTGCCTGCAGATTGGAGCAGTGGTGAACACAGACGTGGTTGACCCTCTCTTCGCTCGGAGGCTCTTTGACGATCGGCCAGAGGGGTTGATACTTGTGCTCAATGCAGGCCACTGGTTCACCCCATCTAAGATATCGTCTCAGTGAGTTGGCTGTTCAGGTTATAGTAGTATGGAAGCTATCAAATCCTTGCATTCTCTTATCGGCAGAAAGTCCATTCTTTTCTTTTGCTCTTGGTGAATTATGCATTTCGCCCCAACGATAGCATGCGGGTGTGAGCTGAAGTAATGATCCCACGGCAGAACTAAAAAACTCCCCTGAATTCTCTCTCATCCCGTGCAGGAACGTCTCATTCCTGGTGAATAACCAGACTCGCCCAGACATTGATGAGACTGAGGGGTTCCGCCTGGCCATGCTGCGCGTGTCAGAGTGGCTGCAGCAGTGGCCGCCACAGGCTGCCAATGCCACAGCTGTTTTCCGCACCTATGCACCCGCCCACTTTGCGTAAGTCTGGAACTGTCGTGATTGGGATTAGACTCTCTAGTCCTCTTCCTTGCTCCTTAGTCGATCGTCCTCTGTTGTCTATCTGCTGGTGCTGCTTGCAGGGATGGTGGCTGGTATGGCAGGGTGTGGTGGTTTGGATGGCAGAAGTGATAGCCCAGAAACATACTTCATGCTCTCCTTCTTCCAGATTATCTATTCACCATTTTCAACTGTCTCCTGCATCCCACTTCCCACATCCGTTATCCACTGCTCCTAACTCAAGTCTGTGAGTCGTGACATTCGTGAATGCTCCTGTCTGATCAGATCCGCCGCTTTCTCCTTGTCATGCCTACTTCATGTACTGCAGCGGTGGCAGTTGGGATCACAATGGTGGCTGCTCAGAAACACATCCCACACTCTCTGTTGACCTGCCAACGCCAGACGATATCTCGCAAGATCCTTCCGAGTTATTCGCTCGATTAAGTCGAGAGGCAATGACGCGGCCGGAGCAAGCAAGAAAACCAATAATGAATGATATTACAAGATTGTCGTACTCCAGGAGTGATGCGCACATAGCACGTTATTGGACTGGAGCGACTGGCGCAGACTGCAGGTGAGTCAGTGACATGTCATACGGTATTGCCAGCCACTATTTTCTGGCTTGTCCCGAATTTCATTTTTCGTTCAAAATCCTCTAGAATAACTTATGTGCTTCTTTTGGTGCAGCCATTGGTGTCTACCTGGAGTGCCAGACACGTGGAACGAGATGCTGTTTGCTTCTCTAGTAGCAAATTCTGTTTTGTGAAGAGCATTTCACATTTTGAAAGAAAAAAGCCAGAGCGAAAGATTGGGTGCTCAAGGAAATAAAGAACAAGGGAAATGTGCATCGTCAGCCAGGATCTTAGTGAGCTGAGACAGGCACATGCATGAAATTGGGGAGTAGGTAGCCTCATGTGTTAGCTTACTGATAGGAATGTAGATGCAACGTGTTGCTTCAGTGGTGTTCCGTTTTGAGACACCACATGTTAGGGAATAGAAATCCCCGTTATGCCAGCGTACCGTGTGATCTTGGATATTACGTTGGATCAATGATTTCTTTGGTCCATCCAACGTGGATTGGAGCTGCACCAATCGCGTTCACCTCCTACATGCCGGATACCTGGTCGTGACCGTCATGGACTTTCGACCGTGCATCTCGGCCTCAGAACTTGGGATTTTCGGCGTGGGACGACTGGTTCACACCGAAGCGGGATTTCAGGGAAGATTCTCCGACAGCCCTCTAGCTGCAAAACGGCGTCCTTAGCTGTGCAAGTTCAGTCGTCTAGCTTCGTGGAGCCACTTACCCTTTCGCAAACTGAAAGATGTAACCGCTTCTCCACAAACATCCACTCTGTGCCGAGGGAGCCCTGACAGGTACGCGGAACATATGAATGTTTTTTGGCGCAAAGGTTCCTACCTGCCCGAGTATCCGCTTGGTCACACGCACCTTGCTTGGAGGAGGTGCAGTGCAGAAACAGATTCGGGCCAAGAGGGAGGGAGGGACCTGTGTTGTGCTAAAGTTAAAGTTATATTTCTGGTCGTAACCAGTTTAGGGGTATCCATTCCTAGATGAGCACGTGCTAACCCCTTCTTGGGGGCTGGCAGAACACGCCTGCACGGAGGTGGGTTCGATCCCAGGACCTCATCTATCGGAAGTGCCTCTTTCTACTGACTAGGCCACTTCTGGATGAAGGGCCTGTGTTGTGCGGTGCCGCCAGCTTCAGTGTTCTGGTTGCTTGCTGGGCATTGCTTGCTAGTCAGCGAAGCGCCAAATTGTCTAGGGGAGTTCGATGAAAAAAATGGGGGCGCCTCTCGGGAATGTCGAACGGGACCAAGCACTCTCCTTCGAGTTGTTTCTATTTATTTTCCGTATCTGAATAAACATCGGTTAAAAAACAAAAGCCCCATCAACATTCTTCATTTCTGCTGTTAGCGTGTCGCCTCTCCCCCTCACCCCTCCCCCTTCCCTCACGCCCTTCCGCCACAGATTTTACGTGTTTTCCGTAAGGCCCTCTGCAATGTTGCTGGCATACCCCTCCACCCGAACTGGACAGAAGGAACAGAAGCGCATGGGCAGGTTCACGCGTGGTTTCAATGGTTGAGGATGGATTGAGTTGTACATATGGCGCAAGTAAGGGGTGGATGGAATTCGACAGCCACATGCGTGACGAGATTCAGACCGACCTATGTCTAGTTCCTCATCAGCTTTAGTCTCTTTTCATAATGTGAAGCTGCTGTCTTGGCGTGCAAATTGGGCTCCTGATTGTTTCGCCATTCTGACACAGCCTCATCACACCAAACAGTTTCAGCACAGAAAGAGTTAGGCCAAAGTCAAGACCTTGCGTCGCAGTCGTTGCCTCTTACTTCGAGCTAAACACCGAAAAGAAGCATGGACGGCTCAAAGTTCGGAGGCGCTAGGAAGATGGGTCTCGCATCGTATGGTCGCAGCGTGAGTGCGAAAGAAAGCACGGTTATCCTTGCGGCGTCTGCGACAACCCCGCCGCCTGCAACAACTCCCACGAAAACTCCTCCCATGCGTCGGAATCATACTTACGGCGAACTGAACGACGCCTCTGCGACAACTTCTCCCATGCGTCGCAATCGTACATACGGCGACCTGAGCGACACCCCTGAGGCAATTTCTCCCATGCGTCGCAATCGTAAATCCGGCGGTCTGAACGACGCGCCTGCGACAGCTCCTCAAATGCGTCGGACTCGCACTTTCAGCGACGTCAATGACAGCACTGCGACAAATTCTAGCATGCGTCGGAATCACACCTTTGGCGACCTGAACGACGCCTCTGCGACAAATCCCACCATTCGTCGCAATCTTACCTTCAGCAACCTGAACGACGCATACGGCAGCGCGGCTCCGGCTGCCGCCGTCGACTTCCGAGCCTGGCTCGCGGACCAGGTTCGGTTCAGCCAGAGCTTACGCATCCCCGAGCCTCCGCAGAAGGCTTGGTTAATCGACAAGCTGGGACCGCTTAAGGCATTGGCACGCGTGGGAATGAAAAAAGCGACTTGCACATTCGCGATGCACGTACACGGAGTTGATGACCTTCCGTCAACAATGGACGGAAAAGAGCTTATCGTGCAATGGCAGCGACGGGGAATGTCCATTGGGAGTAGTTCCATGACGGTCCGTCGAGGTGTGGCGAAATTGGAGCAGACGTTAACGATAAAGTCTTCCGTCTACTACACCGCAGGATCTCAGCAGTCCGTCAAGTTCCAGTCGAAGAAGTCGACGATCGCGGTTCAGCTGTTGAAATCCGTCGGATTTGGATATGATGCTGAGATTGCAAGCCATTCTTTTAATCTGGCGAGTTTCCTGCCGTCGAAACTTCGTCCGCTGACGGAAGGAGAACCGCAGACGTTAACGTTCAAACTTACCGGCCCGGCTGACGGAGCCGTTTTGGTAGCGACGTTTGGGTATGAGTTGAATTTTGGCAAGGGACAGCCGGTTGTCGCACGGGTGGATACGAAATCATTTCGCCAGTTCGCCGCCAGCGTCGCAGAAGCGTCGCCCGCTCCGAGCGTGGCGTTGTTCTCAAATAGCCCGCCTGACAGCCCATCGTCGTACGGCTCCAGCCCGTCGCACAGCTTCGCTGACGAATTTTCGCCACGGCCGCGCGAAATCTCTCTGGCGTTACCGGATTCGCCCATGGGTCACGCGCGGAGCGCGAGTTACGGATACGGCTTTAAACCCACCACTCCGAGCACCATGCGACCAGTGATAGAAGAAGAATGCGAGGGAATCGAATCTAAAGAAGAGCCAAGTCCTAAGAATGCGGAGGTTAACGGATACTTGGGAGAAAGTTTCAGTCAATGGAACGCCCGGGATGGAGGAAGGGAAGGGGAGGATGGGGAGGTGGCCGAGGAGGCGGCAGCGGAGGAGGAGGGAGAGGAGGAAAAGGAGGAGGATGGGGAGGAGGAAGAGGAGGAAGAGGACGAGGAAGAGGAGGAGGAAGAGGAGGAAGAGGAGGAGGAGGAGCAGGTGAAAGAGGTGGTTGAAATGGGGGGTAAAAGTAGCGCGGGAGCGACGCGATTGGGGTCTGTGGTTGCCATTGGCGACAGGGGAGAAGGGACGTGGGGCGGCGACGCGGGTGATGCGGGGGGAGGCTACCTGTGGACAGCAGGGGATGGGAGGAGAGAAGGGGCTGAAGTTAATTATGGAATTAGTGATGAGACGAGCGAGGAAATTGTGAGGGAGAGGGTGGAGGGGACGGAGGAGGAAGCGGGTGAGGAGGAAGGAAGTTCGGTGATTGAGGGGAGTGGCTCTTGCAGTGGGAGGTCTGAGAGTGCGGAGAGGTCTGAGAGTGCGGAGAGGTCTGAGAGTGCAGGGAGGTCTCAGAGTGAGGAGTCTGAGAGTGACGGGAGGTCACCGAGTGAGAAGGAGTCTGAGAGTGAGGGGAGGCCTCGTACCACCGGCGGTCTGTCGCGTATGGCGGAAGCGATTCTGGAGTTCGAGCGGACCGTTAGCGAACAGGAGAAACAGCTCTTAGCGGAGCAAGAGGCAAGAGCAAACAGTGGGTCAGACTTGGACGGTCGGATTGACTCCGAGGAGGAAAGGATCAACGGTGTCGCATCGCCAGAAGAAATCATCCCTGCAGCTGCAGCTCCCGCGAAGGCGCAAGCGACTGGAGATGCGGTTACAGGGTTACCAGCAGCAGTCACATCGGCATCAGCAGCAGGTGCTGTCCTGAACTCGCCTGCGTCGGTTCTTCTAGAGCCCCAAGACTCGGTATCAGGCAGCGATAGCGCCCGCAGCTTTGTGCTTGATGATACGAGCTCGGATAGCATGGAAGCAGGAGGGGAGAGGGAGGACGGGGTGGGTGAGACGAGCGAGGGAAAGGAGGCGAGGGTAGGGGAGGGAGGGGAAATGGAGGAAGAAGAGGAGGTGAGTAGTGAGCGGAGGGATGAGGAGGGAGTGGAGGAGGATGGGGGTCGAGGAGGTGGCGCTAAAAGGGTATGTGGGGAGCGAGAGTGCGAGGGAGCGGTGGAGAGCGGTGGAGATGGGGAGGGAGTTGTTGCGGAGGAGGGAGAGGACGAGGAAGGAGGTGTTGGGGAACGCGAGGCGTTGAGAGAAGGAGAAGAGGAAGAAGAGGAGGAAGAAGAGGAGGAGGAGGAAGATGAGGAGGAAGATGAAGAGGAAGAGGAGGAGGAAGAAGATGAGGCAGATGAACAGGAGGAAGATCACCTAGCTCACGCTAAGAGGGAAAGGGAGCAAGAGGATAGAAGGGCAGAGGCGGAAAGGCGGAGGGCGGAGGTGGAGGAGAGGAGCAGGCGGAGGGCGCTGCTGCTGCAGGAGGAGGAAGAGGCAGAGCTGCGGAAGCACTTCTTGGGTAAACGATCCCATTTTGCTGACACCGCTCGTGCCTTTTCCACTGATACTACGAATGGAGTTTCTGTGATTGTCACTTCTTCTACCAATGCCGCTGCTGCTGCGGCTGCTGCGGCTGCTGCTGCTGCTGCTGCTGGTGGTGGTGATTCTGGTGGTGCTGCTACCGCTCGTGCAGAAACTGCGTTGGCTCTTGTTGTGAGAGGAAGGTCTTCTGGTGTTAACTCTCTGGGTGCATTAGCCGTTGCAAGACCAGTCAGTGGGGCTGGGACAGCTGAGGGCGACTCAGCGGAAGACGACGAGCAGCTTCCACGAAAGCGCGCTTCCTTTAGCAGCAGCAGCAGCACTCCAGCGGTTGCCGCCGCTGCTACTGCTGCTGCTGCCGCTGCTGTGGTTGCGGCTGCTGCGGCTGCTGATGCACGGGAGGGGGGACTGGCAGAAGCAGCAGCTGCTGCAGCAAAGGGAGGGTTCAGCATGGGAGCAGTCAGAGGAGGAGGAGGAGGAGGAGGAGGAGGAGGAGGAGGAGGAGGAGGAGGAGGAGGAGGAGGAGCGGAAGGGGCCGTGACCATTTGTGGGCATCAGCACCATACCAGCTTGATTGCAGTGGGCAGCAGGCGACGAAGCAGCAGCAGCAACAGCAGCAGCAGCAGGAAGGGAGGTGATGAGAGTGTGACGCGCATTGAGAGTCCTGTGTCGCGCATTCCCCAGTGCGTTCTCCGGGACTTGTCTCTTCCTGACAGCCTTGTCTTCTCTGCCATGCCTGCTGCTGCCGTTAGCGCCAAACCTGCAAGTGATTGTGCCATAGGTACATTCCAGAAGAGATCACCTGCGGGCCCAATCATCAAGGCTTCCCTCACCTCCCCTGCTGCTGCCGCCGCCGCTGCTGCTGCTGCTGCTGCTGCCGCCGCTGCTGCTGCTAATTCTGCTGCTCTACCCCCACTGGTACCATCTCCCGTTCCCTCTTTCGCCTCCTCACTCCTAGCACCGGATTCCATCCCCCCTCCCGTCCCTCACCCCACCACCATCCCACCCCACCTCCCACCCCGACCCACCCCCTCTCCCTCCTCCTTCCCCTCCCCTCACGCCCACCTCAAAGCCACAGACCCTCTCCTCCTCGCCCTCCCGAATTCCAACGCTCCCCCGCCGCTCCTAGACGGAATGGGGTCGGCGATAGCGCTGCAGGGAGGGGGGTTCCTGGCTTCCATGTCCGGGCAGCACTTTGGGGAGGGGGCCACGCGGCTGGTGATGCAATTCTCCCGCCCCATGGTCATCCCATCGGAGTTAGCATTGGGAGGAGGATCGGCTGGAGACGCCTCGTCTAAGCTGCTCCCGCTCCCTTCTGGTGCTGCTATTGGTGGAAACGCTCTTGGCGCCGCCGCTGGCGCTGCTGCTGCTGCTGCTTCTGCTGCTGGTGCTGATCCCTCCTCCGTGCTCCCACTCTTGCAACGCCTAGCTGCGGCCTCTGCTGCGGATCCCTCCGCCCCGTCCCTCACAGACCAAGTCCTGGCGCTCATGCCCCTCCCAGACATCAGTGGCAAGCCTCTAGAGCAAATCGCAGCTGACGGAATGGCTTATCTCGAAGGAGGGTGGAACTGGGAGGGGGGAGTGGGAGGTTTGGGAGGTTCGGGAGGGTTGGGAGGAGTGGGAGGGTTGGCGGGAGGGGTTAGAGGGAGTTTGGAGGGGCAGGAGCCGGGACAGGCAGGAGGGTATCTGCAAGGGAACCAGGGAGGCTATCTGGAGGGACACCTGGGAGGATGCCTGGAGGGCGGTTCAGGTGGTTCTTCAGGTGCTATCATCAGCCGTGGCAGCTCCTCCGCAGTCTCAGTCTCCCACTCTTCCTCTGCCCTCTCCTCCTCTGCGGCCTCTGCTCTGGCTGTGAGGCGGGCACAGGCAGCAGCAGCGTTGGCTCGCCTGCGGCGCCGGGGGCAGCACCTACTGAGCAACGGAGGAGGAGGTGGAGGGGGAGGAGGAGGGAAAAAGGATCAACCTCTAGGGAAGTCTGATGATGTGGAGGAGGAGGAGGAGATGGATAGGGAGCTTAGACAGGCGCTTGCGCTGATGGGCAAGAGCGGAGGGAACATGGTTCTAGCTGGTAGGGGTGATGCCACAGGTAGGGCTCTAGCTACGGGGATGGGTGCAGCAGGGAACAATATGGTTCCTGGTAAGGCTGGGATGGGAACTGGAACCCTGGCTGGTGCTTTTGAGGGAGTGGGAGTGGGAGAGGGAGAGGAGGATGAGTATGTGGGTTTGGGGGAACTGGGGGCGTTGGCTGTGGAGCAGATTGAAGCTTTGCTGGTGGAGGGGTTGAGAGTGCAGAACGATCAGAGCGAGTTGCAGGCGCCAGGGGCTATTACTCTGGGGGATTCCGGGCAGTTGGGGTACTGTGCGGGTTACCCTGCGGGTTACGTGACTGGCGGGTCGAGGGGTGTTCTGGGCGGTGCTGGTTACCAGGATAATGATAACCAGATTGCTGGTAACCAGACTGGTGGTTACAACGGGGGACGTGGGCATGGGGGGTTGCTTGGGGCGGCGCTGACAGTGGAGGAGTGGCAGCAGCTGGATGCAGGGGTGTGGGATGCGGTGGAGTCCGATAGAGATGCTCTGGAGGTGCTGCGAGCACACTGCAAGGCTCATGGGATTGCAGGGCTGCTGGAGGGGAGCGAGGGGGACGAGGGGAAGCAGAAGGTGCTGCGCGGTGCAGATGGGTTTGGAGGCCAGTTGGTGCCTGCAGGGGGTGTGGAGGCAGGGTGTTTGACCGTAGGAGGCTGGGAGGGTGAGTCTAGGCAGATGGTGGGAGGCTTTGGAAGGGGAATGGGGTTGACAGCAGGCCAAGGGAACACTGTATCAGGGGGTCTGGTGGGTAACAGTGTCACAGGGGGTGTGGGTGGTAACCCTGTAACAGGGGGTATGTTAGGTGACAGTGTGACGGTAGCCATGCTGGTCCAGCTGAGAGACCCCCTGCGGAACTTTGAGCCGGTGGGAGCACCGATGATGGCGCTGCTACAAGCAGAGAGAGCACCGGCACCACCTGCTGCTGCTGCTGCTGCTGCTGGTATTGCTGGTCGTGTTGCTGGTCGTGTTGCTGCTGGTTTGGGTGGTTCTACCGCAGCTGCTCTTGGCAGCACAGCCCAAGCGTGTATTGGAAGCCACCAGAGTCAGGGCCTATTGGAAGGCTGCCATGCTGCTACCAACAATACCAGGGCCCAGCTTTCCATCGAGTATTCTGCGGTTGATGCAGCCAGCCCAGCACAGACAGCGCTACAGCCGTGGCATGCCACCAGCCCAGCACAGACGGCGCTACAGCCGTGGCATGCCACCAGCCCAGCACAGACAGCGCTACAGCCGTGGCATGCCACCAGCCCAGCACAGACGGCGCTACAGCCGTGGCATGCCACCAGCTCAGCACAGGCGGCGCTACAGCCGTGGATTGACGCCACAGGCACAGGCCGCCGCAGCCAAATTACCTCCGCTGCTCCCTCTCATCCATCTGCTGCCCCACCCCCAACATTCCCCCCCACTGCCCCGCCCCGATTCAAGCTCAAAGCAGTGCATGTCGCAGGGCTAAAAGCAGAAGAGGCACCAGGGAGGGGGTGGGGGTCGCAGAAGCAAGCACAGTCTGGGGGGAGGTGGCTGGCGGCAAACGGCATGGGGAAGAAGCAACAGGGGAAGAGCGGTGGTGGGAGTGGGGTGTTTGGGAGGCATGCGAAGCCGGCTAAGGTGACGGTTCAGCCTGGGGATACCCTGTGGAGTCTTTCCCAGAAGGTTCATGGGAGTGGGATGAAGTGGACGGAAGTGGTGAAGCTGAACCCGCAGATTCGGAACCCGGACCTGATCCTGCCGAGCCAGAAGATTCGGATGCGGAGGTGATCCCGAACCCGTACCTAGTCCTGCCCGTTAGAAGTGATGGATTGTTATGGGCAGGGCAAGTTACTTCTTGATTTATGTAGCGCGTGTGTATACTTGATTGGTTTTGCTTTACCGTATTTCGTTTATGGGCAGCGTAAGTTGCCAGCTGTTTTATGTAGTGTGCATGCATGTGTGTATAAGGTTTGCCCTTTATGTTTGTTTCCCCTACTTTCACCATTGCCGAGCTATCGACTACCTAATGGAGTGGTAATTTGGGTTAAACTATTGATTAGAGGCATCTTGTATGCGAAGCTAGATGAAACAGATAGGAGAAAGGTTGGAATGAGCAGAATGAAAATAACATTGATAAGAGCAGACAGACAGCGAAACACTTTACACTTTCTGCACTCGGGAGCCCAAACATTCCAGTAACAGGAATGACACTACAGTACAGTTTCATTTCAAGTCACCATGCTCAACACCAGAGATCCACCGTTTCAACTTCCCCACAACAGTACCCCCAGACCCCCCTCCTGCACCACCACCCCCCACCCCTTTCCCACTCATAGTCCCCGCATTGCTGCTCGTCCGCCTCAGCCCAGACCCTCCTATACCGCTCCCCAAACCACTCAACCCTTATCCACCACCACTGTTGCTGCCACCACCACCACTGCCTCCTCCGAAAGGGGAAGCAGTGCTGCTGGATCGAGAAAAGCCCCCAGCAACACCCGTAGACTTGCTTGCAGGCAGACCAAATCCACCTCCCCCAAATCCGCCTCCCCCGAATCCGCCACCACCAGCAGAGCCTGCTTCCTTGGCCGCACTGCTGCTTGTCCGAACCAGCCCCAACCCAACCCCACCACCACCACTGCTGCCACCAGTGCTGCTGCTACCGGCATTGCTGCTGGTTCGCATTAGCCCGCCCAGCCCCATGCCCTTCATCCCTCCCCCACCCCCCCCTCCCCCCGACGCCGCATCACTACTGCCACCGCTGCTGCTGCTGCTGCTGCTGCCGGCGTTGCTGCTTGTTCGCATCAGCCCACCCAACCCCATGCCCTTCATCCCTCCCCCACCACCCCCTCCTCCACCCGACGCCGCATTACTGCTTGTCCGCATCAGCCCTGCAAATCCCCCAGCCTTCTTCCTACTCCCATCACCACCACCGCCACCTATCATCGCACCCCCACCCCCCCCACCACCACCACCCTCATTACCCGCTCCCTTCCCGCCTCCCCCCTTCTCTCCCTTTCCAGCTCCACCTCCCCCAGAAGCAGCCTTCTCTCCCACAGCGGTAGACACGCTGTGCATGCCCAGGCGCGTCTGAGCCTCCAGCACCTCCTGTGCCGCCACCATGAGGCGCGTGCGAGCACTGCTCATCTCTAACATGCCTTCTAGCGACCCTGGCTTAGCACTAGTGGTACCGGATGCGCCTGAGAGGGCGGGCGGGTGGGAGGGGAGTGGCAGGAGGTGAGGGAGGCAGGGAAGGAAGGAGGGACGCGGGGATGGTAGAGAGGGATAAGTCTCGTCTGAGCCTCCAGCACCTCCTGAGCCGCCACCATGAGGCGAGTGCGCACCCTGCTCATCTCCAACATGCCCTCTAACGACCCTGGCTTGGCGTTGCCAACGCCGGGAGTACCTGGGAGGGAGGGAGGGCACGAGGATCTGCGAATCTCCTGCCAGTCGTGCTACACTGCACAATCAGCGTGCACACGAAGAAACCCCTTCAACCAGCATGCACACACTCCCTCTCATCCCCCATACCCCCCCCCCCATACCCATCTCTTCCCGCACACCCCGCTCATGCTCACCTGCGTCTCTCTTAGCACGAGGGCACGAGGACCTATGAATATTCTGCCCAGTAGCGCCATACAGCGCAATCAGCTTGCACACAAAGAAACACCTTTCAAGCGGAGCGGCATGCACACACTCCCCTCTCTCCTCAACACTCCCTCTCTCCCTTTCCCTTTCCTTCTCTCCCTATATCTCTCCGACTCACCTGCATCTCTCTTGGCACGAGGGCACGAGGACCGGTGAATCTCCTGCCCAGTCGCCCCATACAGCGCAATCAGCTTGCACGCAGAACAATCCGTCTCCCCTCCAAACCCGCGCCTGCCCGCCGCTCCCCCGCCTCCTCCCCCGCCCCCTCCCCCGCCCCCTCCCCCGCCTCCCCCCGCGGAAACCCCCCGCATCTGCGCCATGACGTCACTCGTGGTGCGCATGCCCGCATGCAGTCCGCTTCCCGCCCGCCGCAGCCCCGCACCTCCCTCCCTCCGCAACCCCCCCACCACCCCGCTTCCCTGCCTCCTCAACCCTCCTCCGCCCACTCCCTTTCCCTCGCCGAATCCTCTCATTCCGCTCCCGTCTCCCAGCCCGCCCGCGCCTTTCCCGCTTCCGAATGCGCCCACTCCCAACCCTGCCTCTGCTGGGCCTCCGCCATTCGTTTCAAGGTCTGTTGGCCTCGAACCTGCCGCTGCTCCTCCTGCTTCTGCTGCAGCTTCTACTCCTGCTGCTCCTGCTGCTGCTGCTCCTGCTCCTGCAGCATTGCAGCTGCTGCTGCTGGCGCGGGTACTATCATCGCCGCGGATTACATCCACACCGCACATACCCTCTCCAGCCGCTTCCGCTGCTCTTGCTCCTCCTGCTGGCCGTTCCCTTGCTCCTTCCGCTCCTTCCGCTCGCTCCTTCCGCGCCTTCCGAGCCTGCTATGCTAGCTTTGTCACCCGCTACTGCTCCGGCCTGATTTCCCTCGTTATTGTCACCTTCAGCCAGAAAGGTAACCCTATTCGTCATGAACCCCTCAGGATCCGCGGAGGGGGAGACTGAGGAAGAAGGACCCGCTGATGGGGGACCCGCGGAATGGTTTGCGGAAGGAGGTTCCGCGGAAAGTGTCGCGCCGGAAGAGGGAACTGCGGAACTGGCGGATTTGCTGGAAATGCTGCGCGGAGGAAGGCCGGGGGAGCGCAATGGGGAAGGCGCAAGGGGAGACCTATCCCCCGAATCATGGAGAAGCGGAGAAGTTGGACACGGGGACCGCTCCCCGTGATTATAAAGAGGGGATCTTGATCCCTTTGAGGAAAGCGAACTTCTGACGTTCGGCGAAATAGGGGGCAAACCTGGTGATTTCTCAGAAGTTATGTCAGCATACGCGTTATTAACAGTCTCAGGTCTTGGTAAATGCTCAGACATGGCGGATATAAATCCAAAAGTTTCGGTAGTGCGACTCGAGTGTTCCTCAAAGACCTCTTCGATTTCCGTGAGTCTCGGCGACATTGCGTGTTTCCAGGATCGAGGAGGCGTGCGGTGACAGGCTGTGCTGACGTCACTGGAGGAAGCATCGAAATTGTCGTCAGATAAAGTAACTGTGCTTCCGTTACAAGAGGAAAATTCCGCATGAGACGGAACGCAGTCGGGCGAGTTATCTGTTAATCGAGCCGCGACAATATCGTCTTCCATGATCATCCACGGAGACTGACGGAAGCACGGAAATGGCGGAAATCACTGACACGAAAACGCAAGGCCTGAATCCGAGGAACGAAATGAATCAGGCAGCCATCACCAGAAGCATATGCTGACACTGCGGTTCGTGTAATGAACAACCCTGGGTGGCCGCACAAAATCATTTAGAACGGCTTCGTTCGGCGGAGTTTGTTTCACTGCGGTAAAGAAGCAGTGGCAGAAAGCCTTGGAGAAGTGGACTTCCTACAGTGTGTTCAGAAGCGAGGGGCAATTGAAACGGAAGGCCAACACGCTTTGTACAAATTGCACAAATGTACGAATTCGTTTCGGGACCATCACTTTATTTCCAATCCAACTCTATTCGCGGCTGCAAGTGCCTCTCTGAATCACACGTTTTCATGTTTCAACCTTTTGGAAACCAGTCTTCGCATACTGTACAGTATGGAACGGGCTGGCTTTAGTAGAGAAGAGTTGACAATGTTGGAACGAAACAACATGGTATGGTTTGGGCGGCGAATGCAACGCTGCATCAACAGCAGACTGGTGCATCAGCCAAAACTCTTTGAGCGGCATGATAACAATGACGTTCTCCAAAGAGCATCTTGTACATCTCACACTATTTACAAGCTTACTGCACACAATACACAGCATATACAATCTGAAGAAGCGCAGATAAGCAATATACGCTGGCAGCATCTACTCTACAAAACAGGTCCCCTTTTTCATTTGGAAGCAAGCCGCAACGTCATGAAATGCCAATCAATCCTCGGATGAGAGCAAGCCCAAAATGCCATCAGCTGCTGTACGGGCACGCTTGGTGGGTGGCTGCATATGCACCGACATGCGCTCAGTCATTGGATCAAGAACCTGAAAGCACATGCGATGGAAGGGAGACATATTGAATACCGAATTTAACCAACCAAGTCACAAGAACTGGGCAAACAGGAATTGGACAGACATGAAGATAACAAGAAGTGCGTAGTAGCATATAAACGGTAGGTTCTGACCTGTCCCACAGTCATTTCTCCAATATCAACGCCCATGAGCATGTGATGATCCAGCTGATACTCGCCTGCACACCCACAAACACCCACACAAGCATATCATTTGTCAATCAGAACATGAACTTCCTCACAAAAAAAACCACTATCTCCTCACTGTACTAACCTGTTCCCTTGCCCACGCGCCTGATCTGAGTCACATAGCGCGCACAGCGCTGCAGCGCCAGCACCTGCCACACGAAAATCATAACCACATGGTGTGAAAATGGCGTGAAACAGTGCACATTCGCTTTGATTTGTGTAAAACAGTAGGGTCAAGCAACTGTGTTAATAATCACGTACCTCCGGCTTGAGCAGGCGATTTTCAATGAAGTTCTGCGCTCCAGCATCCCCAGACATCTCAGCTGCCTGCACGAGGAATGGGAGAGCAGCGAAGGAATAAGTTCCAACAACCAGTGCTATTCATCAAAGGATAAGGACACAAAGCACCAGCATCACCCAGCATCCATCGAGCTGCGTGCGTGTATGCCAACGAGGAAACAAAGAATCCACATCTTCCGGTTCTGGCCATCATTACTGGGATGAGACAAACACCAACTCAAAATAGTATCGCAGTGACACCCGCAGCAGATGTAATACCCTCGCAATGAATTCGCCTGCATTCACAACCCTGTCTCCTCTTCAATTTCCCACCTTGTGGAGGTTGAGGTCCTTCTCATACGCCACCTTGCAAACAGCCAGGTCATATTCCGCAACTGCCACGCAGATTGATGGTGATCGTTAGGCTCTACGAGACGGGCTGAGACGTTCAAACAAAGCATGCAGAAAAACAAACTATTCAGATTCTTGCTTTTTTTACACAATATAAGCACGTACCCGTTAGTGCATCACCCCTTTCAGGATCATGGAAGGACTGCGGCGGAGCCTTGATGTCCCGCAGCATGAGGCCACCGCCACGGCCGCTCTGGTGACACCAGCCGGCAGACAGGCAGAGATTAAACGGATGGGAACAGAAATTAGGGAACAGGAACAGAAGGAAAAAGAGAAGAACAGGGGGAGAATAAAATAACAGATGGGAATCAGGAAACTGGAAACCTTTTTTAAGAAAGCTGACACAGATAACAAAATGTGAATACTGGGGAGAAAAAGATGATGCAAAATGGGGGGAGAACAAAGGGGAGGGAGAGAAAGAGAGGGGCAGAGAAGGAAGGGAGAGAAAGAGGGGGAGAATAAAATATAGGAGATAAATACCACGAAAGCTGCAATGTCCTTGAACGTCATCTGCTCCTCCAGAGCGCGTTTCCAGAAAAACTTGCCGAACCCTCTGAGAGCCACCGAGTCCTTCCCGCAGTACAGGGCGAGCGCCTGATAGGCGTACGACGTTGACAGGTGTACACTGTAGCATGGGATCAAATTCACACAAGAAAACGTGGTTACACACGGAAAATAAAAAGCTACATAAAAAAAACTCCCGAATCAATCAGATTGTGAATAGAGCACAATATTTATCATAATTTATACACCCACTTGGACGCGCAGTTGAAGGCCTTGAGAAGCGACTCGTCCAGATGCTGACGAATCAGGGTTGGCTCCAGCTTCCCCGGAACCAGCACCTCCAGCCCGCCCAGGGCCTTAATCTCCGCCTGCCGTGGGGGAATTTTAACATAGACGCAACATGGTTCCAAAGAATGGTAACACGGCAACAAGTCCACCGCAATCGCGGAGATCTGATCCTGTCATAACAAAGCTTCACCCGTCCAGCAAGAATCAAAGGTACCCCAATGTGGTAAGGAGGTTTGTTCGGGATGGAGTTTTGGAAAATTGCTTCAAGAGCTTGTCATAACAACGAGGATACCTCGATGTTGAAGGAGGTTTCATCGGGAATGACGGTGCCGGTGAGGCTCTTGCTCAGCGGCTCGGTCTCCAGCTTCGTCTTCAGCTGCTGCGCGTCAGTCTCCGCCGGTTTCGCGTGCGTCTTTGGAGCCATGCTTGCGCGCGTACTACCTTCGTCTTTAGGACTTGGTGTCGAGAGGATATTGGGAAGGTGAAAGCCCTAGTACGATCTCAGGAACAAGAAAGACCAGATACCGTGACGTACAAGGACCTTCAATTAGTATAGACGCCGTAGTTCTAAACGGAATCCACCACGAGAACCCGCGCGGATCCCACCACCCTCGCGTTTCCCCGTGTACCGTCCTCGACCTACACAACTCGACGTCTCGAACCGCATGACGAAACTGCGGCTCGCCGAGGTAATCGCCGCAGCACGCATGTTGTTACAGAGTCTGGGATATGCGTCTCGGAAAGCGAAGCGACACGTGCACGCTGTCGCGCTCTCTCGTACCGCCACCTGTTATTGCTATATCCCTCCTAAAAGTACGTGTCGGTTCGGTACGGAGGGTGCTTCGCAAACAGGTGGGTGAGGGAGAAATACACAGATGAGAATTACATTCTACAGTCCAACCCGATATTCAGACAAGCGGGTACGAAAAAGCTATCCTAACCCCCCATTGTGAAGTACATAGGCTGGAAGTAAAATGTGGAATTTAGCCTTCAATTGAAAACACAAGAAGCAATGCTCAAAGCAGCTCCACCCTAATACACTCTGAGCAAAAACTATGTGGCTACACTTCCTTCAGTATTACAATCACTGCACAAGCTTTCCTAAGCCAGTGATCTCAATGGTCTTCACATCAGGCTCGCCATCCACCTTTACAATCCCTTCGGCCGCATCCACCCCCATCAGCTTCCCCACAGCGCCTCTCAACGGGCCCCGCAGAATCTTCACGCGGTCGTGCGAACGCGGTAACACTATGTCCATTTCCGAGGGTCCCACTATAAAGAGCTCTGACTCTGACGCGTTGCTTGCTCCAACGCGGCATGAACCGTCCTGTAGGAAGAGGACGAGACAAATTGCACAACAGAGTGCACGTAGAAGAATGGGAGTTCATGAGATAATGCGGGAAGGCAGCAAAAAGAATCTGGCCAGGCAAGCAGCTACACTCAACGATAGGTACAAGCGTAAACACTCACAGACAGCATTATGGTCATCCCAGCCCCCCCCAAAACACCACATCATCACCAGCACTTGAAGAAGCAGCACTCACTTGAAGTGCAAGCATACACAACACACTCACCGGCAGCACTTCTCGAATCACCACGGTGGTCATCCCAGGTCCCCCCGGTCGTCGCACCATCACTAGCACTCCAGGCAGCAACACTCACTTGTGGCAACACTCACTTGCAGTGCAAGCACACCCAACAGACACAACACACTCACCGGCAGCACTTCTCGAATCACCACGGTGGTCATCCCAGGTCCCCCCGGTCGTCGCACCATCACCAGCACTCCCGGCAGCCCCAGCGAACCCCCCTCTCCTCCGTTGCTGAAGCCCCCTCCCATGCCTGTGCGGCAGGTACGGTGGATACACAGACGCCGGTAGGTACGGGCACGTGGCAAAAAGGGAATGCGTTCAGGAAGGCAAGGAAGAGAACACTAGGAGAAACAAACATGTAAACGTGTAGAAAAAACACAGGAGGACGTGTACAATGTTAGAGCTTGGGACAGGGAAATGAGGCCAAGTCAGAAAGATGCAGTTTAGAAGGGGAGATCAGTGGCAAATGGGACAAAAAAAGTAGCGAATGCGCAAATGGGAGGAAGGGTAGAAACTGACCAGTGACAGGTGAAAAGAGCAGGAACTGACCAATGGCAGGCGCTTGGGGTCGGCAGGGGTCATGGGCAGAGAGGAGTCAACAGGGGAGGGCATCCAAGACGCCTCAAAAGGAACGACAAGAGTAGGCGGGGCAGGGTGGAGCTGACCAATGGCAGGGGTGGGAAGGGTAGGAACTGACCAATGGCAGGCGAGTTGGGGTCGGCAGGGGTCATGGGCAGAGAAGAGTCAGCAGGCGTGGCGGGAATGTAGGCAGCTGAGGGCGTGAGAGGCTGGCCCGTGGGCGTCTGCGCCGCATACGGGCTCGGAGCTTCGCCTGGTGATGAGTGGAAAACAGCAGAGATGGATGCCGATTACAACCAGCATAGAACGAACGAGAGCACTGAAACAAGAATAAACGGGAAGAGAATTAGAGCTGCACTGAGAAGCCGTTTGCAAAAGGGGAAGGAAAGCAGGGGGAGGGCGTCACTGTAAGGTGGGGGGACTGGCGTAGGTGGGGGGGGGGGGACTGGCGTAGGTGGTAATCTAAGGCCGGGAAGAGGAACCGAGGACCCACCATAGGGCGTGGAGGGGTTATAGTTGGGGCCGGCTTGGCTGCCAGGTGTCGGAATGTCAAAGGCCGAGCGCAGATCGCTTGGAGTGCCGGGCTGAAAGGTAAAGAATCAGCATTGTGGGGCGAGATGGGCCAGAGAGAAAGAAGGGCGGGATGGGTATCAATCAGCCCGGAAGGGAGGGAGAAGGGTGGAAAGGGCTTTCCAGGAGTAGGGATGTCGAACGCTGCGTGTAGAACCCCCCCCGAGTGCCTTGCAGAAAGGACAGAATCATCGAGAGTCGGTTTTTGAGTCGACTCAAAAACCGACTCGCTGCGTGTAGAACCCCCCCCGAGTGCCTTGCAGAGAGGACAGAATCATCGAGAGAGAAGGGGTGCTTGGCTTCGTTGTAGTGGACTTAGAGCTCAGTTTTTTGTAGGGGAGCTCAGTTTCGATCTTGTTCTTTGAACTGGCAACACAAGAGTTTTAAACTCTACTGTTTTTCTTCTGCTAAAGAATTCTCCTAAGCTGCAGCTCGCCTAGTCTCATGGCAGAGAGGACAGAATCATCGAGAGAAGGGGTGCTCGGCTAGATGCTATATGTTACAAACAGCTGGGATCAAAGGTTTTGAGAGTGTGTGCGCCTCATATATATCAATGCCTACAGTTGACCCCCACTGGGGTCAAAGGTCTGTAAATGCCTCAATAGATAAATAAACACTCACATCATGCACGGGGAGCGGTGGCGACGGGGCGATGTCGGCAGGTGAGAAGGCAGGCGTGTAGGGCAGGAAGGGAGCATCGCTGCCCGATGAACCCCATGTGGATGGATTTGCCTCGTCGAATGAATCTGGCCTGGTGGGGAGAACACATAGGGGAGGAAAGAGGGTAGGTGCTGTGAGAGTGGCATGGCACAGAATGGTAGCATGGTATGGCAAGGCTTGGCATAGAATAGCATGACATGGAAGATTCCAGAGCTTGATATGCACCTGAAATGACACCTGAAGAAACACAACAACGGATACGCACCTGAGAGGAGTGGTGGGCACATGGGGGTTCCAGGCCCTGTCTCGCATGGGCGTGCGCATGCCCTCATGCACTGGCGTGGCTGCATGGTGCACAAGAAAAGAGGGAAGGGGGCAACGAGATGTGGCAAGATAGTGCGGCTGCTGACTGAGTAGCTAGGAGAGGAGGGGGAAGTGGAAAGGGGGAAAGGTGGGGGGAGAACGAGGAGACAAAAGGTCGTGCCGAGGACTGGTGGTCACTATTGTAAACAAGTGAAGGAATGACAACGCATGGCGTACCAGAGGGGTCGAAGCCCCGGCCGCCAAAGCCTGGGTGCATGGGCGTGCGCGACGGATGAACAGGCGTCTCGCTGCCCAGGGATCCTCTGAAGCGCGGCGACTCCCTGGAGTAAGGGGGAGGAAGAAAGGGAGGGGGGAAGGAGAAGTGAAGAAGCCGGACAGCAAGCGCAGGAGGTCAGTGGGATGCTCAGGACAGCAAGCGCAGGAGGTCAGTGGGATGCTCAGGACAGCAAGCGCAGGAGGTCAGTGGGATGCTCAGGACAGCAAGCGCAGGAGGTCAGTGGGATGCTCAGGACAGCAAGCGCAGGAGGTCAGTGGGATGCTCAGGACAGCAAGCGCAGGAGGTCAGTGGGATGCTCAGGACAGCAAGCGCAGGAGGTCAGTGGAGACGAAGTAAGGCTTCTGGAGAAAAGATGCTCATGTACAGACAGAGGGATGCACGGGCGTCTCGCTGCCCAGGGACCCTCTGAAGCGAGGCGACTCCCTGGAGTAAGGGGGAGAAAGAAAAGGTTGTTGGGAGACAACAAGTGCAGGAGGGAAGCCGGGAAGATGCTCAGATACAGGTGTGGAGGGACGAGCGCATTACTGCCAAGTGCCTTGGGGGACGAGGGTGGTGCCAAGGACCTGCATACATGAACGAAGCATCCCCCCACCCCACCCGCCCTCCCCTTCCCTCCCCTCTAACCCCCCCTTTCTCCCCTTCCCTTGCCTCCCCGAACCTCCCCTTCCCCACTTTGATAGAGGCACTCAGGAACATACCTGTACGGTGCGGGTGATTGCTGCTGCTGTCCCGCTGCTGGTGCTCCATCAGGTAGTTGATCCCTCCGCACTGCACCACCACACACCACCATGCACCACCACGCAGCACCACGCAACAGCATGCACCACCATGCGCCACCACGCAGCACCACGCAACAGCATGCACCACCATGCGCCACCACGCAGCACCACGCAACAGCATGCACCACCATGCGCCACCATCGCACAGAGACACAAAGTGAACAGCCGAATTGATTACTCAGGCCAATCACCACACACCACTCAGGCCGAATTGATTAATCAGTCAAATGATCAGCCACCAGCTTCACACAGACACAAGACGATACATCTTCACATCGCGACGCATTGTGCCGGCGGCGCACCTGTAACGGCTTTCATCTGTGACTCGAGCTCAACCCGTGCCGTGGTGTCAGTGGCATCTAGCACCCGGCCTCTGTAAAGAGTCTGTACCCCTTATAAGCCTCACCCCATTATAGCATACCTGTAACGACTTTCATCTGCGATTCGAGCTCGATCCGCGCCGTGGTGTCAGTGGCATCCAGCACCCGGCCTCTGTACCCCTTATAAGGCCCCGCTCGTATCTTCACAATGCGCCCCACCATGCCACTCTCCCGCCTGTTCCCCATCCGCCCTCCTCCATACGCACCTGGGGGGGACGGGGAGGGGGGAGGGGAGGGGAGAGGGAAGTAAGGAAGAGAAAGGG